TTGGGCTACGCCTATTTGGTACCATATATCAGTAAGAAATGATCTTCCTGGTGCTAGCTTTTTGGTATGAAGTGAGACTTGCCAAGTGGTGGGTTGTGGTGTGAAGTTGGCCATTCGGATCGCGTGCAAAGCGAACTAGGCCACATGGTTCATTCCTACAGATCGTCCACATACAGCACAGAACTTCCAAGCAACTGCATCTTCCACCTTTAACAATGTAACCTAGAACCGGAGCTCCGACCTCGCTCTAAAATCTTCAGCGCAAGTCACTGTGTACACCGGATTTTTAGTATCCGTGACGACTTGTTGTCCGTAAGACTAGCAAAGGAGTTAAAAAGGCATTTCCGTGGGTTTCACCATCTGATGCGAAAGAATTTCAGGATGGGTCAGCGTTAGCAATTGGCGACGGAAAGGAAGGATGATGAAGGGAGAGCTAAAGATGTGATTAAGCGGAGCTTCGACAACTGTCACAGGCAGTTTTCGCTGGCCGCATCTCCTACTCTTCGCCAAATTCACCAAAGAGAGAGTATTGAAATAGAGATTTCTTGATGTATACTCGCACATAAGCAAAATGAACTGACGACTCGTTCTCGATCTTCCGTCTATGTTGGACTCGTTGCTTGCCGTTCCAAATTATGCTTTGGGGAACGATTTCCAGGCCAAGTACCGCATAGCAGTTTGTTGGTCTTGGTCTTATTTTTAATAAGCACCTTTACCCCTTTCCACTTCACAAGCAAACGTGGCAAACAATTTTTATATTGCGTCTTTACAAGACACGAAGAAAGAGGAGCTGAACAAAGATGTGCTGTTTTGCAGCTGGCACTGCTATGGCCCTATCTCAATCCCTATTGTCGGACGACGCTCAGAAGTATGGGAAAATGAGAAGAAGTGCGGTGTTACAACGATTCAAGATTCCAACCCAAAATAGTATTAACTTTCAATTTACGATTGCTGCTATGATAGACAATCAAACTGTTTGGAATATCCATCCGGATCCCCGCCGTCTGTCTGTTCACTCATGGCAAGACCCCAAGCGCTACCTTCTGGCACAGCGGGGCCATCCAATGTCTTCGCCTTTTCATTGTTAGATGTACCTTCTTCTATCCCGCCACCCTTGGCTTCTACTGACACTGGCTTTTCTTCTTCGGGGGTTGCCAAAGTGACACTGGCAGTCGAGTCTTGGCCGTGTCGATATGACTGCGACACTGCCACCGTGCCTCCTCTATCATCATTCATGGCAGCTCGTTGGGAAATCTTGGCCTTTTGCTGTTTTTCCAATAATTTGCGTTTCCTTGCTTTCTCCATCTTTTTCATTCGACGCCACTTGCTGAATCTGGGTCGAGTATACACCAACATATTGAACCATCCTTGTAGCGGTGCCAATATCGACAGTGCCATCCAAAATCCAAAGTCTTGAGAGTCAGCCATCATGACACCAGCCAACAGAATGGGCCAACATAAATAGTAGCTAAAGAGATAGAATGCGGACTGCCAAAAGACTGTAGCTTCAGCATTGTCCTGTAACAATGGGCTGTTCTTGAGGCAATCGCAGCTGAAGTGTTTCTTCTTTGCTTCTTCTTCCTCTTGCGGATGCTCTTGCGTCGTTGGCATATTAAATTGGCTAGCGCTAGTCGATGGTGCATCGTAGGTATACTTATCTTTTCCGGAACGTTGCTTAAGCCGGTGGTCCATACTCCACTGCTGTCCCTTGCGCACGGTTGCTCGTACACTCCAGTAGACTCGAATATTACAGGCAGTGGAAATAATAGCCGTCGTGATAACGGGGCCAAAGGAGAATCCAAAGGCACTCCAATCGTCTGTGTACGGCCTTGGCAACAGCCAGCACCCTACCCAGACCGAATCGTAGAACGGAATGCCACCAAACGCCAAAACCATAGCGCAGATAACTGGCACTATTAACAAGTATGGGCGAGCCTTTTTCAATTGATATTCTTTCCAACCATGGACAACCACCAAGACGTAATATATCGACAATGAGTTGTTGAAGAATCCACTCCCATATCCAAGCATGACAAAAAATCCTATCCAAGTAGAGTTCAAAGGTGAGCAATGATTCCAGACGACCACTCGATTTCCATCATCAATCACAATTCATCTTCATATTTCATACCTTGTGCTGTGCAGAGACCGTCGTTGCCGGAAGCACCCACAACGTTGGAATCAAATCCATTCAGATCAGTTGTCGGTACGGGTGCAGCACCAATCACCCATCCCATGGCGGTGGTGAAATCAAACATTGACATCAAAAACATGATTTGTCGATACAAATTCTTCTTGCTCTTGCCACGGATAAAGTCTTGGAATATAAAGAGGGAACCCATCAAAGACAGAATACCAGATACTCGCGCGGCCCAGTGTAACGCTAGAATATCGGATCTCGATTCGGCCCCCAGGTATCCATAGAACCCATCGTTACAACCACACTCCCAGTTGTGCTCCTGCCCCAAGAAACATTCTTCGGAATCTTGTGAGAACTGTAGCAACACAGCTTCCACTTGCTCGCAGGTTACATCTTGACCATAGCGTTTCAGCGTATTGCTGTGCTTGCGAGTCGGAGTGGTAATGGCTTCTCCGGCCTTTGGACAAAAAACACAGCCATTCTCTACAGAAGGACATCCACAATAGCTGCCAATCAATTGGGCATCTGCACAGTCTTGAGAGTCCATCGCCAAGGCACTTGTCGCTGCTTCCAATTGCTGACAGGTGGGTTCAATTCCAAAGAACCGATCCGCCATGAAGGGAACTAGTTTGTCGGGCGTCGTGACGCTGCTCGCATCTTTGCACAGAGTGCACATGGGAATATCTTCGCCAGCGGAGGATCCTCCACTATCGTTACATCCACACACGGGCCCAGTGACACTTTGCACTTGGGCGCAATTCGGATCCGATTCTTCCCACAATGTCGCTGCCGCTTCCTGAACTTGTTCGCAGGTCAGTGATTCTCCTAATTCGATGGTAGCATTAGGACTCTGCACGCAAATGGGGCAGGGATTAGAAGGAGGAACCCATTCATCAGCGCTGCAACAATACTCCTTGGTCCAAGCCTGACTCAATTGGCATGTTAGATCGTCTGATTCGATGGACGAATTGAAATAGGTTTGCAGCAGTTTACAGTTCACGCCTTCGTAGTTGACGCTCTCGTCCAAATAAGAAAGCGGAAGCTCTTGTTTTGACTCTGGTACTTGGTTGCCATCGCCGCAGAGCTGACAGGGGTTAGTCGCTTGCGAGGGACAACCGCACGCTGTCGATACTGAATGTAGCAATTGGCAGTTGGGATCTTCCAAAGGATACAGCGTTCCCACCAATCCCGAAATGACAGCACAGGATTGAACTCCAAAACCTGGGACATGCAGCTCTCCAGTCGGATTTGAAATGGGAGAACCATCAGGACAAACCGTACATCGGGCTTCTTGCAATTCTCGAGCTCCAATTGAAGCGACAGGCAGCAGCAGGATCAATTGCAACAGGAGTAGCAACTGTAGTGGCATCTGAAAACGCGAGGTTGTATTCATCTTTTCAAAAGTGAAAGAGAAGAGGGTCATCATCGTTTCGTTTTTCTTCCTCCAAGAAACTGGGCGGTCTTTTGGGAGAGGTGACAAGGGCGGTCTGACTTTTAGACACGCGTGGTTATAATTGTGGGTGAGTAACGATGGCGTCTTCCGCGACCGGATGACTCCCGTTTCTGAGGAGTAGTCGGAATGGTCGTTTCCATCACTAAAACTATTATTGGTGGTAAAGACGGATGGAGGGCCGACCCATTTCTTCTCTGGTTTCGCAAAACTCAAAGCAGAATCTTTTTCCAGTTTCTTATTTCAACTTACACTTTTTTTCAATTCACAATGACACGGTTAATATGGATATGCTTGCTATGGCCTTACATATTTTGCTTCAGCTTCAACGCAAGAGCGCACACGAAAGCAAGAACCTCGACACACCTTTTCTCCAGTGTTGGCATAAATGACTGTTTGGTGGTCTTGAGCGCAGATGCTGTTTTGGATACTGTTGAGCATCGGTCCCAACTAGGTCTGGAAGCGGCCTTATGCGCATGGCCTTCTCTCAAAGTAGAAAAAGAAGTGTTGTTACAAGATCCGACTTGGCTCTTAAACAAACTAAAGGCACTGTCACACGTTCTGGATGCCCCATCTGCGTCATTCTCTACAACATGTGAATTCGCCCTGGCAGCTCGTCTCTTGCTTGAAGAACAAGCCTTGGACGAAGGAGAATCCAACAACAAGCGAGGGAAATATGCAAGCAAATTTCATCCACAAGGAATCGAAGACTCTCCCTCTTCAGCAGAGCCATCTTCTTCCTCTACCCGTCCGTTGACGGTGGGCGAAATCGCTGCGAACTGGGATGACTTCTTTCGAGAAACCTTACAAATGCGATACCACGCCAATTACAAAGATCCCATACCTGTTTTACAATCCATCATTGATGAAAAAATAGTGGATTGGGGAGAGCTTCCCGTCTTCTATCCACAAGTGCAGCACACATTGAATTCCAAACGATATCAGAACTTCGTCATGACAGTTCCACCATCTGACAAGCAGCTCGTACGGCAAAGTCTCGAAGGTGCGAATGTCTCATTTATAGAGACAGCATCTGCATTAGTAGCAATTGAATCATTATCGCTGGAAACAAACAGGCGTACTGTCGTTGTCCTCGAGTCAGACGAATCTAGTCTCCAGGATATTTTGAATTCGTCCATTGGAGAGACCGTCATAGTGGTGATCGACGGGTCATACAAACGATTGGAGGCCATGGCGTCTTTGTTTGGAGATTCCATTCCACGCCAAGGCAACATTGGGAACACTCCCTTTCAGAAGAAGCTGAGTTTGAACCTGGGAAAATGGGCATGCGGGCACCCAACGACTGTCGCAAAAGCCACAATGAATCCATGGACAGATGTAATGACAATGGAAGCACTACAAGATAATTTCCTTTCGGGACAAAACAGCGAAGAAGCGTTTCAATAGAATTTAATTAAGAGAATTCACTATTAACAGGTCATCATTACACCAGCTGGCTCCACATGCTCGTCCTTTTCTCCATCGTAGACTAGCTGCCCTCTTACCCAAGTTCCCAGCACTCGCCCACACATGGAGTCATTTTTTGCAAAATATGTCGTGCCCTTCCATCTGTGATATTCTTTGCTGTAGGCGTTCGGAGCTTCCCTGTGATTCGGGTCCCACCAGCAAAAGTCTGCTTGTTGGCCCGGCTTTATTTGTCCTTTCTTGCGTCCGAGACCCGCAAGAATAGCTGGCCGTTCACTCCACCATGCCGCCATTTCGTCTGGTGTGAAATTCCTTCGTTTGGCGTCTGTCCAAGTGGCCTGCAACTGATACTGCAAGCCAGATAGGCCACCCCATGCGGTTTCGATATCACCTGATTCCATGTTCCTCATGTGAGGTTCACAGGGACTATGATCCGATGCCACCATGTCTATGATTCCTTCTAATAGACCTTGCCAAAGGAGTTCACGATTCTCTTTATCCCGGATTGGAGGGAAGCATTTGACAAGCACTTCGCCGTTTTGAATCAATGATTCGTCAAGCAGCAAGTAATGAGGACATGTTTCAACTGTTAGAGTATTCTGTGGCGACTCTTTGCATGCTTGAATGATGGGTAGGCACCCTCTTGCATCGCTCAGATGGACAATATGCATATGGCAATCCTTGGAAGCATCGCATACGACACGCACTGCATCCTGCTCCCACTTGGCGGGTCGGGACGCCAAATGCGCCTCGTAGGATGTTGGTGATTGTTTGGCAAATGCTTTCTTTACTGCCCCAACACTTTCGTCTTCGGTCATCAATTCAGAATGCACTAGAATGGGTTTGCCAATTGGTCCACAAACCTTGGCTGCTTCCTTCAATTGCTCAGGTGAGACAGCCTGGTATCCTGCTGCCGGTGGAAGAGGTGCCAAGAATGCCTTGAGCCCAAATATGTAGGGGGATTCCAGGAGTTCCTTAATATTGTGACAATTCTCTGGAACCACTCCTCCCCATAGACCAACGTCAACATACAATGGCCCTGACGCTGCTGCATCTCGCTCCATCTCCACAGCATCCAGTGTTGTGGTACTCGGTAGTGAATTTAAAGGCATTCCCATCAGTGTCGTTATTCCTCCAGCTGCCGCTGCCATGGTGGCAGTTTCGTATCCTTCCCAATTGCGTCCCAGAGCGGAGATGTGGGTATGGACATCAATCAAACCTGGTGAGAGGACCATACTCCGTCCCAGATTTTGAGCTCCCGTTGGATTTCGTTCGAGCGCCTGTGACCACTCTTCGCCTGGATGACATGCGACAATTTGTCCATTGGAGATATCAACTGACCCTTCCCGAGAGTAGCTCGTCTTATTCGAGGACAAGGACTGCGAATTTGGATGCGTATCGTTGCTTCTCCCTCCAAAAGCTACATTGCCACACCAAAGCGTTGTGATGCTTCGTATGCAACGGTGGTGGTGGTTTCGAGAATGAGAGAACCAAGAAGAGGAAGAAAAGCGAAATGATCGAATCATGAAAACAACAGCTATCGTTTATATCCCTTCCCAGTTCGAAGGGGGAGCGGAGAAGAGATGCCCAAGGATGGCAGTAGGTCCTGAGGTGGGAATGCGATTTGAATTGATGTTTGATGTCTTTTTGCAGTCGTACGAGTCATTCATTCATATCATTCTTCTTCGCTTCTCCATTCCTCCAAGTGAAATAAACCAACATTACGCAACAACTTCCAAACCTGTTGCATAGTACCGGTATACTGTACCACTCAAACAGTTGACACCTCTTTCCTCCGTTGTCTTCTCCTCTTCCTTTTATCCACGTAAACACCAACCATTTATAGTGGGCACTGCTCAACAACAATAACCAGTATTCAAAATCAATAGACAGCATACAACAATAGATACACACAATGGACCGCCAACCAATTCGTGATCGAACGCTGATCCTCCGCATTCTGGTTCCCGGTTTGGAGACTGCACTACGAGACAAGATGAAAGAAGTCGAAGAGGAAGCCAAGGATAAGCCACCTGCAGCTAAAAACAAAGACGGCGCCACAATATTGGACCTGGAAGGAGTCGCCTGCGAACCCACCAAGGATGCATCCACCCTCTTTAATTTCATTTGCGATGGTCGAACTTATCCAGCGCGACTGGTAAATCTGCCCTGTCCAATTGAATTGCACAAGACACACGATCACGCCATGTACTACAAGTCTTGTGATGTTGCTCAAATGTTGATTGTCTACGAAGACAGCATGGCATTAGACGAAGGGGATGCTTACAAAGTGGAAGGTTTTCCCAGTTATTACCATTCAGGATTGACGCCGCCAATGAAGAGGGTTGTGGAAAAGCGATTTAAGAAGAATGAACGAACTCTAATACCTCCTCCGCGATTGGAAGTGAGTGATGTAGAGGCAGATTTGCTCGAAATAATGTCCAAAGCTTCCAAGGAAGGTGTCAAACGCAACAAAGTTCCGTCGCTAGCATCAGCCACACACAACAAGGTCCTGGAAGAAGTTGTAGAAGAGATTGTAGATTTTGAAACATGGATGACGGACGGTGGAGGGGAAGTATCGGGAATCGAGATTGAATCCACAGACCCAATTGCCATCAAACACCCAGAGCTCTGGTTGTCACCAGACAAGATTGAAGAAATCAATCGCAAACAACGAGAGTTGGACAAGGAAAAGGAACGAAAGAAGGATGTAGCACAAGCCAAGAAGGAGAAGAAAAAGAAGAAGAAGAAAGACAAGGAGGCTCCTGCTGGTCCTAGCAAGAAGAAGGGGATTGCTTCCAAGAAGAATGAACCTCCAGTGGATCAAATTGATCAAATGGCTTTTAATATCAACTTGATGAACGACGACGCAGCACTGGAAGGAGATTTGGAATTTGAATTAGACTTTGATATGAATGAAGATATGGACTTTGGTATTGATTAAGGAATGTGAGCAAAAAGGAAGAAGAGTCCAATGCATTCCTTGCAAAGACATCAATTCACACAAATTGAATACTCACACGGCACATACAACGTCTGATTTCGCTATTTAACCAATTTTAATAAAACATCGAGTATAAGGTGCTAGGTTATTCTGTTTACAGTATATTTTTTATCTCTTTCTTTCCCTTCTCTGTTAGCAAAGCTCGGATTGGAACTTGAATGGGAGACAGTATGGTTGTTTTGTTAGTCCCTTGGCGTGTCCTACCAACAGTACTCGTGTCCCCGTGTGTGAAGATCCCATTTCTATGTTTGGCTCGAAGGGTGATCCCTTTGGTAATGCTATAGCAGAGTATATCTTGGCACCATTGTGCACGTTGGTAGTGCCCCCTTCCATCAGAGTGATGGAGTTGTCGGATGATTTCACTTTTGCTGATACAAAAATGATATCACCCTCCGTAGTTCCAACCACCAAGTACAACTCACCGTTATCTGCCTCTTCCAGAATGGTCACTGTCGTCAACCGGGGTAAACCCTTTAGCTCAAGCTCTGCTAGAAGTTCGATCTCCATGGAAGAATAAAAATTGATGCGACTTGCACAAAGCTTTCCATCATTTCCGACAGAAAACAGTATTTGACTTTTCATGGAAGAGTATGTCAAAGCATTAATGCGACCCTTATGGACAAGGCTTGTTTGCCTATATGATGACCTCAAATGTATTCGACCATCCACACCAGAAAACATTATTATCTTCTTCTCGGCCTTCGTGCCTTTGCCTCGTTCTTTGTCACTACTAACATGCTGTCCGTCGACGAGGCATAGCCTCAACAAGTCACTCGAAAGGGTAGAAGCTAAGACACTATTTTCAACCGACAACTTGGAAATATGCCTTATACTTCCATCGGAAGTGTCGCGTCCCGAGCAATCCCACACTTCAATGCAATTGCAGCCAATCGAGTACAGAATCTGAGCGTCTTCATTGTAGGCAAGATCTTGAACCCAACCGGTATGTGGGCCCAAGCGTTGGACATATTCTTTTATTTCTGTATCCCAAACTGAAATATATCGATCTCCTCTACCACAAAATATCCTTCCAAGTTTGCTGTTCTTGTCATTGTCGTTGCTGGCTTTGGTTTCGACAGCCAGAGAATAGACAGGATACTTTGGTTTGTGATTGTAACCAGAAAGTTGAGTCCATGTCATTGCATTGTCCATCGATTGCAATACCTCTCCTGATTTGGTTCCAGCGAGAATGGTGCCACTTTTCTCTTCTTTCAATAATGATGTGATTCCTTGGTTGGCAACATCCGCAAAACTAAAGGAATTGGTGCTTCCAGCATCCAACAGGACGGTGAAAGTCTGTCTAAACTTTTCACCTGCAGTTGTTGGCAACGACGAATGCAGGAAGCATGTGCAAGTCGTTGGTAGGAAGAGAAGTATATAGCATGCTATGATCCATGGTATTTCCTTGCTGTGCATGGTCTCATTGACAGATGTTCGTATATATATATGTATCTTCCAAATAAAAGTTCAAAGTGATGGCTCGAGATGAAATCGAAATTATCCGAATACATACAGTAGGTACATGGTATTTTAAAAAATGGTGTCTCAGATTTTTCACGTCGTGATCAAATCTCGTCGGCCAAAGCTTGTGGACCGCACACCACGCATTGGAATGGCACCTAAACATACATGTATATGTTACATTCGCAATGAAAAAGTAGGCAGTGCAGAATAGCAATCGGATCCTAGATAATAGTTATCTTGAATACTTGGTTCGCCATTCCTGTATCTGTCTTTGAGGGTGGGACATGAATACTTTTTTAAAAACTACCTCGAAGAACAGCAAAAAAGGAAGAGCAGCCTCACCTCCTAATCTGCCGTCTTCCAAGTACCAGCAACACTATCATAGCCAAATAAGATCGCCATTGTTCTTTTCTTAGTGCTTGGTCTTTGATGGTTTGCCATGACCGAGTCATCATTTCGCGACAGACTGTGGAAAAGGAGCCTTTCTTCAACATCATGCGCTTGGCCACTATTGTGGAAATCGCCCCACTTGCCACTCCGGCCAGTAACAGGCCCGTTGCTACTCCAAGCGTCGAGCTTCCTCTTCTATTGTTCCGCCTGTTAAAGTGTAGATGAGTTCCTAGCATGGCCACTGCCGACAACCCAACCGTCTCCAAGAGAGATTCCGGAATGCTTTGCAGGTACTGTTTGGCTTGCGAATAGGCAAGCCTCCGCAATATGGATACCATTTCGTCTACTGGATCGGTTGGGTTCCTGCAAAGCCTCTGTGGCGTCGATGTATCAACGGGCATGCCTTGTTTTCGTGCCTTGGCATCATCGTTGCCATTGCCATTGGCATCAATATTCATTTTACTTTCACCTCCATTTAGTGGCTTTTTCAACAAGGGTTCACTAGCAAGCGGTGATGTTGGTCTACTATGATTGAGCGACGCTTCCTCCTCCTCTTCTCCACGCTCGTCTCTCTCACCAACATTGCTGTAGTGTTCTGTTCCATAGTCTTCAATAGCCTTGATTTTGTTGGAAGATTGTGATGGAGTATGTTGATGATGTTGATTCAACCATTGTTGCATGCCTTGCGGCAACCACGCCTTGCAACCCCCCGGAGTCATTAACAATGAATTCGCTTGTTGATAATCAATTTCCAATGTCGCTTGCACCAATCGTGTCTTGTCTTCTTCTTGCAATTTCAAGCCATACATGGTGGTGGCTCCAAAGAAACCACCCACCATGCACGCCAATACTCCATCCTCGGGATCGTAAATCATGCGTAATATATCGTCCAAGACCAGACTATTGAGCAATCGGTCAAGTGAAATTCGCAAAGTGCGTTCCACCCATTTCTGCAAGTCCCAGCAAAACCACAGCATGGCACCAACGATAATGGACAGGTGCCAGAGTGTTCGAGGCGAGAGCTCTATCACATATGGTATTGCAAAGGAAACCAGTGCTCCCGCAGCGATCATGGGTCCTCGTAATATATAGGTGGGTGAGATTTGTTGCTGTTCTGCCATGTTGGTGGGTATGCATGGGCAGTCAGTGTTATCTCTTTTTTGGTGTTAGTTTCCATCGCTGATTTTTTGGACCAGAGAAAAGACTGAAGTAGTCTTTCATGATCATTGGGACGTGAATGAATTCACCAGCACTGGGATGACGTTCGGACGGCAGTGCGCACTCCGACTAATAACGGTTTTGAATAAATCTGGATCTATTTTTGAGCTTTGAGCCCGTGCCAAAGGTTGGTTTACGATTCGTCCCAAGACTGGTCTACGTAAGAACCGGCCTCCTATGTAGGTTTCGTACGTAAGTGGCGTAGGGGTTTTGTTTGGACAACCAACACCCTCGCGAAATCCAAACGAATCATCCATTCCCACGAGAAACCCCACCATCAAAAACCACCAACACGCGCTTGTAGTCGGAAGTGAGTACGCAGCAAGTGGTTGAAACCAGTCAGTCGCAAGTACATCATTTGGTTGTAGAGCTTCTTGTCTCTTGTCATTCATTCAACAACCTTGTGACAGCTTTTGGCGTTCCTATCCATCGCCAAACCAAAACACACACACAACCGATTGAAAAAAATGACCTGGCAAGGTTCCGTTTACCAAATTGACTTTTCCGTCGCGGATGCTGGAAAGCGTGTGGCTAGCACAAAGCGGCGCATTCGATGGTACGAAACTGCTGCGTTTGTATGTGTTGTCTGTTGCTGCTTGGTTGTTTGGTTGTTTGTTTGTTGCAGCACTGCAAATGATTTTGAGAAATTCTGACTCCTTGTCGTTCCGTTTTTTTGTCATTTTGAAATTTTGATACGACCATTCAATGTCATTTTCCACGCCTTTGCTTTGATTGTCATTTTCCATTCCGTTCAATCCAAATTCAAATCCAAATCCAAATTCAAATTCAAATCCATTACACTACTCTAATTAGGCGCTTTGGATTCCCCAATCCTTCCGCTTTGGAGCAAGGTGCAACTGGTACCGAATGCCGTGGTGAAGAACATGACATTGTTGTCGTTTGGTCCATTACTTCGGGAAAGCGTCAAATCTCAATGGATACCAGAGAGGTTCATTACTCCCACAATCGTGCTGGCCTCTTGGATCACACTTGGACAACCAAAGGAAATCACGTCATTAAGGTTATCTGTAACGCGTCTCCTCCCTTGTCTTCCTCGCCTGGATTTCGTCAATACGACCTTCTCGTGGATGGACAATCCTTTTTCACCATGCCTAAGGTTTACGAATTGGGATTGAAGGGTCCTTCTAACTCTTATTCTGGACGCGGTAACGGCAGGAGTGCGCCTCCACGCGGTGATTTGGCAAGGGCAGCTCCAACTACTCGAACCCAGGAAGAAGAGGATCTCAAGAGAGCCATTCAGGCGTCATTGGATGAAAGTCGGGCGCATTTGGGAGAACACGCACCACACCAGTCGGCCTCAGTTGCTGGTGCGGATTTGTTGGGCTTTAGCGAACCTGCAATGGCTCCTGCTCCACCACCAATGGATTCCAAATCGGTTGCCAGCTTTTACAGTGCACCACCCATCAACTACAATTCCAATCCAGCTCCATACCAATCCCCACCACCATTGCGAACAGCCAACCCAGTCGGTTCACCTGCCATTCCGCCAAATCCAGGAGCTTTGGTGCCTGCTGTGGCTCCACAAGGATACTATGGAGCTCCACCTCCGCCATCGACACCACAATATGCGGCCCCACCTTCTTTTGCTTCCCCACCGGCAACTGCTCCTCCTCAATATGCGGCCCCACCACCTCAACAGCAGCAATATGGGGCTCCACCGCCTCAACAGCAGCAATACGCAGCACCTCCTCCTCAACAGCAGTATGGGGCTCCTCCATCCAACAACTTGATGAATGCCCAAGTTCAATCCAATGACATTTTTGGCTTGAACTCGGCGCCAGGGGATGATCCATTTGCACCCAAGGCTCCAGGTCCACCCACCCACAATGATTTGGCCAACATGGTGTTGAATGCCTATGCTCCTCAACCTCAAACTCCAGGAGCCGCACCAATGCAAAATGGACATTATGGACCCAATGGCGGAGTGCCCAACGGGACTTCTCATCCTGGTACTACATTGACCATGAATCCCATGGCTCCAGAAGAAGAGGCACCAGCAAATGACGTGGATGCTGTTCTGAAGAAATTGGTCAATATCGATCGCATCGATGAACAACCTGATTACGGACGAAAATTGACCATGATCAAGGATGAGGAAAAGAAGAAGAAGACTAAGAACGGAAAGAGTGTTCCTCTTCCTCCTGTTGGATCTGGAATGATTGGACAAAATGCTTCTCTTCAACAAATTTCGACTGTCAAGGATGTACGTATATTATAGCCTGCTTTGCTTGGGCGGTTGCAAGAAAATCTCAAGTTTTTGAAAAATTGTTCTCATTCACACGATTACCCTTCTTTTTCAATTTTTTTTTAACAGACCAACAAACCTGTTCCACAAGGTGTCATGTCAGCCCCACCACCGGGTGTCTTTTCGCCAGGAGCTGCCCATGGCGGAGCTCTTGTGGTCCATGGTCAAGGACCACCTCCACTTCAACAAGCTCGGGGATTTGGATTGGGAGCCCAACTGCCGAATGGAGGCTTTGGACAACAGCAACAACAACAACAAGCACCCAATGCTTACCAACAACCAGCACAACAACAACGATATTACTAAATACTACTATAATAATTGCCAAAAAATTAATTCGTAACATGCCTAACATACTAAAATTGAAAATTAAGAGTCCATTCACTTCAACTGTGTTCTACCGGTATTTTATAATACAATTTGGGAGTGCAAGGAGGCAGCTTATCTGAGTTTGATTCTATTTCATAGTAGATCGCGCGAACGATAACGCATGTCTGTCAATCAAATGATTGATTGATTGATTGATTGATTGATTGAATCATTCATTGGTTCGTTCAATCACTGCTAAATTGGGCATCTGTTCGGGTGAACAAAGCACGGTATACTGGAAGGTCCCTTTCCAAAACACTGATCTCTCGTTCCGTACGTACGCCAAGAAGATTCTCCTCAACATAGTCTAGCTGAATGGCTTCACTCTCGTCGTCATTATCATTGTCATCATTGGCATTAATGTCAACGATTTCAGGCGAAATGCTGTCCTGAAAGTATTGGGATTGAAGTCGGAATTGGAATCGCATATCATCCAATACGGATTGAATGTCCGACTGCAACCATACCGTGGAACCAGGTGGCATGAATTTAGCCAATGTGGTCACCAATTCCGGTCGAACCACTCGTCGTTTGGCATGGCGGGCTTTGAAATGAGGATCCGGGAATTGGATCGTGACCATTTGCAAATTGAGGAGGTCCTCGGGGTTGCTGTCTTGGAGGAGTTGCAAGAGTCGTTCCAAATCAACATTGGCGTTACAGCCGACAAATCCCAACTTTCCCTTGAGGGATGATGCATCACCACCATCTTCTCGTTTTTCTATCCGTTTTTGAGCATGGTAAACGACAATGGGACGAATCTCCAGACCCAGATAATTGTAATCTGGTTCCAGATATTGATTATTGGTTGCATCTCCTGGTTGTTGCTTCATTTGAGTCGTTGCCATGTCAATTAAAAATCCTCCTCGTGAGCAGCCAATATCCAAAAATAGAGGCTTGGACAGATCGTCGTAAGTATCATAGGGCCAGTTGGGCGTCAACACGGTCGGTTGTTGGAATTTCGCCGACAGTGGATTGACATGTTGCCGTGACCGGAAAGCATTGTTGCGGCTTTGGACTTTTTCCGCTAGACGCACAGGGTCCCAAGGAGAAAAAGGTTCCGAATGAGCGAATGGTTCTGAATCGTTTTGGGTGGATGAATTATTATTGTCTTGGTCCGTTTCGGATGCCGTGCTGAACAGGTTCGTAGAAGTAGCAAAAGATTTCGACAGGCGGTTTGATGGGAGATTATTTCGCACAAATGCTCTTGAAGACGATGCCAACAGAATATTGTACATGATGAATTGAACGGGCTTGGTTTTCATGTTGTACCTAGTCTTCTGTGTTGTGTAGACTTGGAAGATATGATTCGTCTTAGTTGGAAAGAACAAACGTGATGGGTTCTCCACTCTTGTCTCCACAATGGATGGACGGATGTCACGTATTGTGGACAGACCATAGTAGTCGTTCCAGTCGAACATTGAGTCGATCATTCATGAAAGCAACCAATATCAGCACAAACCACTGTAACCACTCCTGCCATGAGTTCAAATTCAACCCAACCATCACAACTTCAGTTGCAAGCAATACGACAACGAAACGACCCACAGCAACCGAAACAACGGCGTCAAGTCCTATCGGAAGAAGCGTACACGTCAACACTGTCCAGAATTGTTCAACGGGATTTCTTTCCGGCACTGACAAACTTACAAGAGCAGTCAACATTACTGTCACAGCGGAACCATTATCACCCACACACCTTGGCCAGAAAGCTGCATCAACTCCAAGCGAAACACGAACAAGAGGAACTAGAAAAGGCAAAGCAAGAAGAAGAGTCTCAAATAGAATTACACCAGGATGGCGAAAATGAAGCTTCCGCAAATGGTAGCACAGAATTGGTCGTCGCAGACCAGGAGTCCGGGCAGCTGATTCGTGCCACCGCTCGGCCACTTCATGAGGAAACTCTGACTGGATTCCACGCGAGGGCCACTAACGAGGACGATGACGAATTTGATAAACAGCAAAAACGAGAAGTTCAGGCAAACCGACAGCGACTTGAGTCTCTCTTTCTTCTCGGTCGTAACCCAAATGATGATGCAACAAAGAGACTGACCAATGGGGATGACTTTAGAATAACATCCGACAGCACCGCCGAGGACATGGTCAATGCGCTTCGGAAGGCCGAACAAAACCGAATCCAAGCTGCCAAAGACGAGTCGCACATGGCGTCGGATCAATTTGAAAGTGAACCCTATCAACCGACGCATCATCCAGTTCCACCGATTCGCAATGGTCTCTTTTTACCTCCAACACCACAAGTGCACGGCCCACGAAATGGCAATAGCCAAACTTCTCAACAGCTATTGACCAACGGAGAAAACAGGAATGGATCTGCGAACCAAAGCAATCTGCAATTGGCCATGCCACCACCACTTCCAGTACGCAAGCAAGACACAACACAACAGAACAATACCCAATCTTCACTCCCAAAGACTTTACTGGTGGAATACATACCCAAATACTGTTTGGAAAAGAAAATTGTACCTTCCCAAACGAGGTTTCCGCCAGTCCGAGTACTTCCACCCAATGCCGACCAACAGACAAGATTATTTGGCCAAACATCATCTGCCCTATCACGATACACTCGCGGCCGTCGTCCCCACGAATCCGATTCGGAGTCGGATGGCTGGAGTACCGATGCCTCCACAGATCTGGATGCACCCTTGCGACCCGTGGAAATCGAACGACGAATACAACAAGCCAAGCGAGTCAAGGAGCATGGGACCTACGTCAATATGACCCCTGTCATTGAGCCTGGTTCGGGGCGTCATCGATCTCCGATTACTACTTGGGGAACAGTAGCTTTTACACCGATTGTGGTATCGGGAAGTGAACACATTGTAGAAGTAGCAGCAGAGGAATCATCCAACGATATGACTAACGCATACAAAATGGCCGAGGAAAGTGGACGAGAAGTGGCCGCACGCAAAGCCGAAGAAGACCTAGAACGGCGGGCAAAACGCGCCAAGACCACCAAGAAAAGTGGCAAATTGAGCAGTAGCAGCAGTCACAGCAAGAGCAACAAAAGGAGTAACAGTACCCTTAGTACTGCGGCTAGCCGATTTATGGCCAGTCGAAGCGGTTCATCCTCGCGGCAACGTGATGCCTTTGCATCGGCCATTCGAGGATCTTACACACCAAAACGACAATCCTCGTTGCTGTCGTCTAGCAGCAGTACTAGTAGTAAACGGAGCAAGGAAGGAAGCGTGTCTGGCAGCAAACGTGGACGCACTCGGGATCATGCTCACAATGCAACACCTTTGGCCAGTCGATCTATCAAATAGCTAAACATGATGCAAATATTCTCTTTTTCTATTGTTAAGTACTTTGAATAGCTCTATTTTAATTTGCGACTCCATAGCATTGGTTCATTCTGGTTCCCATCTAGCTGTTTCGTGTACACGTCACGCCAGGCAGACCTACTGAAAAGAGACTTGAATCGCTTTTTCAAGGGACCTCCATCTGATTGCCAGTAGCCATCATCACAACATGCCTGAAAGATAGTGGTGGCAACCTTATCGGCACGTTCACTACGATTGGTCAAGACTCGCATCAATACTCTTGTCAAGATTGGATATGTCTGGGGCCCAAGTTGGTCGTCCTGACGAATCTGGCCAAAGGTCTCTAATGCGGTCGTGAGAGCGGCGTCTTGATTCGACGGCTGAACAGAGGCGCAGGCATCCATCAAGGAATGTCGACTGAAAGAATCGGGTTCTATGCCATACTGAGCAAACATGCTGTAAAGCCCACAAACTGTTTCGTAAACATCGTCATTGGAGCTCTTGTTCACACATTGCATTATATAATTCAAGCATTTTGTGTCTGGGGCAACTTCGAGGGCCTTCATGCGATCCAAGAGTACAAGCGACTTTTTCCCAGCAACCTTGATCTTAGTAGGATCCTGCCGATATGCCAATAGGATCGTTTGGAAAATCTCCGCGTTGGGCTTGCACGATTCTTCCTGAGTCCTGGTGTAAAGTTCGAGAATTTCATCCAAAGCGCTCTCCACTTTGGACGCATCCTTTTCTGCCGTCGAGAGAGCCCTTGTGTACGATGCAAATATCTCTTGATTGGGAAGCAGATTGGAATAACCTGATTGATAAATGCCTCGCAGTCGTCGAAATGTCGAAATTACTCTTGGAGCTGTCTTTGGGGTGTACCATTTCCGACAGATGAGGCGTTGGTAGCAATCGATAGAAATCATGGACTCTTCCCTATTCGGTGGGCTGGGCTGTAGCAGTGCCTTTTCTGCTCGTCGAAGATACTCCTCAGCTTCGTTGAAAAGATTTCGATATGTCAACAACGACAGTATGCCATGCAGGAAATCTCCAAACTCCTCCGACTTTACATCTTGTGCATTTTGTCGGACTCTTTCCAGCACGTCAATGTAGATTGCCTCAATATCGTCCAGTGCTTTCGTCTCATATTTGAACAACGCTTGGACTGCAGTCTTGTGCAAGGGAAGATTCAGGTCACCTTCCAAATCGGAAACGCGCTTCAAAATCTGAACAATGATCTTTGGGTTTGATGTTCTCTCACTGAGCTTTTGGAAAATGCTGGTAAACAAAGGCGCTGGTATCATTGAAGCTTCTACTTTCAATTTTCCTAGCACTTCTTCGACCAAAGGAGTCATTTGTTGCTCCAGGACAACTAGTTGCGTTGCCTGTTGCACGAAGAGCCCCTTTTCCTTTCCAGCAAATGCTTCCCAATTTGCCAACTGTAGCTGTATCCAGTGAGATGCTTTAGCTGAATTGTCTGCTCTCAAAAAGAACTCGATCATCTTGTCTACAACCGTTGCGTCCATTCCTTTCTCTTCTATGTACTTGTTGGCTAGTCTCTCAACGAGGGCTCCTTGAGTATCCTCTGCATCTCTAATTGCATTTATGACACGTTCTCGATAGTCCGTTGGTGCCACTTCCTCTGCTTGAGTCGTCTCTTGTTGTTCATCAGGTACAGGTGTTATTTGTTCCTTCGGAGTTACTTCGTCTGCTTGAATTGTCTCTCGTTGTCCCTCAGGTACAGACTGTATTTCCTTTACATTCAAATCGTCCAACGCGTCCCAATGTGATTTTTCTGTCAAATGATTCATTCTTTGTATTATGACATCATGAAGTACCGAATTTGCCTCGAGCTTTGCATAGACAAGGTTGAAGTAGGGGGTCAAGTCGTTGTCAAAGTCTTCTGAATAATCGGTGGCGTACAACAAAAGGGTTGCAACTTTCTGGACAGCAACAGTGTTGTTCTTGTTTCGTAGCAACCAACCCTCTATAACTGTCACCAACTCTTCGATAGGAAAGATTGCTGAGTAATAAACTTGTCGAGATATTTGTCTTCGGAGCACCTCTTCCGCCTTGATTAGAGCCAATTGAGACTGTTGATGTAGTGCATAGGTGTCGATCCATGATTTCAACAGCATGCTATGAAGCTGCATAAGTGTAGCTGATTTCTTGTCGTAGAAATCACTATGTGGGTTCAAGACGGAAAATTCGGCATCAAGCCGCTGTACTAGTCTACCAGCCCTGTCCAATCCGAACCCTCCTCCAATTTGAAACCACCCATCGATCGTGTTCAAAGTCTCGTCCCATAGGGAATCATCCATGGATCCAAGGGGAACAACACGTGAATTCAGCGCATTGATAGTAAACCGTTCCAGCTGTCGCTCGTCTCGCATGGTTTTCATTGACGTAGATTGATGGCGTCGATGATTATGGTCCATCATAAGGAAAGGATGTGGTCGTCGGCCAATTGATGCATTGGGATTCCACCTAGAACGCGATGTAGATTGAAATACATATCGCTGTAACGGTCCATAGTGCAGCCTCAGTGGTGTGCCAGGTCCACCGAGACGTATTCTGTGCATTTCGAATCTATCTTGATGGTTAGGAAAACAATGGCAGCGATGACGATGATGTTGATGACGAACAAAATGTGACTGTTCGTTTCCACTGAGTCAAACAACGGTAACACGGTCAGACGACGGGAGTGAAAGTTCGTCTAAAATCAAGGAGTAAAGAGATTAGCCTTGATGTGCAATATGTAGAGCAAGACCTTGTCCATTTTAATTAAAACGATGGCTGCCCATGTACTCGGAATCGATAAATACATGTGAAATCATCATTCCCCCAGTTGTCCAAGATTTTCAGTGTAATTCCTCCAATGTCAGTTTTTGGCGGTGAACTGCAAGCTGCCTCTTGAGCTTCGTCAACCGAGCAAGATCCTTCGCCTTCCTCGCCCTCCTCTATGGATCCCTCGGATCGAGCATAGATAGTATTGAAGGTTTGGACTGATGGTCCTTCAATATCATAGTCGACGTAAGCAATATCAATAGGATCGTACATATCAAAACCCATTGAGTAGCACTCGTCTCCCTTGTTGGTACAAGCTGGATACCCAATGACCTTAATGGTCTTGGGAGCTGAGCCATACATGTCCTCTGGGATCAGATTCAGATTTACGTGATCAATAGATACAGTCTCCATGCTCATTGGATACGCCAGCCGCATAGTAACCTGACCCTTCTTTCCTTCCATTGGCCAGCATGCACCAAGAGTTGTCTTGTCTTCCAAAATGGCTTCAGGTGGAGCCACTTTGGCACCCTTGATGTTCTGAATTGATCAAAAGAAAGGTTTTTGTGAATAATATGCATAGAACAGACAAAACGTGCAGACATGGATATGCATTGCTTACAAGAGAATGATACACTGCTGCTGGAATGCCCAAATTCCATTTTTCCCATCCTTTCGGCAAGAGTTGTTCCCAATCCTCTGGAATGTATTTGCGCCACAAAGAATTCCCCAACAATTCTGATTCATCTGGTGGTGGAGTATAGGTTGCCGACGTCAACGAATGCACAATATTGGCTCCTTGCGCATGATCCACCAATCCAATGCCATCCTTGGAATATTTGGTCACAGCGGAAGCAACTTCTTGGACAATTTCATTTACGGACGGACAATCGGGAGGCTTGGACACGCTATTGGCCAAAAGTTTCGTCTTGTACTTTTCGACTTCATCCTTCATGATGTCCATGGCCCAATCTTGAATCTTCTTTTCACTTTGACTCATTATTCGAGAGACATCCAACCGCTTTTGCAATTCCGCAAGGGAGACAATCTCTCCAGGATCGACAACCTCTTCATCTTCTTCTTCCTCCTCCTCTATGATTTCACCGTAACGTTCAACATAAGCGTCCAATGAGGCTCGCAGTTCCAATTCCTTTTCCAAAGTCTCCACCAATCGCTCGGCCAATGATTCCAATTGCATGACGTTGGCCTCCTTCATCAACTCATCAATCGAGTCTTGCCTTTCTTTGAGAGAGGCTTGCATATTTTCTAATTCTTGGCTCTTTGTTACCAATTCGTCAATGGAAGCCAAGAGGCCGTCTTCCTTGCCGGCATCCAGGGATTGCAAAAAGCCTTGGGCGGCTTGAAGGGTCGCCAACAAGGACTCTTCGGAAAGCTCGGGTGTTTCAGCAGCAGGAAGTTCAGTGTCATTCGATGCATTAACATGGTTGTTGCCTATGCTCAGAAGTAGAGAAGCGAGACAGACGAGATTTATTCTCATTCTTTCTATGTCTAGATGGAGCGGGAGTGAGTGTTGTTGTGGTTGTGGCTGTGGTTGTGGTTGTTGTTATTGTTATTGTGTTTGTGTTTGTGAACGGCGATTTGAATAATCGTATTAGTCGTATTCCAGCCACCAAAATAATTTTCAAAATGACAACACGCACCCCGTTCCATCTTTGAAATTTTCGGAAGTAGTATATACATAGGTATCCCAGATGAAAAAGATGCCAAACTGCCTGGACAGTACAGCTTCCTCCAATCAAACCGTGGCTTCTTCGGTTCGAAATTTTCAGGGCATCTCTGAAATCCTACGACATCGTGTAAATCCCACGGAATGGGTGCCTCATGGGACTTTTCTTCTCCCAATCCAAGATTCTTCTTCGATGCCAGTTTCTCTATCTTTGAGGATCTTGACGAAATCGATCGTGAAGACAACTTGAAAAGTTGAAGCACTTAGTATACATCGCGATGACGGTTGACGAGTCATGGGGCATGGTTCAAGAGAACGAGAGCGGGGAGGAGATGTCTACATCCGAATACTCCTTTGGCTCCGTGGACAGCGATGAAAGTTTTATGGATCTTGCAAACTCGTTTGGAAGGTCTTTTGACATTAATATGTTGAAGGAGTCTATTGAGACTGGAAGCAAGATCCTCGAGCATGTTACCAACAAGAATGTCGTTCTCGTTATCGGAAAGACAGGTGCTGGCAAATCAACTTTTATCCAAGGCATTGCTGGAAAGGAACTTCACGAAACTGTCCATGTTACCATGTGTGATGGGAAGGCAGTGGAAAAGAGTGTCTACGATGCCAAGGAAGCCCTGCCTGAGTTCATTATTGGACATTCGAAATCGTCCCAGACAAAAGCATTCTGTTTTTTCGTTCCTCCGAAGCAAGATGGCAAGGAGGAGATAGTTTACATTGACACTCCGGGCTTCGAAGACACTCGTCACGAAGAGATTGATATTGCAACTTCTGTCATGTTGAGTCACATTGCCAAGAAATGCAAGTCCCTACGTTTTGTGGTATTGATCAACTACACATCACTTCTGGAAGATCGAGGCGGTGCAGCTCGTTCAATTTTGAGGTTCACTCGAGCATTTGTCAAAGACTTTTCAAAGGACAAGAAAGGCTTCATGTTTCTCTTCACCCATACGAATGAGATCAGCGGAGTTTCCGACGATCTGGCCAGTTCCAGGAAGGCCCTCCTGGAAGAAATCTCGAGACTAAGGGCTGATTCAGACACTAGTGATAAGGACTTGTTGGGTCTTCTTGATTTTCTCAAGATTTCGTTACTTAAACGGTATCCTTTTATTGATGTTCTGCATCCAATGGAGTCGAACTTTGAGACTTTGAAGTCTTCGATCGAAAAGAAGCTTTCCAAGATCAAGTCTCCTACTATGGCTGAAAGCTGTGGTCTGACAGGGGCATCGCGAAACAGGTTGACAGGTGAAATCACCTCAATCATGCTTCGTTCTCGTCAGCATTTGCAATCCGAGCCCCCAAATGTGCAAGTTGTCCGTGACAACCATGAATTGTTGCAGTACCTAAGTAGCGAGATCAATTTTAGTGAGGTTCAAAAGGCCACCGACGAAAGCTCAGCTTGGATTGAAAGGTTTGTTCAGCACTCCAAGAGATCAATTGAAGATGAAATTTCCAAGGGAGGTGTCAATGATGAGATGTTTTATGCTGCTAGCGCAAAGCATGTGCGAGAAATGCTTGAGCAGCTTGATATTCTCGGAGTACAGAAGTTGTCCGAATGCTTCTTCAGAAAGATTGGCGATGTGGTTTCCGTTTGTTGCTGCAGCCTGCAATTAGACAGAAGTGTCATGAGTCACTCTAGTATCCGAACATTGAACAAGCTTTCGTGTTGGTGCAATGCTTTTCCGGAGTTTGTAGATCAATACACAGCCGCGATTGAAGAATTGAAAAGCGCCATAGCCAAAAACATTGAAACCATCAATCAATTCAATTGTGATGGTGAAGTCGATCCCGAAGCCATTTCTGGCTTTATGGACAGTGTTTGCCTCCTAAACTCAATTCTGCGAAACATGGACCCACTGATGAATCATGATTTGGATTTTGACAACATGAAGAATGCTCGAGAGCATTCACTTACCGTAGCGCGTCAGCTTCTCTTCTCTTTGAATGAAGATGATTCAGATGCTCTGGGTGTCGTTGCACTAGACGAAGAGTCTCTTGAGAATCTCTCAGCTCGAATTGGTGTATTAGAGGCAATGCGTCTTGGTCTAAGTGCTGTCAAAGATTTTGCTGACTTAGCATCCATCGCAGGCGAGCGATTGGCCTCCCTTCAAGGAAATGTTTCAACTCACTTTGAAGCAATGTGCGACGACGTGAAGAAAAGCGGCATCGATCAAGTGCGAGTGTCTTTGCAACGGCTTCAAGCCGTTTTGAACAGATGCTATGGGATCGCTGGGCTAGCTTCTGGTGAAATGCATCGAAATTTCCAAAACTTGCTCGGAATCGTGGAGCAGAAATTTCGATCTGCTTCAGAATCACTTCTTCGGATTGCACTGCCAATGGATTCGGCAGAATGCGTTCTGAAAGGAGGCGAAGCTGGTGTTGCTCTCAATGAATTCGCACAGCACATATGGTTCGATGAATTGCTCCCTGAGGGAATCTCCATTATTGCGGAGACATGCGATACTGTGCGCGATGCAAATGAGCGTTTTTGTCAGACTATTCGAAAAGAGATTGTCGATCATTTGGATATAAAGAAGCTGAAGACGACAGATATTAATGAACTTCAGAAAGCCTGTCGCTTTAAATCGATTGCTACGCTCAAGCAAGTGAAGATCGCCTACAATCGGTTCCTTGAGATTGAGGAGTTCGCAGAAACAACCAACAATGAGGCGATGCTGATCGATTGCAATTCGGTGCGTTCCATGATTTTCACACGCACAAGGAGAGCAATGAAAGCGATGAAGGATTTGACAAAGGCATCAACTCTAGATTTTGAACAAAGAGAGAAGGCCAGAACTATATTCGTGCGATTGAATGCGCACTTGGAAGAGATTCAACTGCTTACATTGTTCACGAAAGACCAAGAATACAGCAAAAGACTGGAGTCTACCAGAGGATTACTCTTGGCAACTGTCAATGGATTCGTTGAAGTCATCGAGGCAAGTTTTAAATCAGAGACTGACTTTAAAGCGATGGCAAGCATTTTGCTTGTCTTGTCAGAGCTCGACTACGGCGACAGTCACTTCGTCAACAGTCTCCTCCCGTCTCTTCCTGATTTGATTTCGCAAGCGAGACAAGCCGTGATGAAATCTGTTGACAAAGTGCAAAAGCTTGTCTCCGCGACTTCAAACTGGGAGGAGATTAACTTGCAAATGACCCTACTGAATGGTGCTCTTGCTCTTGATTCTTTTTTGGAAGGCGATGTTGCAATACAACTGCAGACTTTAAAAGCTTTTCGAGAAGGGAAAGAAACCAGAGTCGACTCGAGGATCGATGAGATGATTGCTGCTGAAGATTACTTGGGAATTGGAGAGCTTTTATCACCGCTCGCAAATTCCAAGGACCAGCTCAAGAGAAAGAAGTTCAGCACATGCATCCTTCTGATCGAAGCTGCTTTGGAAATGCGCTCAGGAAAGTCTTTGGATTTTCTCCCTCGTGGTCTGCCTCCTATGGAGACCACATTTGCAATCGTTCAGAACCTCGATAAGTTGAAAGAGGCTGATCAAGAGCTTTTCAAACACACCAAATTTGGATCGTACCCTAGGGAATTGCGAAACCTGAAAGAAAGCATCTCCAAAGATATGAAAAAATTGAAGTCGACATTGAACCAAAAGTTACGTCAGAGCCTTGAACAATTGGAATCCGATCTCAGCGATTTTCGCATTGGACGGATAGCTGCAGACCGGAAGGCTGTCATGAGGTTTACTGCGGCAGCTAGAAAGCATATCTTTGGGCATAACAGTGATCGTCTCAAGAAAGTTCTGGATCACTACGACAAAATTCTTGCATCCGTCCCAAAGCTCGTCACTCAATTCTTTGATTCGTGGTTCAAAGATGGGAAGGATCTCGTCACAATTCTTCGTTCTCTCCGACGCGCGTCGCTCTCGGGCAATCCTGAGACGGTCGACATCGCAGAATTGTACAACAAAACAAAAAACGACCTGAACGATCGTTTGGACGATGCTATATTGGAGATCGAAACAGTTGTTGGCGAACAAAAATGCTATGGCGATGGCATTAATGTATTTCGATCATTGCAGCGTTGTGTAGATTCTGGCCTTCGGGAGCACATCATTGACCAGAGTATATTCAAGATAGAAGAGTTGATGGAAGCATGGCATTCGGACGGCATTGTCATCTGCAACCAGAGCAAGGGAGAACATGAGGGAGCCTATCTAGAAATCGCAGCAACATTAGATCGACTCGATCCTTCTGGGCCGAGCTTGTTGGGATTCAAAAAGTTGAAGGCATGGTATTGTGGTGAGGAGTATAATTCGCTCAGAACTTACACTGAGAAGGTATGTCGAACCATTTATAACAGAGGCATGACCGCAATGCGAAGCAGAAATCTTGATATGGTTGACAAGTGCCTGCAGCATCTCATTGCATGGAATGCAGCTGTTGGCAAACATGTGAAGGCAGTTGCCACGAACATCAAACTATTGCAGAATTGCCTTGAGACAGTTTATCTTGATGTTTGTGAAAAGTTGAAGAGTGCTGTTCAAGGAACCAGCACGCTGCATTGCAAGAGCCTCTTCGATGAGTTTCGTCAGATTCTTGTGGAAGCGCCATCAATCCTTCAAATGGACGACTGTCGAAGAGCATATGCGCTTACAAATCAGCTTTTCTGCGAAAAGCTTGAAGGAGAAGTTGCAAAGGTGAAAGACGCCCTGCAATTGAAGCAACCATACGACTTTTTGGAGATCAAGGTGATCGTCGAAGATGTCAGGTCCTTTGGCGACTTTATGGCAGATCACTACGCTGTTCTTTTTGAAGAAGTGAAGCACAAAGATATTTTTCTGAAGCGAATTGCTGAAGTATGCCACGAACACTTCAAGGATGGCCGTGACTTTGGAAACATTAGACATTATATTGCTCTCGGATTGGCGCCTTCAGCGTCACATCAGGATATCAAACGTGCATATCACGTGTTGATGAAGAGGTTCCATCCAGACAAGATGGCTAATAGGGATGACAACACGAGTGTAGAAAAGTGTAAAAGATTGAACGAAGCATGGGAAGCTCTGAATGACGTACAACGATCGAGCACGGTTTCAGAGGGTAAGCCCTTCTCTCGTTTGATACATGGCGTGAGGGACTGTCTCTTGGCAGCTGTTCGAGGAAATCTAAGAAATCAACAATACGAGGCTGTCGCACAACTTCTCGGTCGACTGTACGCTGTTCGAGAACTCGAAGATCTTGTGTCTCCTCCGCTTGATTCAAAGCATATTGAAGAGTCTGTTACTGATCTTGTGCGGAACCATGTTGAGCGGCTTCGGGTGTCCGTGAAGTCACACTGGTCAGAAAGGCATTATAAAGAACTTCAACAAGACATTGATGATTTGAAATTGATGGAGAAACACTTCAAGTCGGCAAGTAAAACAGCACTTGTATATTGTTGACAAAGGCGTTCTAACAAACAAACCTGGTATCATTCAAATTGTAGCACTCTGCAGTTTTTCACCAGTCCTGGAACGATGGTATCATGAAGTCAGTTGAATCTGAAGTACAGGACTTGGGAAATGAAGCTTGCTTGTGCTTAACGTCAGAGCAAACTGCAAAAGAAAGATTTGAAGAATTTAGACGTATTTTCCTGCGCATGGGATTCGTTCTAGTTGAGTTGCCACTCTTCAAAGCATATACGAAAGCAACCATGTCCTCAGTTCTGCAACGATGCCTTGATGAAAAATGGGGTTATGGCTATGTCTTCGAACTTGGATTGTCGCTGCGGACGCAAGGTGTCGATGAGAACTTGGATGAAGACCGAGTGGCCCAGATGCTGCTTTCGGAGTTCAGCCACTTCAAAGAAGTCATGACTATGGTATGGAATGAAGAGACAATCCGAAAACCAGCCGAAGATACGGTACAAGATATTCGAGGATATTTCCAAAATGCATCACAACCTGATTGTAGAGAAGAGGTCGACATTGAGCGCGACGAATTGCTCGACCATTTCCGCTGTTTTGATGCTGCGTACAAGACTTTGCTTGTAGAGTTTTTGCCTGATGGAGCTGACATAAATGATTTGGTGCGTAAAACGACAAAGCTGGCAGAGCAACTGAAACCGCTATCGTGTGCCAAAGGATGGGATGCGAAGGTCAAGAAATCGATTCCGAATCTTCTCGCTGGAATCTTTGCATTATTCACTGTGTTAAAATCTGGAGTCGCTTACAACAGGCTGGAATCGTCTGCTGGGACACCAACAGTACTTGGCGACGAACTGTTGATGAGGCCACACAATATCCAAGTATTAACACTGCTGTGCATGTTTGGATGTGGGCAACCATCCCATGAAACTCTGGAAAGTCAGCTAATGCAAATCAGGACTGGGGAAGGAAAATCGATGATACTGGGAGCAGCTGCAACCTTCTTGGGTCTTTTAGGGTTTCGAGTTCGATGCGTTTGCTACAGCGAATACCTTTCTGATCGCGATTACGGTCTTTTCGAAGACGTCTTTCGCCGATTCCAGATTCACGAAGACGTGGTTTATAGTAAGATCACCACACTCTCTGAGGACACGACAGCAGCAAAAGGAGACATTCGATACTTGACAGAATCGCTGGTGCTTGGGAGCCTACCGAACAGCTCCCAAAAGCGCGACGGGGAATCATCGACTCAGATTGCAGTGGCTGGTGCGTCTGTCTACGAAAGAGAAACACCACAAGACTCTTCTAGGCTTCAATGTATCAATTCCATTGAAGAATCGGCGAAAACAACTTATCGAATTTCTGCTACCGGCATTGGCCTCCCTGATAAACTGCAGCGACAAAGGAGTGGGGAACAGCTTGAAACTACCGCGACTACATCTTCTGCCAATCCAACTGTCATGGCTAGTTCCGAACGAAACATTAAGCCACAGCAGATAAAAGTACAACTCGAAACTGTTTCCAGCCACTCACCTGCCGAACCAACCGTGATGGCGACTTCCGAGCGAGTCGTCCAGCATCAAACGGGAGAACAACTGTTTGAAACTACAGCTGGCCAATCGTTAGCTAAGGAGATTGTGAGGAAGAGTGATGTGGGAGATGTGCAACTGCAAGAGAGAGAACACCGGCTTAAGGCCGATCCTATTCAACCGCGTGCAAAGCCTATTGTGGCGCCTACTTTCGAGCGAAAGGTCAAGGAGGAAATTTTGCTTGTTGATGAAGTTGATGTGTTTTTTGGCCAAGAGTTTTATGGCCAAACATACAATCAAGTAGCACAACTGCGGGAACCTGAAGTTTCGGAATTGCTGCAAATCATCTGGAAACATGACGGCTCTCAGAAGAAGCTACGCCTTGCGGATATCAAGAGTACCGACCCATATCTTCGTCTACTACAGAAGATGGATGGATTTGAATTCCTTCTCGAGAACGAAATATCCTTGATGTTGAAGCATGTGACCCGAATCGATGACGAACCTTACTTTTTGGATGAGATTGAGCAGAGAATCGGATACAAGGTCATGGACACGATTTCATACAATGTGACATATGGATATCGAACTGTGTTCGCCTACCTTCAAGAGTATGACCGAGGCAACATCAACGATCAAACACTGTCAAGAGTTCTGACAATGCCAATTTCGTGTGGGCAGTTTTCCTATGCTGACATAACTCCAACTAGGATCCTGGGTGTTTCGGGGACGCTTGACGTAATGAGTCGGTACGAAAAAGAGGTATTGACAAGATACGGTGTGAACACGTATCTCTATGTTCCAAGTGTCTATGGACAATCGAACTTCTCCTTCGATCAAGCTGGCGAAGGAATCGCAGTGGAAACCAACAAGAGCAATTTTTATCACAAAATCTGTGAAGAAATAAAGAAAGTCTCCGACGAAAAACGTGCTGTTATAGTCTTTTTCAAAGACCTTGAATCAGTTAAAGACTTTGCATCAAGTCCATTATACCAAAAGCTTGGACGTCAAAAGAAAATTCTCTCAGAAGATATGGTACCATCCGAAAAGGACTTTGTGATCAGTAAAGCTGCAACAGCAAAGCAGATAACGATATGTCCAGCTGTTTTTGGACGAGGAACTGACTTTTTTTGCAAGGACGCAAAGGTAGAAAAGTGTGGTGGCGTTCATGTCATTCAGACTTTCCTGTCTGAGCAACGAAGTGAGGAAGTGCAGATTCAAGGCCGTACTTCTCGTCAGGGCAAAAAGGGGTCATACAAACTGATCTTGCACGAATGTGACCTCGTGAAGACATTCGGAATGAAAGATGGAGAGAAAGACACCGTCCCGAAGTCTGATTGGTACCAATGGCTCTGTGACGCCAGAGATAGATATTGTGATGAGCATTCCAAGAAAGTGGAAAGGAATCTAGCCGCAGCAACAAAGAAAGACCGCAACACTCATGACTATTTCGATGCGCTTTTAGCAGCGAAGCAATCCAGGGCGGAATCGCTCTTTAAGGAAATATATCTGGCAATGAAAAGGCCACTTCCATCTACAGTGATCCTGGATATGGCATTCGCCATTGATACCACCGGTAGCATGCATCGTTTCTCTCAAGAATTGCCATCGATTCTAGTCAAATTACTTCAAGGCCAAGATTCGATAGCAGCCAAGCTCAAGGTGAAGTTTCCAGAGCTCACGTTCAAACTTCGTGTTGGTGTGCTCGGCTTTCGTGACATTGATGATACTGCTGAACACTTCGAGGAGAAAGTCTGGTCCGATGGGTCTCATTTTACAGAAGACATGGCAAGTGTGTCGGTCTTGGTCCAGTCTCTGGCTTCTGCATCGTCCGGAGGCCATGATCTCGCGGAAGATACGGTTGGAGCAATCCATCGTTGTACAGCTTGGAATCAAAATGGGGATTGGGCAGGGACCATCAAATGTCTTGTCGTGTTGACTGACGCTCCAGCCCATGGTCTCGCACCTACTGAATTTGTCAATATTCAGAACGGGGATACCTACAGTGTTCGCCATCCAAATGGATTGACTGTAGAATCTGTGGTTAGTGATATGATGGCAAAAGACATTGACCTGTTCTTTTGCTCTTTTGATCCTGCAGCCACGAGTAAGACCGAGCAAAGGCTGACAGACGCCTATTTCAAGGATGCCGGAAACTCACACGAGAAACAAGTTGCGTGCATTCCAATGGTGCAATCCAACCAATCCATGGGATCATTGGCATTGACCTTATCGACCAAGCACATCATATTCATTCTCGACGAGTCCGGTTCGATGGAGGATGACTGGCCTGGTGTTGTTGAGGCGTACAACAAGTATGTTGCTCGGCGCCTTCAAAGCCAAAGTACTCTTGATCTGGTATCCATTGTCCAGTTTGACGATAATGCAAGGCTTACAGTCGACTGTGAGCCCATCACATCTGTTCCAAACACTCTTGATTACAATGGTGGAGGAACTCGCTTCAGTCCTGCGGCATCTCTTGGGTCGCAAGCAGTCCAACAATCACCAGCATCGCATGCTCCTGTTGTTGTTTTTATGAGTGATGGTGGAACTGATCCTAGTGATTCTGCACAAGCCTCACAAACACTTTCACAGCTGAATTCGATTGTATTGCAACGGTACAATCGAGACCTTGAGCTCCATGTTATCGCTTTTGGAGGCGGGGCCGATACAAGACAGCTACTGGATATTTCACAAGCTTCCAATGTTGGCCGGCTTCATGCTAGTGCTGACTCAACAGCACTCACTCAGGTGTTTGAAAGCATTGCTGGCGGTGAAGATGTTACCGCGTTGATGGAATCCCAAATCGGCAAGCGAATATCCGATGCTGTTGCAAACAAGCTCAGTCTAGAGTACATTGGATAATTCATTGTTATCAGTAACAGCAGTAACCACTGTGTAGCTCGAGATCAGTCCCCATGTTGTATTCGTCCGTTGCTATGGTGGCCAAGGAAAGGAGCACTCGAAGTTAGTTGATCGTATGAGTCAATCAAGTCCACTCAGTCAATGAAGGATCGTGGATCGTGGCACATATTCTGATTCCAAGTTGACAGTGCGCAAAGAATCTTTTGTGAGTATCCCGATCCATCAACAAACCCTAACCGATAGCGTCATTGTTTGACCACTCCCGTCGAAGGCCCACGAATCTTGGAGTTGTTCACACAAAAGGAAAACAAGAGGCTTTATTGAAATTTCCAACGTCCCTTTACGCTTGATACAAAAATGCGGAGCCAAGAAGACTGGGCAAATGCGGTGCAAGAAAATGATACCAGCAGTGAAAGGTCCAATTCCGAATTCTCCTTTAGTACTCACGAAAGCGAGGAAAGTTTTGTACATCTTGGTACCACGTTGACAAGACCATTTGATATCAACATGCTGAAAGAATCCATCGAGACTGGCAGCAAAATCCTAAATGACATTGAAGGAAAGAACGTAGTCCTCGTCATTGGAAAGACGGGCACTGGCAAGTCCACTTTCATTCAAGGCATTGCCGGGAGGCATTTGTGCGAAACTATTCATTCCACAGATTGTGATGGAAAGACTGTGGAAAAAAATGTCTACGACTCGCAAGATGCTCTTCCAGATTTCACGATTGGGCACGAGAAGATTTCTCAAACCAAGGCATTTTGTAGCTTTGTACCGGACGAGCAGGATGGCAAAGAAGAAGTCGTCTATATTGATACGCCGGGTTTTGAGGATACTCACCATGAAGAGATTGATATTGCAACCTCTGTCATGCTGAGTCATATTGCCAAGAAGTGCAAATCAATTCGGTTTGTGGTTTTGATTAATTATGCCTCGTTGCTCGAAGACCGAGGAGGCGCTGCTCGATCAATCTTGAGGTTCACTTCAGCGTTTGTCAAGGACTTTTCCAAAGATAAGCAAGGATTTATGTTTCTCTTTACCCACACAGATGAGATCAGCGGAGCTTGTGACAATCTAGCCAGCTCCAGAAAGGCTCTTCAAGAAGAATTATTGAGGTTGAAAAAAGGTTCAAATCGCAGCGAGAAAGACCTATTGGGTCTTCTTGATTTCCTCACGAAATCACTACAGAAACAGTATCTCTTTGCTGATGTCCTGCACCCACTGGATAGTGATTTCAAGGAACTCAAGACATTCATCGAAACCAAACAAAAGCCAATCAAGACTCTCACAATGGTGGACAGTTGCGGCTTAACGGCAGCCTCCAAGCACAGATTGAGTGGTGAAATCACTGCTATTTTGCTCAAGTCTCGCACATACTTGCAATCAAAGCCACCCAATGCCAGTGCTGTGCAAGAAAACCATGAATTGTTGGAATATCTATGTAGCCAATTGAACTTCAGCGATGTCAAGAAGGCAAGAAATGAGAGCGAATTCCTCATCAACAGATACGTGGAGGAGTCCAAGGCAACGATTGAGGATGAGATTGTAAAAGGAGGTGTAAATGATAGCCTATTCAGTGTCGACGATGCTCTGGATGTTGGAGAGACTCTTTGCCATCTTGATGTGTTTGGCGCGAACAATGCCTCCCAATACCTTCGCACCAAAATACACGGCCTCATTGAGCTCATTGCAGGGGCTCTTTCTTTATCCAGTCGCCCAATGAGTCACACTGATGCTCGTGTGCTCGACAAACTGAACAATTGGTGCAGAGCATTTCCAGAACATCAAGAGTATTACACGAATGTCATTCATCAACTCAAGACCTCCATTGAGAGTATAACTCAACGAGTCAATGGATTTGAATTCAGCATGGAGCTTCAGCCTGAGGCTATTGCTGTGTTCTGCAGTGACATTTGCTTCTTGAACTCGATTCATCAGCAAATTGACCATCTGCTGGATCACGAATTGGACGTTGACGGATTGTACAATGCACTGGTAGATTCAGATGAACGCATTAAGGATTGTCTCAAGTCATCAGAACCAGAAAGCATTGCTGATCTAGAAAGGTGTTTATTGGATGAAGAAGTATTGCACAGGATTGCTGCTCGGCTTCGTGTGCTAAAGGCGCTACAACTTGGGCTCAGTGGCCAGAAGGGCTTCGAAGACATTTTGAATTCGATCCGTCAATTCAGCCTGGATCTAGAAGATATAGTGCCGTTTCAGTTTGAAGGGATGTGCACTGACGCCAAGGAGAAGGGTTTGGATGATTTGAAAGAGCTTCTTCATCGGATCAAGGGAATTCTTGATATTTGCTGTGGCATTGATGGATTCGCGTCAGAAACTATGCGCTACAATTTCGAAAGATTGCTCGATGTCATCAAGGAACGAATGAAGTCCACATCTGATTCTTTTCTTCAGACCTCAATGCCTTCGAAAAACTCGCTGCAGTGCATTCTAAATGGACATGAGGCCGGTCTTGCTCTGAACGCCCTTGCCGCACACGCGTGGTTTGATGAGTTCCTCCCTGAGGGCATGTCCATCATTTCCTCCGCTTGCATCCAAGTCCAGAAGGACTATGAAAATCTTTCAGAGATCATTGCAAACCAGATTCTTCAGTATTTGGATTTCAGGAATGTCGAGTGTCCAGATGGAATCGTCCAGCAAAAAGGAATTCGTCAAAGGCCTATATTCGCGATGCAACAAATAAATTGCTTCTACAATCAGTTTATTGAGATTGAATCCTTTGCAGAAACCACAAACAATGAGATCATAATGGCAGCTTGCCGTGACGTGCGTTCTAAACTATCATCTCGGTTGGCAAATTCCATGAATGCAATCAACGATTCAAGCAAGAGCTCGGAGTACAACTTTGCTGACTCAACAAAGACAGAGAAATGTATCACAAAATCCAATTCTCACTTGGAAGAAATCGACCTTTATCTCTCAGTCACTAGGGATCCAAGCGATCGTGCAAGTCTACAATCTACAAAGGATACTGTGCTTGCCAAAGTTGATTCATTATCCCTTTCTATGAATGAGATTTTTGAGTCTGGAGTCGATTTTGAAACTATGGCAAGATTGTTGTGTATCCTGGGCAAATTTGAAGGCGACGGCAATCGCTTCACGGACAAACGACTCCCGTCTTTTGCAATCTCCAAAGAAAAAGCAAGGAAGTCACTAAAGAGACAGGTTGAGAAGGTACAGTCTCTCATCACCGAGACAGCGAATTGGGAGGAAATAGGCGAGCAAATGGCAATTCTCGAAAAGGGTCGTTCTCTTGACAGCACTTTGGATGGTGATCTTACACTACACTTGAACACTCTCGACGGTCATCTTAAGAACAAAGAAACAAGAGTGGATTCCACAATCCATGAGATGATTGCAGCCGAAGACTATTCGGGCATTGGGGAACTCTTGGCACCACTTGCAAACTCTAAGGACCAACTGCAGAGAAAGAAGTTCAATAGTTATCTCACTCAGATGAAAACATCTTTGAAGGATCGTTTCGGCAAGTCCGCTTACTTTCTTCCTCACGGTTTGCCAACAGCGCACTCAACCGCGTTCATCGTCAAAAATCTTGACAAACTGAAAGAAATTCACTCCGAACTGTCGAAGTATTCGGGACACAGAAAGTCGCGGATCCCGGGAATTCATAAATTACAGCAAGACTTGGAGAAGGAAACAAATACCATCAAGACAAAGTTGAATCAGAAGCTTGACGAAAGCCTGAAGCAAATGGAATTGGATGCTCAAAATTTGAATTTTTGCCGCCTGACCTTGGAGCGAAAAAAGGCTACAGAATTCGTTGACATTGCGAAGAAGCACATTCTCATTAACAATGTCAAAAGGCACCAAAAGATCCAGGAAGACTTTAACCATAGACTGAAGTCGGTGCCTCAACTCCTGGACCAATTCTCCAAATCCAATTTTAAGGATGCGACTGAAATTGTCCCAATTCTTCGCGCTCTTCGGCAGGTATCGATTGCTGAAGACACGATGACTTCCGATCTTTCAATACTGTACAAACATGCAAAGCAAGACGTAAACAACATACTTCGAGAACGCATCGAACTACTTCAGAAAGTGGTGAATGAACGCCAATGCTACGCCGATTGTATTGACATATTGCGGAGTCTCCAACGGCATTTGGATTCTGGTCTGAAGGACCATATCGATAGTGAGATAGTCGTGGATGTAGAAAAATTGTTGGCTATGTGGGTCGAAGCCCAGGACGAGTGCAAGGCAATCTTCCGGCATACTACTGGACGAAACATAAACGCACATGAGACAATTGCAAAAAAATTGGACAAGCTTGATCCGACGAACGCAGGTTTCTGGGCAAATATTGGAAAGATTGGAAATGCAATCAAAGGAACTATGGGGTTAGGAGGTTCGCAATACGACCTGCTGAAAAGCCAAACCGAGGATTTTTGTTTGGAGGCATACAGGGAAGGTACAATGGCGCTCCAAAAGGGAGATTTTGACATTGTGGATGACCGTGTACAGCTGCTGATGAAGTGGGATCGAGCCGTCAATAAGCACGTCAAGAGCATCGCCGAAAAAGTTGATGCATTGAAGAAAGGTGCGAGGCATGCATTCCTTGACACTTGTACGCAGATGCAGAAAGTCTGTCAGGGGGGAAACACTTTACAGTGCAAAAGTTCCTTTGACGAATTTCGCAACGCAATCTTGAGCGCTTCATTCATTTTGGAAACAGAGGAATGTCAAAGAGCTTTTGCCCTTAACAACCAACTTTTCTGTGAGAAGCTGGAGCAAGAAATCGAGAGAGTGAAGGAGGCGTTGACACTGAAGTCGTTGCATGACTTTTTCGAGGTCAAGTCGACTGTGGAAGACGCAAGATTTTTCGGTGACTTTATGGCAGATCATTATGCTGTGTTGTTTGAAGAACTAAGGAATCACAGTATTGCTAAAAAGGATACTTGGATAAAAAAGATCGCCGAAATATGTCATGCACACTTCAGTGCGGGCCGAGATTTTCGAAACATCAAACACTACATTACGCTTGGTGTCGTACCTTCGGCTTCATACTCCGATGTCAAACGTGCATTTCATTGCAAGGCACGGAAATTTCATCCAGATAAAGTCGTACAGAAGGAAGAACATACGAACGAGAAGTTTACAATTATTCAAGAAGCCTGGGAAGCATTGAATGACGAAGAACGACTAGATGGGAAGCTGAAGAAGAAAGCATTTGACAGGCTGATCAATGGTTTTGGAGATTGTATTTTAGACAGCGTTCGACAAAACTTGAGAACTCAACAGTATGATGTTGTTGCCGAAATTCTTGGCCGACTATGCTCATTGCGGGAATTGAAGGATCTTGTTTCCCCGCCTCTGGATTCCAACCACGTCGAACATTCTGTGAACAACCTTGTGTGTGGCCATGTTGAGCAGGTCAGGATATCAGTTACTACACACTGGTCAGAACGAAATTACAAGGGGCTGCAAGAGACTATCGAGGACCTAAGGAAGATGGAGAAGCACTTCAAATCGGTGAGTCAAGCGGCGTTCTTTTTTAATCGAATGTCATTGTTTGTACTTACTTCTTCTTGGGCGCACAGTATTCGTCAGTTTTTCGCGAGTCTTGGAACCAGGGCATTATTAAAAGCATTGAAAATGAAGTGGTGGATCTAGGCAAGGAAGCCCGTTCGTGCTTGACGTCAAGTCGAATCGCCAAGGAGAAAAAGGACGATTTCAGACGTCTTTTTTTGCACATGGGTCACGTTCTCATCGAGCTACCATTTTTCAAGGACTTCACAAAAAATGTCATCTCGTTGATGTTGGAATCCAGCCTCAAAGAAGATTGGGGGCACAGCTATCTATTTGAGCTTGGTCTTTCACTGCAGAAGGGTGATGACGATGACGAAGACGATGGAAGGATCGGACAGTTGCTTCTTTCTGAGTTTAGCCAATTCAAGGAAGTAATGACGATGGTATGGAACGAAGAAACGACACAGAAACCAGTAGAGGATACTGTACAAGACATCAGAGGCTATATTCAAGAGCAAACGCTACCACCACGTCAACTTGATATCAAGCGTGACGAATTGCTGGATCATTTCCGCCGATTCGAATGCAGCTACAAAACTCTCTTAGGACACTTTTTGAACAAAGACGCTGATATCAATGAACTGGTTCGGAAAACAACAAAGCTAGCGGAACAAATGAAACCACTGACGTGCGATAATGGATGGTCGACGAAGACCAAGGCTGTCATTCCCGATCTCCTTGCTGGCGTTTTTGCACTATTCACTGTACTGAAATCTGGAGAGGCTTACAACAGAATCGAATCATCCTCCGAATCATCGGAACTCGGCGAGAAACTCCTGATGAAGCCACACAACATTCAAGTTTTGACGCTACTCTGTATGTTAGGGTGCGGGCGGCCATCTGAAAGCAGCCTTGAAAGTCAACTTATGCAGATAAGGACAGGAGAAGGAAAGTCAATGATATTGGGTGCCGCTTCAACTGTTTTGGGTCTGTTGGGCTTTCGGGTGCGGTGTGTTTGCTATAGTGAGTATTTGTCTCGTCGCGATTATGGACTCTTTGAGGAAGTCTTCAGGCGATTCCAAATTGCCGAAGATGTTGTCTACAGTAAGATTACGACACTGTCTGAGGATACAACGGCCGCCAAAGGAGACATTCGGTACTTAACGGAGTCTCTGGTGCTAAGCAATCTCCCGAAGATCGCCAGAAAAGTGTCCAATCCATTGGCGCTACGACAAGTCAATTCCAATGTCGTAAATGTTACCAGTCTAAAGAAACTTGTAAGCTCTCCTACTCCATCTCCGCCTCATCCAACTGTGGACGAGAAAGAGTTGCAGTCAATGCGCCAACAAGGGCCATCAGAGGCACTAGCCGGACAAAGCCATGGCGATTGCGTCGACATTTTGCCTCAGCACACCGAGGAAAACTCACTCCAGACACAAAGCAGCTCAGATGTTGCCACTGACAATCGATTTCCACTATTTTCAAGGCAGTCAAAAGAAGAGATTTTGCTCGTTGATGAAGTGGATGTGTTTTTTGGGCCAGAGTTCTACGGGCAGACATACAACCAAGTAACGCAACTAAGGGAACCCGAAATAGCCGACCTTCTGAAGAGTATTTGGAGAGAGCATAGTTGCAACGGAAGAAGTCTGCGACTACTAGATCTAAAGAGCAGCGCGTCATACGAGTGTCTACGCCAAAAGATGCAAGGCTTTGAGTTCCTTCTCGACAATGAGATCTCATTGATGCTGAAACATGTTAAACGAGTCGACGAAGAAGCATATTTCTTGGACGAAAGTGAGCAGAGAATTGGATACAAGGTGATGGACACTGTATCATACAATGTGACGTATGGATATAGGACAGCGTTCGCGTATCTCCAAGAGTACGACCGCGGCAGCATTAAAAGTGAAACTTTGCAACAGGTCTTGACAATGCCGGTTTCCTGTGGGCAGTTCTCTTATGCTCAGATTGCACCAACTCGAATCTTGGGTGTTTCAGGCACTCTTGATGTGATGACTAGGTACGAAAAGGAAGTGTTGGCAAGATATGGAGTGCAAACGTATATCCATGTTCCAAGTGTATACGGAAAATCAAATTTCTCTTTCGATGAAGCCGGCGATGGGCTTACCATCGAATGCAACAATAGTGACTTCTACCATAAAATTTGTGAGGATATAAAGAGAGTCACCGCTGAGAAACGAGCGGTCGTCGTCTTTTTCAAGGATATGACGTCCGTCAAAGAGTTCACCTCGAGTCCGTTCTACCATAAGCTTGGGAGGCAAAAGAAGGTTCTCTCGGAAGATATGATGGCATCTGAAAAGGACTTTGTGATCAACAAAGCTGCAACTGCGAAGCAAATCACGATCTGCCCTGCCGTCTTTGGACGAGGGACAGATTTCTTCTGCAAAGATTCAAAGGTTGAAAACAGCGGCGGAGTGCATGTCATTCAGACCTTTCTTTCTGAGCAGAGAAGCGAGGAGGTGCAGATACAGGGCCGTACTGCACGTCAAGGCAAGCAAGGATCCTATAAGCTGATCTTGCTAGAACATGACCTAGTGGAGACATTCGGGGTGACGCCAGGAGAGCAGAAAAGTATTGCAAAAGCAGACTGGTACAAATGGCTTTGTGACGCACGGGAAAAAAAGAGTGAATTGAATGCCAAAGTGGTCGATGGAAACCTCGCTGAAGCTACGAAGAAAGACAAGAATACGCATGAATATTTTGATGCACTCTTGGCATCCAATCCTTCCGCCGCGAAGTCGTTCTTCAAGCAAATCTACCTTGCCATGAAGAGACCCATACCGTCTACTGTGGTTTTGAACATGGCACTAGCTGTCGACGTGACTGGTAGTATGCACAAATACTCTCGAGATTTGCCATCAACCTTGAACAAGTTATTGCAAGGCCAAGACTCCATCACCGCAAAGCTTCGGGTGCAGTTTCCAGAGCTGATCTTTAAGCTTCGCGTTGGCGTGTTGGGTTTCCGCGATATTGATGATAAGGCGCAACAATTTGAGGAAAAAATCTGGTCCAATGACACCCATTTCACTTCAAATATGACGAACGTGATCTCAAAAGTCCAGAAAATGGTTTCTGCTTCATCCGGTGGGCATGATCTTGCTGAAGATTCTCTTGGTGCCATCCATCGGGGCGCAAAATGGGGGGAGAGTGGTGACTGGTCTGGAACTATTAATTGCTTGCTCGTGTTGACGGACGCTCCAGCTCATGGTCTTGCACCGAGCGAGTATTCACAGGTTCCGAACGGAGACACGTACAATATTCGACATCCAAAGGGATTGACTGCTGAATCCGTCGTTGGCGATTTGCTGGCAAGAGACATTGACTTGTTCTTTTGTTCTTTCGATCCCGTGGCCACGAGTAGGACTGAACAGAGGTTGACAGATGCATACCTCAAGCATGCTGAAAACACACACGAGAAAGAAGTTGCATGTATTCCAATGGTGCAATCTACACAATCCATGGGATCATTGGCATCAACCTTATCGGCCAAGCACATTATATTCATTCTCGATGAGTCTGGTTCGATGGAGGATGACTGGCCTGGTGTTGTTGAGGCGTACAACAAGTATGTTGCTCGGCGCCTTCAGAGTCAAAGTACTCTTGATTTGGTATCCGTTGTCCAGTTTGACGATAATGCAAGGCTTACAGTCGACTGTGAGCCCATCACATCGGTTCCAAACACTCTTGATTACAGAAGTGGAGGAACTCGTTTCAGTCCTGCGGCATCTCTTGGGTCGCAAGCAGCCCAAAAATCACCAGCATCGCATGTTCCTGTTGTTGTTTTTATGAGTGATGGTGGAACTGATCCTAGTGATTCTGCACAAGCCTCACAAACACTTTCACAGCTGAATTCGATTGTATTGCAACGGTACAATCGAGACCTTGAGCTCCATGTTATCGCTTTTGGAGGCGGGGCCGATACAAGACAGCTACTGGATATTTCACAAGCTTCCAATGTTGGCCGGCTTCATGCTAGTGCTGACTCTACAGCACTCACTCAGGTGTTTGAAAGCATTGCTGGCGGTGAAGATGTTACCGCGTTGATGGAATCCCAAATCGGCAAGCGAATATCCGATGCTGTCGCAAACAAGCTCAGTCTAGAGTACATCGGATAACTCAGTCTTATCAATGGTAATAGAGAACTCATTCTTTTATATCAATAATAATAGCAGCATAATAACTACTATAGAACGAAACCAATTCCCATATTCTTTTTATCCATGGTGGCACTATAAAAATTCCTACAGTAGCAAGACGCATTTCGAAATAACAGCGTGGTTTCATCTACGCTACCTCCTACTACATCATTGTCTGCTTCTCAAACAATTGTAGTTGCACGCTGGCCACAAAAGCTGGAATGCTATGAAACCTCTTGACATATTCGTACGACGGCGTCGTGGTCAAGGTTTGTGCCAATTCCGTCCCCAGTAGGTCCAACGAACTCACATTCTTGCCAGTCGGCCATTGAAACATTAAATGATCCTGTTCTTGTTCCGCAAAGACCGATCGGACCTTGAATTTGGGTCGCTCGTCCGGAATCATGTCAATCTTGAGGCCGGTAATCAAATAGACTCCCTCTCGAAAGCGACCAATTTGTTCCTTGAAGGATTCCTTGAGCCGCTGATGTAACTTGTTGGGATCCACGTCATTACCAACAGCAGCAGCAGCAGCAGCAGTAGTAGTAGTGGAAGTAGTAGAAGGCGTTGCAGCAGCAGCAGCAGCAGAATTAGTAGTATCGTTCTTTGTTTCACCAACATCGACAGGATCCTTAATTTTTTGTTTCAAGACTTGTATTTGTCGCTGCAAGACGGCCACTTCTTGTTTCAGTGCTTCCGTCAATGGATTGTGGGTCATGTGAAAGACTCTTGTCGCATCAGGATTGAAGGAACCCTTGCCGGCCAATTCTTCGGCCCGAACCGCTCGTTGTTCGGCCGCTTCTGCTTTGGAACGTTCCGCATACAAGGCATCCTTCAACTTGCCAAACTTTTCCAAGACGGTATTGTGTGTCTTTTGAAGTTCCGCTTTTGCATCTAGAGCGGTGTGCAAGTCTTGCTTCATTTTGGTTTGTCCATCCTTCAATACTTGAATTTCTTCCGTGGCCGCGTCCAATTGCACTTTTAGCGAACGTGCCGATCGTTCCTTGTCCGGTTTGTTGGGTGTTCCCGATCCAGGAGGAACCCCCAAGGGCAATTGATCAAAGGTATCGACAATTTCCCGAAGGGATTCAATTTCACGTTTTCGCACATTCTCTTGATGTTGTAGAATTTTGACTTGTTGTTCCTGAATTGCCAGCTTTTGATCATATTCTTGACGCATCTTGTCCATGGACGTTTGGGAGCGTTCCATTTCGTATACCTTGTGTTGAAGTTCTCGTGCGTGTTGTTCCTTATCGGCAATAGCCTTTTCCATTTGTAACTTTTCCTGTTCCAATTCGTCCACAACCCCCACTGTTTTTTTCCAAAGCTGATTAATCTTGTGTTCTTCCGGGGGCATGTCATTTTCAAATTTTTGAATACTAATGATGCTAGCAGAGGGTTGTAATTTTTGTTGCACCATGACACCATACTTCTTCCAAGCCTCCAATTTAATGGCCAACCGATCCGATTCTCTAGTACGTGTCCGCAATTCATTTTCCAAAAGGGTGGCAGATCGCTTGTACGATTTGGTCTTTTCTTCCTGGACAATCAGTTGTTTTCGCATCGTCGAGGCAACTTCGGCCGCCTTTTTATACTGCCGGGTTTTGCGTTCCGATTCGGCCAATTCGATCCGCGTCTTGTTGAGTTCTCGTAGTATCGTGGGCGAAGCTTCGGAAATGGTGGGTTCTTTTGGTGCGTTGGCTTTTCTATTGGCCTCTTCCATGACCTCTTTGGTTTTCGTTAGATCGACTTTCAATTGAGCCACCAACTCCTTCAATTGTTCATTCTCCGTGCGTTGGGCCTGCAAGCGTTCTCTCAAGGATGTATTGGTCTCATAAATGCATTCATTGGAAGACGAGGGAATCATGCGTGCCTCTTCTTCCTTGGCTTCGTATTGGGCAATTTTAACACGAGCATCGCTCAATTCCTTTTGGGTTTTGCGCAATTCGGTTTGTGACTTTTTGCGAGCCTCTTGTTGTTGTTTGGCATATTGATCGGATTGTTGTCTCACTTCTTCCATCATTTGTTGGGCCTCTTTGGCTTCTTCGACGGCAAATTCCAATTTCTTTTCCAAACGAGCCACTTCCTTTTGGTGCTTGCGTTCGTCCAACTCTTGGACCGAATAGAAATGTTCGAGTTCGGCCTGCAAGGTGTCCACTTCGGATTGCAAAATATCATGACGGGCTTCTGCTACCGAGGTCGTCGCAAAGGAATCGAATAATGTTAATTGCTTCTTATTGGGTGGCGAATGAATGGTTTCAGTATCTTCATTATCAGCATTATCCTCCAATAGCAATCTGGAGGATGATGTGGATGTGGATGTGTTGTTGGTGTTGGTGGTGGTCAAGGCAGATCGAGAACGTTTTTGGGCCGAGTTGGCGCTGTCCTGAAATGGGACTCGCCGCATAAGATGCAAGATGTAGCGTTTGCCTTGTTTGCCAGTGTGTGAGGATGAAAAAGGCAAGCTTGAAAGCTTGGCGTTTTGATTATTGTGCGGTTTGTTTCCTTCCTGTCATTTTGACCTCTGACCTACCGACGAATTAGTCGGAAGAGTCCATTGATGTTTGAGTCGAGTAAATAAATACTGTACGTGATGGATACGAAATAGTTTGTACACGTACACGTACCAGATTGGCACATGTAAAATGCCTACCATGAATTCTGTAGCGTTTGAATCCGATTCAAAAACTGGGCGCAGAACGGACTGGCTGCCGAGCCGGAAATATAAAAATCGCAAAAAGCATCAGAAGTCAAAAGGGATCATCGTCCATCGTGGGAGCGAGAGAGAGAGAGAGTGAATACAGCAGTATACATTCATTACATTCGTTACATTCATTACATCAACATCAACATCAGCCACTGCAATTTACATAATGTCAGGAGCAGCAGCGTTAGCAAGAAGACGTGATAATTCAGCTGCCAAAGCAGCATTGGCAAGACGGAGACAACGAGCAGCTCAAACCTTGCTTCCCAACAATTCCAGCAGCAATGCTCCTGGAAGTTCAATGCCGCCACTGCCCAAAAAGCCTACTGCAAGCACCAGTATCAATACCAGCACCAGCACCAGCACGAATACCAACACTATTCCAGTCAATAAACAAAGGGTCCGATCATCACCGTTACGAGGATTTCAGTCCACATCAACTGCTTCTGACCCCGCAGGTTCGTTTCAATATTTGTCACCCAACAAGCCATCACGGGAACAGCAGCCAAATCCGAAGTCAAGCAGCAGTTTAAATGCCGTGGCCAGAAACAATGCTACCAATAATCGACAATCCAAGCCATCTCCGACAAATGTACAACAACGCGATAGAATGCATTCCAATGGAACTGCCACTACGGCTTCCATGACGGTTGGATCCACAACAGCAGCAGCAGCAGCAGCACCAAGAATGACACCGCCTTCGATCAACCGAACGAGTCGGCCTGCAACCACTATACAACAACAACAACAACAACAACAACAACAACAACGAGGAAGCTCACCATTACGAAGCATGCCGTCGAGATCACCTCAAACAGTCATTCATTACACGACACAACAAAAGGAAAAGGCAGCCACAGCTCCAATGTCCAAGCAACGAATGGCACCGAGTCCCATTGATACGTCAAACAATACAAATACCAACATATACACAGCAGTGGAGGCCGCTACTAGTACTCCTAGCAATGCTTATACTCGCCTAGCAACCAGAACGAGTAGTGCTGCGTTGAACGCACGGCTCAAAGCAAGATATCAGTCTCCCTCTCATAAACAGCAAGGTCGGGAATCGCCACCTGCAACTACTGCTGCTGCTGCTGCTAATAATAATAATGCTGTCAATACTGCTCCTGTGAAGTCAACAAACGAAGGAGTGGCAGCAGCAAAAGAAACACTTCCTCCGTCTAAAGCTAATCATCATCATCGACCACCACCACCAGCTGTCACCACTAACAACAACAACAACAAGACGATGCTGAAAGGTCAAACTCGTCAATCGTCGCACTATGTTCGTCCGCTGGCCAAACCACCAGTGGCCTTGAACAAACATGTGGTACGCAAACCAACACCAACACCAACACCAGCAATGAAGACAAGCTCTGGCACAACCTCAAAGTCAAGTGCGAATGCGAATATTGGCAACAACCTTACCATTAATACTACACCTGCAACAACGACGACGGCAACAACAATGACAAGCACTTCGAGAACATTGGCAGCATCACCAAGAAGAAGTGCTGTACGGGACCGCATGCATTCCAATTCCAGCAATGAAGATAATGATGAAGCAATGACACCATCGGCTGCCAATACTACACGGAGTGCATTGAAACAACCACGGATGCCGCCAACACCGTCCAATATTATTCCAGTCAATAATCACAACAACAACAACAACAACAACAATGATAATAATACCACTGGGAAAACAGCAACTTCTCGATCCACAATCTCGCCAAGGCGTCAAGAACAAATGAGTCAACGATTGGCTCAGCGTGCCATTGATGCGAATCGGCCAAATGGTACGAAGCCAAATGCAAATGCAAATGCAAATGTAAATATCCAAGCGAATAGGAATGTGCAGTCACAGCAGCAAGCAAAACCACCACCAAGAGTGTCACCACCCAAAGAATTTGGAAGCATATCTACATTTTTGATGAATGACACTTCCATACTGGATACGAGCAACAATAATTTGTTGGACACGACACTGCCGCCTGTGGAAACGCCAACGCCAAGCAATGGTGGTGGAAGTGGTGGAAGGTTTGCGTCGTCCAAGAATGCTTCCAAGAACATGTCCAAGAATAATGCTGCCGCTGCTGCTTCTGCTGTTGCACTGAACAATAAGAGTATCCTTTTGGAAGATTTTCATCAACAACCCGTTGCGACTTCTGGCTCAAGTACTTCCTGGAACTTGGATGCCTCTTGTCTCACACATCATTCTGGAATTATGCTTCGATCCTGTGCTACCAACACCACGATTCAAAGAGAAAAAGATTTGACGGAGGATCAAGTGGATGATTCGGCGGTGGACTGCAGAGGACTGGGTTTGGGAAAACCAGAAGAAGCTTTGACCATTGATAAATTGGATGCTACTACTGGTTGTCCAGAATTGCGACATGGGGATCTCATTCGAATCTTGGCATCCTCACAACATGCTTTGGGAGCATACAAAAACGAACGATATGGATTGGAACTCTTGTTTCTTCCCATATTTGCGTCGTCAGACAGAGAAGATGAAGAAGATACCTTTTGGCAAGTCTTTGTGGCGGAACCAGGAAAAAAGCTTTTGGTGGGAAAGGCGGCAGTCGACTCTTATAAGACCAATCATCATCATCCTTCGACAAAGTTGGGGTTACCTGTTCGTGCTGGAGTTCCTATATTGTTGCGGCATGTGACGACCGGGGGCGTATTGTCCATGTCCCATCATGGGTCATTGACACTACTGACGGATTCCTTTGGACAGTCACAAGCACAAGAGTCGTTGGATCAATTGCAACATCATGATAAGCTATTGCCTTGCAAAAGTCAGACATTTCAATTTATTCCATTTTCATCTCCCCCATGTCCACCATGGGCTGTTGCGGGCGATGGTGAGACGTCAAGTTGTGTTGGCGAGAGGCTGTTCATGACTTCCTCCTACTTGTTGCATCCAAAACGACGAGAGGCGGAATTTGAATCGCAAATAGAACTGTCACCGCAAGATCGAATGGAAATGACCTCCAAAGTAAGGGAGAAGATTATCATTGAGGAAGTCATTGGTTCATTTTTGGGATTGGAAGGACGACACATTCGGATGAAGCAACAGCAAAAGGGGGGTGCTGCTTCTCCATCCTTTGGCTTTCATTTGAGCGGAACCGACGGGATCGACTTTGAAATGAGTTTGCATCATTTGGTGGAACAGATTCTGCCCATGTCCACTTCATATAACCGAGTGCAGCACTTTGTCACGTCGCATCATCCAGGATACGATCACGGTCGAGTGATGCAAGCCTTTTGTGAAGGGTTGGATACCTTGTTGCAGGACTATGTAGATTTTGTGGTCCAATTGGAACGCCAACATCGCAACAACAGTGGTTCTGACTCGTTATTGACCATGAAGAATATTTTCTTTCAAATAACTCCTACGTTGCACTCCATGTCCATCTTGGAACATGCTACAAGGGCAGTGCGTGATACCAAAGGTGGCGCTTTGATCAATGCACTTTGGTCCCTGGAACGACAAGTGTACATGGGAGATATGGTCGCCAAAAAGGTATTGGGCATCCTACTGGAAAATGCATCCATTCCATATCTTGACATGATGGCAGAATGGCTCGAGTCGGGGAGACTGAATGATCCATACAAAGAGTTTATGGTGCAGCAATCGTCGAGCGAATTTGACGCAACTCAATTCGATGGTGATGACTGGATGGCCATGTTCAGCATTGATGAAGACAATATTCTGGAGGGTGTCACATCGGACGAATGGACGAAGGAAAGGATAATGACAACTGGAAAGTACTGGAATGCAGTTCATGCGTGTCAAGTCGATGTGGGTGCATTTCTGGATGGCAATTCCCAAAAGATCCCGAAGCTTCCTTTCAATTCGGATTCGTCTGCGATTGTGGCCTATATTGATTCCATGTATCAAAGCGCATCAAGGGTTCTAGTGCTACTCATGAAAGAAAAGTTTATGCTTACAGAGTCGATGGATGTCATGAAGCGGTACTTTTTGCTTGATCAGGGTGACTTTGTCATGAACTTTCTCGATGTAGCGGAAGATGAACTTCGAAAGAAAGCTAGTGAAGTTTCCGTCGGTCGAGTCCAAAACTGGCTGAATGCTTCCATTCAGCAGTCTGAGCAACACCGCAGAACTGGCGACGGCGAAGAAGAGAAGCGCCCTCTTGTTCCACAAGCACTCCGTTGTAGGTTTTCGGGCAAGAGTACAATCGCTTATCTGGAAAGTAGGTATGGCACTCTGGCGGATAGGATGCCATCGACTCCATCTCGAACTGCCTACGGAGAGTCAAGCAGTGGTAACTCTGGAATTGAGGTGTTTGTCATTGATTTTTCCTTCATTCCGTTCCCAATATCGCTGGTCCTATCACATCATGCCATGGACAAGTACAAGCTTTTGTTCCGTCATCTCCTATTCACCAAACATGTTGAACGACGTCTGATTCGAGTTTGGCGAGATCATCAAATCCTCAAGAAGCTAGGAGCTCTTCGAGGTTTGCTTGGGCCTACGTTCCTTTTGAGACAACAAATGCTTCACTTTGTGCAAAACTTTCTGTACTACATGTCGTTCGAAGTCATTGAAAACAACTGGACCGAAATGATGACAGCCATTGAAGCAAATGAGACAATTGATAACCGACAGCAAACCGTTGATGACATTCTTCAAGTACACGAAGCATTTTTGGAACGTACTCTTGAAGCATGTCTACTTACGAATCGAGATTTGGTTCGTAGTCTGACAAAGCTCTTGAATACCGTTTTGCTCTTTACAGACCAGATGAAGCGATTCATGGACGCGACTCGTATTTACGATGATTCGTCGATCCTTGCTGCGGAAAAGCAATTGACGGTTCAAAGGAATCTCAATGAACGACGTATCACGCCTGGTCGAGGCAAGAAAAAGACAATTCATATGGAACTCATGTCCACGAAAAAGGAAAGGCAGGCTTTGAACGACCGTCAAACAAGGCGTGTCGGACGAGAAGTGATCAGCGAATCCTTCCAACGAATGGTGGGACGATTTGGAGAAGTATTTAATGCTGATCTCTCTGATTTTATGAAAGAGTTGAATCAGTATACTGCGTCGGGTTTGGTCGCCAATTTGGGAGTTCGACTGGACTACAATGGTTACGTCACGTCAACAATTAAGTGATGTGGATAAGGTCGCCGAGATTCGCTTTGAACCATCGTTAGTTCTTGCCGCTTCTGTTGCTCTCTACTGAGTTTGTTGCTAGAGGATGATTAGCGCATGTGCTACGCCTCATATTAGTTTGGTTCATTGTTTGCAAATGAATTTTTTGAAAGACCAAAAATTTTCCACATCCATCAACTACAAATGCTAAAGTGGTGTAAGGACAGCATGTTTACTCTTCGGCTATTCTAGGGTCATAATATTGGCTATTCGGACCCGCACTAAGACGAACATAGAATCAATCAACAGCATGGTGGGTACTCGCCAGGTCTTCTTGCCTCTCGCTCTTTTACGCATCGAGCTAATAAACTCAGGAAAAAGATCGCAAGCACGGTAATAACACCAGGAAGAAATTCCATTCCAAGTGAGATAACGAAAATCGCGGTTAAAACAATAAAAAAGCATTCCGACGATATCGTGACCCAGACGTGATCGTCCTCATGATGGCAATCACATGTAAAGACAATCTCCCCAACTCTCCGGACATTCGTTCGAAACGGCGGTTGCTCTCTATGCAGATGATCAATGCCGCAACATAGTAGTACTCAAAGGAATGAAGTCTTTCTTCTTTCGACATCATTTGGACGACCTTGGGTTGTTGTTGGCGCCCAAGGTCGATCGTCATGAAGCTTATGGTCGGTATTTTTGGTCAAAGATGAAGTGCCACTATTGACATATGCAAGTGGGCAATTCGTGTGCATATTGACCTCTGTCGTTTGGTCGTGCTGATTGATCTCAGCAGCAGCGTTGCTTTCTTCAGAATAAGTCTTATTTAACTTGATATTCGTCTGTTGGGGCAGTGTCTTTGTAGCACCAATTCGTTTGGCAATTCACAACTGCTAGGCAGCGATTCTATCCAAAACGGCGCTTGTCTGTGCCCTGCCTGCGCATAGGTAGTCAATGTAATCTTCTTGGCTGTTGGAATCTTTTTTAGGAGTGTTTTGGGTTCTTTTCATTTGTTGAGTGTCACACAAGGCAGCGTCTCCCTTTGCTAGCTGCTATGGAACTTCATGTCTAGGCTGTGATATGCTGTCAATCAGATATTGCTTTCATACATATTGAATCGAGTCTGCCCATTGGCAGTTAGACTCCTCATTGTATTTTGCTGTGGATGAACAGGAAGACGGTGGAGAAGGGCCAAGATGACAGTTTTGGGGGACGTGCCAGAGACAATCGCACAACAGAGGAACAACGCGGAGCATGCACCGCCTCTTCCCACAAAAGAACAACTATCCAAACACAAATAATCCAGCATCACAACAAATTATTGACCATTCGGAATAGGTTTGTTGGACACCCAAGTGAGAACCTGGCCATCAAACATGCCATCCTCCTCCTTATCCAAGGTGTCCGTGATCCGTCCCTTCCTTCCCTATGGGGTGTCCCTGGCCGCCTCTGTAGGGCCTTCTGCTCTCAACAATGCATTGGCTACCAAGGACTCTTGGAAGGACGGCTGTCTTGTCAATGGGCCCCTTGCAGGAAGAATACCTACAGTTACATGGGAGGCAGCTCTCCCACTTTGTGGGTTTCTCATCTATCACACCAGCTGATCTTGATGGGGTTCCAGATGTGGGAACATTGGAACTTGGTGCAACACTTGGAGGATAATGTGCAGCTACGTGAGCACAGCCGACAGGTCAACGACGGGATTCATTCCCAGTTCGATATGGGCCCAACCAACCTTCCAAAGGTTGCCTGGTGCATGCTCTTGGTCAAGCGCCGGGCAGTACTGAACAAACCCTCGGTAGATTGGGAGGAGTGGCAAAAGCTGGTGAAAACACACGGCCTACTGCCGTGCTCCGGTGCCTCAATGCCGCATTCTCCATCACTTTGTCCATCCTAAGGACCAAGTCCCCTAACAACTGTTTTGTGGAAGAGTCCGGACCCACTGGTACCTGCTGGTGGAAAGAAAAGGATCTACATCCATTGCGCTGACCTACAAGAGATCAGGATTCATGCATCTCTGTTTGATATAATACATAAAAGCGGAATCAATCACCCAACGACAACAATTTCACCTGGTTTTATATATATCTATCACTTTTCTTCTTTGCCCATGACACGCATTTGCCACAACTGAATTTCCATGCCTACAGTAAATTGTACCACCCCGCCAAATCTGCTGGGTGTACTATTATACGATACTCTACAGCACGATACCCCCAAACAAGCTCCATACCGATTTCCCCTCCCCTGGAGAGCTGGTTAAAAAAATGCCAGAAAGTTGACCAACACGAATGGATCCAACGTGACTCGTTTCTCCGACTATTTATGTACTGGTGTGTGCGCATCGCTAATAAACCTCATACGGCGGGAAGTCAAGACGGCAAAACGTGGAAAGTGGAGGCATTTTTACCAAACTAAAAATCCTTTGCCATGCCAGTGGGTACACGAAAGAAGAAGAGCAACGCATCTGCCAAGCGTCGTTTGTTTTTCGGTAACCAAGAGAGTGATTCAGGAAAAAAGCGTAAAGAAGTCCCAATTGAAATTGAGGATGACAGCCCTCGTCCCACCCAATCCACTCTTTCGGAGACGCCGCAAAAGAAGATTCGCTATGGAAGGGCAAAGGTCATTACTCCCGACAAAGAAGACGATAAAAAGAAAGAGGCAGAATATGTGCCTACTTATATTCACAAGAACTTGTCCTACCATAGAAAAGGAAAAGCAATGTTGGACCCGACAACACAAAAGACATTTGATTTGGTGACGCGATTTTTCCAGGTGCCAGAGAATTTCGAGCAAGATCGTCGGTTTGGACCAATTGCGGGGACATGTTTTGAAGAAAGAATGATTCAGGCATACAATTTGGGAATGTTGGAGCCAATAGAGGAAGAGAATGCTAGCATTGAACTATGTTCAAGCTGTGCTTCTGAAGGACACAAAAGTGTGGATTGTCCACAGCTACTTTAGAAATTGATCAACGAACGATTTTTTAAAATCAATACAATGTAGTTTATTTCACGATTTGAAAGCCTTACTATCATTTTCAAGTGCTTGCTATTGCAAAATTGGATTCTAGAACATTAATTATTTTAACTATGATCATATTCTACATCCGTCGACTTACTTCTCTTGCACCATGTCTGCTCCTTCTTTCGCCTGTTGCAGCAAGTACTCTTGCAGCAAATGCCCACGATGTGCTTTGGCTAAAGCAATGAATCGCTTCACCTTGACAAAGGCCAAATCAAGGGCCTTTTGGTTCTCAAACCAAATATCCAACGTTGTTCGGAATTTGGAAAGGTGAACAAATACACCTTCCTCTCGTCGTGTCGGTGGCGATTCAAACATGAACAGACCCGGTGGCGTTTCATCTTGTCCATCATGTGATACGATTAATCGACGAGCTGCAGTACTTTGTGGAAATTCCCCTGTATCTACTCCAACACTAAGGTTTTCGAGTCGACATACCATTACCACACGGCCATTACCACTGGACCTGTGAGGAGAAGTAGAAATGGAAGTGAGGTTTGTTTGAGACGTCCAACAAAGATCCGAGGACATGTGAATCAATGTTATACTTACTTTCGTTCAGGTTCTGCAAGCACCAAATTCCACCCTAGAACTACAAGGTACAGAGATTGCCACGTGATTCCTTGTGAAACTACTTTGGCTCCCTCAGCAGAAAACAGAGGGGCACAAGCAGGGGGCACTTCACAAACACAAGGGAACGCAGTTCGACCAACAAGGCTGACCACTGACCCAGGCTCTGCATCAGTATATGACTTACTGCTGGTATCTTCTTGAAACATTGGAATTTCCATGCTCCGAGACATTGGTCCATAGGACAAATTCAACCTGTAGGTCGGAACGATGCCCGAATCTTCTTTCACCGCAATACCGCCTGTAACAGCTCGGCGAATCGATGCCCCGTTAGTCCTTTCAGCGCTTTCCAAGATTTTGCAAAAGGCATCCATGCTGGCCCACGAGCGCGCACTCTCCACTGCTTCTTGTAGAGCTGCATTGAAAGTTCCAGGTTCAAGCAGTGGGAACTGACAACTTTGTTTGCAGAGCATTTTGTAGCTCCCTCGGCTTGCTACTGGCACAAACATGCTAGAAGAACTTTCTGACTTTAATCGCATCAATTGATCCATAAGGGCGACGGATTGTGCATCACCTCGGAAGATTCTATTCATGAGGATTCCTTGATATGCTTTTCTCTTGTCATCTTCCCCATTGGTCTTGTCATAGGTTGGCCTCAAATTCGAATCTCCAAATCGCTCCAAGCCTTTGGGAATAGATGCCAAGAAAGCTGAGGCTTCACGATAGCGAGTGCAAAATACTTCCTTTGCATTCTTTTGCGCTACTGGATTCCTTTGAATTGCACAAAGGACTGCATGTGCGGCAGCGACTCTGTAGTCAAGCTTCCATGTGCCTATAGTAGCGAGATATGAGAGTAGAACAACGAAAACAAAATCGAAGAAAGCACACTTACCCTTTGCTCCTGGTCGTGCTTTCGCTAGACATTTTTGGAAGGAACTAAGAACCTGAGTCACATAATCACCATCCGAATCATCACCCAATGAGAATCTAGACTTCACTCCTATCCCTGCTCCACCAATGTCACGGTCGTCCAGACGGTCGATCTGTTTTTCAGATAAAGCCCCATAACTTTGATGCTTTTTGGCGTGAGCGACAACATCAACCCCAAAAACAATATCTGACACAAACTCGCCATCCAAAGCAGAAAAGGCAGCATCGACAGGGAAGACTGCAAGGGGTGAAAGATCAGAGAGCTCACTAGACAGCGCAAAGCATTGAAATATCGCCTTGCGGTAGGGGTTGTTGCGTGATTTAGCCACAAGAGCTCCATCTTCGCCATTGAATCGCAATATTTCGGCGAGTGCTGGTGATAAGACAAACACACAGCTGTCACTACTATTTTCGATCGACCTCGACTTTCCTGAAGAACGCTTCGTTGCAGAAGAGATTCCAAAATCATACGTTTCGCGGTTGATCTTTGCTTCCTGGCTGTCGTCATTCTGCAGATCGACTCGAAGCACAATGTTTCTGTCTTTATCCAAGCATACGATCTCAGGATCGACACGGATCGTCGTTTCTCCGGTCGAGCTTGGAGAAAGCGGATGGAATAGAGCAGTGAATAGCAACTTCAGAAGCGGCCGATTGGTGACAAATTGGAACACAGCGGTAAGGAGAAAGAGAGCCGATTTCGCCGGGGCGGATATTGTCGAGTTTTCGCCACCTTCCGTGCTGGAATCCGCAACCCCGAGTCCTAGATACGATAAGAACACAGGGTCTGCGTACAAGACGTTACTAGGTACAGTAGAACGCTGGAAGTATAGCAGAAGGGGCTGTAAGAGCAGAGGATACACAAACGTCGCAAACATCATCTCGATAGTTTGCTCGTTGAGTGTCGTAAGCCCCACACTGAGAACATCTTCCAGCAGCAGCAGTTCATCTTGCACACAAGCAGCTGTGTCACTGAATGAATCTTCGGCTTTCTTTCGCTTTGCAGACAATTTTGCCTTTTCTGTCTTGAGCTGCCCACTGGCATTAGCATCGTCGCTGGGCTTTGGAAGTCTCTGAACCTTGATCTTGTCCAGCTCGCGATACTGCTCCTCCATTACACCCCAAAATTGAGCAAGCTTTGTGAAAATTGGCGATATGAGACGCTCCACTCGCCGCGGGGAACAAACGAATTGGGCAATAGCCAATCTTTCTCGCATTGGCAAGGCTCTTGCATTGTGCAAAACTCCATCAGGCGACTCAAGCGACGAGTCTTGATTTTGCCCGTCATCCTCTTCGGAACCGACCACTGAGAGACGAAGAGTATTCAGACATATATTCATGGCTGTGATGCGAATGAAGGAGTCATTATGGGTTGAGCAAAATTCAAGGGCTCTCTCATACAATGGAAACTCAACTCGTATCCGTTCGTATGGAATATTTTGCGCTTCAGTTTCGACTTGGTCTTCTTCTTCTTCTTGAGTCGTCGTTCCTTCCATTTCGTCTAATGGTTTGTCTTCGGCATCTTGCTCGGTCGAATCTTCAGAATTCTTGGATTCTTGTAAGGTTGTTGCTTCAGGATTCTCTGCAGCATCCTGAGGATATGTCAAGAAAAACTGGAGCGTTTCTGCATTCATTCGAAGTGCTAGTGACTTGAGGAAGTTAACAAAATTGGTTGAAAGCTCGGCAAGTTCTTGACTACCGGAACGACGCGGTGACATTTGATTGCCGTCATCGTCGCGTTTCATTCTATCAGCTATGTCGTACTTTTCAAGCGGGGCATTGATCAGCTGGGTGATGTGATTGTTGGATAGTATGAAGAAGAGAGACGTGGCGCGCTTCACGTTTTGTACCAAAATGGAAACAGATTGAATTGCTTGGATCGCTATTGGCAAGGGTGGGAGTAGCAAGTACTTGTGCTCGTCCATATCAAAACCTTCTAATAGCTCTTCAATTGAAGCCAGATCATTTTTCTTGGGCGATTGGTCAGAATCAACATTCACTCTCTCCTCGTCCCTGATCGTTCGAAGGTCAAATGAAGCCCCTGTCAAGATGTCTGTAATCAGAGCAAGTCCATTCCGTTCAAAGAAAGAGTCAAAGACAGCGATATACTTTTCAGACTCTTGCTTCTCTTCAGTCTGAGAGGCTGCCGCACTTTCTGCAAAGACTACTAATTCTGAAACTCTTCGAATAATTTCAACCGTGTTTTGAACTGAATCTGATTCCATTGGAATAAACATTGCGTCTCCATCCTTTGTCTTTTCTGGTGTTTTGAAGTTGGGTGAAGAAGCTGAGTCATTTTTCTTTAGCGAAGCTTTTGTTGGCGTTGATGTTGAAGAATTGCTTTTTCTTCCAAAGAGATTAACAGATGATCTTTGTGGTGTTGCAATTTCCTCAGCGTAACCTAGGAGCGACTTGATATAGGATAGTTTGGTGTGAAAGATAATGCCTTCCAGGCGATCCAGGAGAAAGTTCAACTCATCTAGAGGACTCTTATGCTTTCCTTCGGTTATACTATTCTGTTTTTTCTTCTTTGCACTACCGAACATGATCAAACTTTGACTTGCTGATAACCCAAAAGGAAGAGTTTACAGCTAGGAGGCGAGAGACAATGTGCTGGTCAATACGTCCTGAAAAATGAAAATGGCGATAAGCTGGTCCGAATTTGTTTTGTTTTCAAAATTTAGGGGACATTATGGAGGAGGTACTTATTTAGGGATTCATTTTGAATTTCGGGTCCGAAAAGAAGACTACAAGATGAAAACGAGTCGTCCTCTTACTACTGTAGATATTCCTTACTATTTCTCTATGGCTCTTATTTTCTAAGAAAGATACTTTACATTTTAGCTTCCTCTTTTTGCTCGCGCTCCGTCTTGATCATATGTTCCAAGTAGAATTCACCAGCCTTGTATGAGCTACGGACCAACGGCCCTGAAGCGACATACTTGAATCCCATTTCCTCTCCGATCTCTCGGAAGTGATCGAATTTCTCAGGCTTTACATACTCTACAACAGAAAGATGCTGTTCTGTTGGTCTGAGGTATTGTCCGAATGTCACCACATCAACGTCAATGGCCCGCAGGTCCTAAGTACAAAAACGACAGGAAATAGTGTGAGGCAAATAGTAAAACGGAGAGAGAGCCGGAACGTCTTTTACTCACCTTCATCGTTTGGATGACTTCTTCATCGGTTTCTCCTAGGCCTAGCATCACGCTTGTCTTGGTATAGAGTCCCGGCTGAACTTTCTTGGCGTGCTCCAATGTAGAGAGACTCTGTTTGTAACCTGCTCGAGGATCGCGAACAAACTAAAGTCCACCATTATGGTGTTTGTGAGTTTCAAGAGGTCCTAAACTAGCAAACCCTTTGTGCTGACACATTGTCGAGTCGTACCTTTTGTAACCGCTCCACAGTCTCGACGTTATGAGCGTAAACATCGAGGCCAGAAGTGGCGAGCGTTGCGACCGAAGTTAGGTTCCCTTGAAAGTCTGATACTAAGCATTCGACCAATAGTTCTGGCTTGGCCTGTTTCAAGAGCTCTACTGTGTGCCCAAAGTGACCCGCACCACCATCTTCAATGTCATCTCGATCGACGCTAGTCAAGACAATGTAGTCGACACCCCACTGTGCTACTGCCTCTGCAGTCTTGGAATGAAAAGGGGGAAAGCGTTGCATTAGAGCATTGTCATGTTGTGATAATCGAATGATAGATTTGAAGCAGTGCGTACCTTGAATGGTTCAAATGGATCCGGGGGTGGAGGTTTGGAGTCAGTGTTGACCGCACAAAACATGCATCCTCGTGTGCATGTGTCACCCAATAGCATAATTGTACCAGTTCCTCCACTCCAACATTCTCCAACATTGGGACATTGTGCCTCCTCGCAAACAGTATTCAAGTTGAGGTCTTTGAGAGAATCCTTGACTTCCACATATCTTGATTCCGCGGCAAGAGATGGAGCTGGGACCCGAAACCAGGAAGGACGCCTGAAGAAAGATTTATAGTATCAAATGTGTGAGATGTGTGCACAGAGTTATAGTCGTTGGTTTCCGTGGTTCATTGCGACCATCGATCTTACCCATTTGGCATCTCTGCACCGACTTTTGGCCGTTTCAATCCATCATCTTCCACTGCCCTTGGCATAGGAAGTCCACCTCCACCAGTTGATCCATCTCCTCTAGCAACAATGTACGGAAGCGCACTTTCTTCATCCTTGGTACTTTTTTCTTCCACTAGATTTTGTTGTGATGCTTGCAATGGGGATGCGCGATGAATTCCACTGGAGCTAGTTGGTTGAAATGCAGAACAATCTTGCGCGAGGAAAACTCCAAAGAAGATACTCGAAAATTTCATGATCCAATCCTTGTTGTGTGTAGAATGAATTCGTCCCTTGGATTATCCACTATCTGCCAATTGAGTTGCTTGGAACGCCGACAGCAAGTAAATGTAGATCGAGTTGCACTTTTGCGTGATAGAAGGTACCAGGTAGAAGTGACAACCACTTTGGATTTTGAGTGATGGCAGAATTTTGATTTCGTACGTCAACCATTACGTCTCCAATTTGCAACACCCGGATGTGACAGAGTTTCAAACGACTAACCCGACTTGTGATTGCAACAAACAACAAAAACTGAATCATCATCGGGGAAGTTTCCTTGTTGTTCCCATCGTTTGCGGGAATTACTGTGAGACTTACCTCCCACGGTTTCCTGGGAGCGCATCCATCGCTGTTGCCATCATCTCTCTTCAACCAGAGAATTCTTCTCAGTTCGAAGATGGGTTTCTCACAAAACGGAAGTTACGGCTCTTCTCCAGAGGTGGATAAATCCGAACTTGCGTTGGAGAAAAAACAGCTGAGTGATGTGGCAATGTCCAAGGCAGTTACTTCCGACAAGATTTGGTGGATTCATGGCAATGGATATGATCTTACCAAATTCGTCGAGCGTCATCCAGGTGGCAAAGAAGCGATTCTCTTGGGAAGAGGTCGAGATTGTACCGCACTCTTTGAATCCTATCACATTTTCAGCAACGACCACTGGTAAGTCGGCATTTGTAGGGCAGCACTGTCTCACAGATCTCGAATAACACAGACCTAATGACCATCCCCCTTTCTGGTTCTCTTTAGGAAGGTATTGGACAAATTTTGCGTTGTCAAGAATCGCAAACCCTCCGATCGCAAGAAGGATGCCTTTTACGAGATTCTGAAGGAGAGGACAGCTTCTGTCTTGAAAGAAAAAGGAATCGATCCTGTGCATGATAGAGGAGCAAATATTGCCAGAACATTGCATTATCTGTTTATCTTTGGAGCTTGGTTGACTTCAGGTTATTGGCACGTAAAGGTACGGGATGATTTGCCAACAATGGGCTGTGAAGTATGCTACACCTGATAACGATTATTTTTGCTCCATCATTAGGGAAGCGTCCTTGGATCCTTTCTGTTCGCAGTTTTTGGATGGCTAATGGGAGCATTAGGGCATGACGCTGGGCACTTTGCGGCTAGTCGTCAAGCATGGGTCAACGAACTCGGAGTCTGGGCAATGTCGCTTATTTGCAACCCCATTGTTTGGCAGCATCAGCATACATATGCACACCACTCCTTCACCAACGAATTCGACAAAGATCCTGACCTTCATCACTTCGACGCACTGTTGAGAGTGCATAAGAATATCAGGCATCGAAGCATTCACAATCATCAAATCAATAGGTTGTGGGTCGCTGTCGCTTATGCTCTAGTCTGTTTCGGAACTTGTTTCTGGATCCCCTGGGGCGTTCTAGCTTCGGGCTCTCTTCACGGAATTGTTGAATGGCAAGATCGAGATCGACCATCGAAGGAGATTGGTCTCAAACTCCATTGGTACACTTATATTTTTGTCATCATGGTTCTTCCATTCTTCACGCACGAATCCAAGCTGACAGCAGCCTTTGCTGTCTACATTCACATTACCACGATTGGAATCGTGTTTGCAATTTTCTCCCAAATCAACCATTTGAACGAACCATCGCTGGAGTCCGATTTGCAAACAAGGAAGACGCGTAGTTCATCCCGGAGTAATATTGTCGAGGACTCATGGGCTGCAGCTCAGGTCGAGACTTCCAATAACTTTGCGTCCGGCAGCTTTCTTTGGCATTTCTTGTCCAATGGCCTGAATCATCAAATCGAACACCACTTGTTCCCTGGGTTGAATCATGGTCACTTGCACCACATTGCTCCCGTTGTCCGGGACACATGCATAGAACATGGAGTCGTTTACAAGTCGTATGACACATGGACAGATTTGATGAATGCGACCATGGAGTGGTATGAGAAACTCAGTGTAAACGAAAGGCCCACACCAAAGTTCTCAAATAAAGTTGCTGCAGAATAAGCCAAGTCTAGATCGCATTATCAAACCTCCAGCTGTTTTGTGATATGTTGTGAATGGTGATCTCAGCCAACTGATAGCTGTTTTGTCACTTTGGTCACCGTTTCGTGACGACCGTGACGAAATGTTGAGCTTCACACGCCAGGTAAAACCTACGACTCACGACATGCTAATGGTCTATCGACTATCAAACAACCAAACTCATTATATAATGCAGTAGCAGACATTTCACGTTACGTATTCTTTTATATATGTTGCACAAACACACTCATTATCACAAAAATCTCTAAACATAAAAAAAGGCAAAGGCTGATTCCAGTTTTAAGCCTCACTGATCCAGCTTTGCACCTCACTCTTCGTGAGTGGGGCCATTTGAGTGCACGCTCTTGTCTCGTGCAGAGGAGTCAACGCGCTGCATCCCTGTCGACCAAATACAAGAATCAAACAGCTGACATTTCTCGCATAGAAACCAGCTTCGCAGTATGAGAGGTAGTAATTCCAAGCTCGGAAGAACACATCGTCAAATCCAAGCTTGCGAACAAAGGCTTCTTGGGCATTAAAACGTCTACGCCAATCAGCAAGAGTCTGGGCGTAATGGAGACCAATGTTGTCAATGTGCTCCAAGCTCAAGTTCGATCCCTTGTACGCAGCGTCCACCAAAGCATGCAAAGATGGACAACAAGAACCAGGGAAGATGATGGTGTTGATAAAGTCAGTTGTGCGGAGGTATGGTTCATATCTCTCCTCTGGAGTTGTAATAGCCTCCATGACAAGAACACCATCAGGCTTGAGAACCTGCTCGACTGCCCAGTAGAACTCGGTCAAGTGATCATGGCCGACAGCTTCGATCATTTCACAACTGAGGACGCGATCGAACTTGCCCAAGTTGTCAGGACGTCTGGCAAAAGTACGGTAGTCAATGACCTCAAAGTTAATCAAATGACCAAGACCTTCCTTAGCAACACGGTCCTCAGCAAGCGCCTTTTGCTCAACTGACAAAGTGATACCAGTGACCTTGCAGCCATACTTCTTGGCTGCGTGGAGAGAAAGACCACCCCATCCAAAGCCGATATCCAAGACTGTCTGACCAGGCTGGACTTGAGCCCGATCGAGAAGAGTATCAAGCTTTCTCCATTGCGCTTCTTCCAGTGTACCGCGGAAAACAAGACCCTGTTCGGGAGCGGGTGCCTTAACAGCATCATAGATTGCAGAAGAGTACATCAATGTCTCGGGGTCGAGGAAGGTTCGGAACAAATCATTGGACAAGTCATAATGGGCATGAATGTTCTTCAAACTACCACCGCGCTCAGAGTTATCCATTGTCAACCGATATCGGATAAAGTTCAGTACCATACCAATCTTGGATATCAAAAGACCAGCGTTTAAAGGGTTGGCCATGGAGTATCCCTTCTTGGAAGTACCTGGAACATGCTTTCCTGGAGCGTCTCTGTTTCCTACCATCAACAGTAGCAGACGTGTTAGGCCAACAGGATCTCCAATAGCCGTGGTCGTCTCATCTCGTTCCTTGAGAGGGCGAAGGACATTGTTATAATGGGTAGGGTCCTTGAGCGACTCCACAACAAAGTGACCAGCCATGTAAGATCGGGCCAATCCCAGATCGTATTCCCAAGCAATCTTGACAAAAGTCCACTCATCGAAGACTCGCATCGTCACTGGACTGTTGTCGGATCCACATTGAGAACCATCGCCAAAACTGTGAACTGTGCCATCATTCATTTTCACTCTCAATTTACCACGCTTAACAGCCTTTTCAAGGAAGTAAAGCATAAATTTCTTGCACACAGCAACTGGTAGATCGTATGTAAGCTTTTTATAGAGCTTACTGATGATCCCAGTGACACTGGATTCATTTGCCTTGGCCAAAGCGAGATCGGGAGGGGCCATGACCATTTCTTTCTCGTCGCCCCAAGGCAAAGGAACTCCCGAAATTCCAGTTGCGGCCTGGAATCCAGATCTGCAACCATCTTCATGGAAGCCATAACCCCCCCATGCACCACAGAACCACAAACCATCTTTGCCTTGGTACTCTTCTTCAAGTGTCTTTCTGGCGGCCATTGTTGTAGGTGTGAATTGTGGATGGGCCATAATGACACGTTTGTGGGTTGTTTCCTCAGAAGGCTTTTGGTGTGGGTTGAGGGACACAAAAATCTCCTTATCAGTCTTTAGGTTTTGCAATCGATTGAGCCAGTAGGTAACATAAACAGCCTTCATGCGACCCTTTTCGCCCTCCAACTCGTCGGATTCGTTAGTCGCCTTGTTTCCGAATCCAGACTCGGCGCCTTCAAAAGCTTCGTCCTTTTTCGAGCTGTCAAGTTTGTAGCTAGAAAGGAGCTCAGAATTTCCAAGACAGTTCCAAGAAGCCCAAGCACGCCGTCTGGCAGGCATCAACTTTGGATCCGAGTGGACATAGACAACATTGTCTGCGTATTCAATTTTCGACAACAAATCAACGAGGCCACTGTCACCATTCATTGTTTCCACAATTTGCTTGCTGGTGGGTGTATGGCAGGCAAAGACAACCTCATCAAATACACCGACCGACTTTGAATCAGTAGTGAAGAGCTCATAAGAAGGTTCTCCACCGACATCGGTTTTCGTCATGGAAACAATGGGTGTGGAAGTTTGGGCGCTCTTTCCGAGAATTTCCTGCATCTTGAGGGTGTAAGTCTTGGAGCGATCGGCAACTGTTTTCCACTGTTAAAGCAGAAAGATGTATGTTATTGGTTAGGCCGAGAAAGAAATGAAGGACAAAGATATTTGGCTGTCGTCTTACCTGAGGGCGATCCAAGATTTGCAACATTTTGTGGTTGCACATAAAACCGATCAATTGAACAGCGGGGAATTGCAAAACGTCTTCCATACTTGCGGACCATAGTGCTGCCATCATGGGAAGAAGGTAATACTTTCCAAAAGCCTCTGAATATCCATTGTTTCGAAGATATTGACCAGTTGTAACCAATTTTCGTGGATCATCTTCAGTTAAAAGCAACAACTCAGTTGCCTCCTTGTTAAATCGAAGCATGTCTTTAATCATTGTATAGAAAGCTGGGTTGAGCGCTTGCTGTCTTCGAGCAAAAATCCCGTTGAGATTGTCGGAATTCCATTCGACGGTTTCTCCACCATCCAAACTGACGCTGAGGCTCATGTCGGTGTTTTCTTCTGGAACAGAAATCTTCTCAAACCAGCGAGTCATGTTGGGATAATTGGATTCATTGAAGACCATGAAGCCAATGTCAACATCCACGCCATCCACATCAGTTGTATATGCGTGTCCTCCGAGACGGTCTTCGGCTTCGAACAAATTGACGGTTACATTGGGTGCGTTGGTGTGGAGGTGCCAGGCTGCCGACAACCCAGAGACGCCACCACCGACGATGGCCACTTTGCGCTCTGCACCTGCAGTTCGTTGGATATCACCTTTGCACATCGTTGCTTATGATGATGATGATGATGATGATGATGATGATGATGATGATGATGATGATGATGATAATCAAAGCAAGTGCCGAAAAGATATAAGAGGAATTTTTGATGATGTGTCGAGCCAACCGCCAGAAAAACAGAATCCTCGAATCCACAAGAACACAAGACCAAAATGATGGATGATGTGTGATGTGTGACGTTGAGCTGTTCATGACTAAGGATGACGTGAGTCGAAGATACATGAACAGTTTTTAGTCTACAGAACTGCGACAAATTTGCTATTTAATTAACGAGAAAAATACAAGCGGTTTGCATCATCTTTGACTACCTATTACTGGTACCCTTTTGGACCGTATACATAGTTAGTTTCATCCCACTGACATACCCCGTAGTCTTGTCCATATCTATTGATAAAAGCTTTCCATCGCACATCTTTCTTACATCCCTCGTTGTCACCAGTAGTCCAAGTTCTTCACAAGCTTGTTGAAAGCATTCCACTCCAAACCGATGCTCCGAATCGGCACTCACGACTATCGCTTTTCCTCCCACCTTTAAAGAACATAATATGGATCGCGCCGCAGCAAAAGCATCTTCTTTTTGGCAAATGACATCTGCTGCCAGAATCAAATCTACTTGTTCATGAAGGACTCCTTTGGGGTCCACCCAACCTTCTCGACTCGTGTCGTCTTGTTGATAAAAGTCCAAAGTCTCACTTTTCGCCACCTCCGACAATCCATTCAAAGCAATATTTTGTTGGGCATTCTGAACGACCACATGGTTAAAGTCCGTCAAGGTCACAAATCCTTCCGAAACTAGTTGCGCCGCCACCAATCCTGTCAGTCCACATCCTGCCCCCAATTCGAGGACCGCCTTGTTCCGCACCTCTTCTGGATAGGACACGAGCCACCTCGAGAGTGCCACTGCCGATGGCCACATGACTAAACACACAAAAAAAACAAAGATGAAACAGAGATCCAAGCTGTGAGGCACAGGTGACGCACGAACAACTACAAACACCCATCACCCAACCTTTTCTACATACCAAATCCCACATCTTTTTGTGCACTTTGTCGTGTTTTCACTTGATTGATTAATATCCTAAACCCCTCTTGCACCATTCTCTGTTTGACTTTTTCACGTTTTTCAGTGGATTCCGATGATGATGCAGACGAGGACTCTGCTGGTTCTATTTGAAACGACAGTGGCAATCGATCCTTGAGTTCTTCCAATGTAAACGGCGCTGCTCGGACTGGAAACGACTTGGAAAGAGCTGCTATTTCACATGCCACATCTTGCAAATCCAATATTACATCATTGTCTTGATCTGATAATGACGACGATGATGATGAATCCAAGTTGATAATTTTCGACAGGCTCCGATGTGAGCCTTCTCGACTTGCTTCTTCTTCTAGCGATGGATCTGCTTCCACCAATCTCTTGTAGAAATTCATTGTTTGAAATAAAGCTTTTGTTTCGGGAGCTTGTTCCAGTGGCACACCATTATTGTCATCGTGTTTGGGAGTTATTATTATGATGGCCAGCCACTGGGAAATGGCAGTTTGTAGAATTTCGGCCAATTGAGATGGAAATCCTTCTCCAGATTTCAGTTTTGCTTCCTTGTATTGAACGATATCCTTGGGAGATTGAAGTTTCTCGTCCAAGACTTGTATTTGGGACGATAGAGCTGCGGATGCCATTGATGAAAGAATGACAGAAAAACGAGGAGATGGAATTTTGTGGTTTGTTGTCGAAAGTTAAAAAAATAAGGACTATATATGTCCGTTCGTCGGTCAACCCAAACCTGAATCAATCGATCAAAACACAACGATCTTCGCTGCGTGCTTCGTGACAACCCCTTTGATTACGATCCATTACAGTAGTTGTCATCTTAATAGAGCACAGCTTTTCGTGCCTTTCATCAACAGCAGACGCAGTAATACAAGATGGGTCGCAAAAAGCGAAAAGCCGTCGTTGAACCGGAACCAGCGGAGGCGGTTTCCAATCCGTCCATTGAGATTAATAATAATAACAATAATATGCCCATTCCAAAGGCAGCCATTCCCCGGAAACAAAGTCAGCCAGCAGTGATAGCTCCTGATCCCGTAAAGGAAGAACCCAGAGAAGAAAAGGCCTCGGGATACGCTATGAAAGCTCATGGTGCAGAAATTATTGACGAAGAGATTTATGTGTCGGATGGATCCGAAGATGAAGAAGAGCAACCAGAAATGCTATTGGTGGGAGCCAGGATGGGCGTCATGCGCAAAGGAATTCATCGTCAAATGTTGGTTCAACCCAATCGACAATGGACTCGCAAAAATGAACAAGTCGAGGATGCAAAAGAAGATGATGACGAGGCGGAGAAAAAGCGACTCAAGGAGCAGGAAGAAGAGTTGGCCAATTTGGATCCCGCCCAACGAGCCGCTAGACTTTTGGTGGAAAAACAACGCAAATTGGAAGAAGCCAAAGAAAATGCCCGCCGCTTGGAAAGTGAAGAAAATGCGGGTCGGGACCCCTGTCTCTTTTCCAAGCGTACCGCCTTTGACATTCGCTTTGATCAAATTGATGACAAACCCTGGACACGAGGTGACGACACTGACTTTTTCAATTACGGTCTCACAGAAGAAGATTGGTTGGAATATTCTCAACAGCAGTTAATGATTCGTCAAGAACTTACTGATGCCAGTCGCCAACGACGGGCACCTGATCCAACTCTGGTTCCAGTGACACCCAAAGCGCCCTCCAAACAACAACCCAAGGTGGCTGTTGCAACCTCGGATTCCAGCCAGGCGGATGACGACGAAGGGGTGGGTGGTAGTGATGGTGGTGGTACGGGTGGCGTAGTAGGCCCCGTCTTGGTGAAAAAGGAACTCCTCGAAGCAAAGCAAGCGGAGGCTACGAGTAGTAGCGGACCCAAGCAACCGGAGAAAAAGGATATTGAAGTTGGTGTCGGTGGTGCCTGGGGCGCCGGAGCGGCGCCTGGATCTGTCCTTGCTAAATTGATTGAAGAACAAGAAAAGAAATTGGCCGGACCTGCGGACGATGATTCGCACATGGGTAGTTCTTACGATGGCCGTAGTATCTCCAGCAAATCGAGATATAGTAGTCGGAATCAGTCGCCGTTTTCAAAACCTCCAGAGACTGTTAGTAGGTGGCAGCAACAACATCCCGGTAGCAACAGCGACAGCAACAGCTATTACGGTGGTGGCAGCATTGGTGGCACTCCCCAGTACCAGCAAGCACCACCGCCACATCATCATCAATTACCACCACCCCCACCACCTCCTCCCCAACAACAGCAACGGTTTGATCCACGAGGTCGTGGAGGAGGAAGAGGATACTATGACGGTGGTGGTGGTGGCAGAGGACGAGGCCGTGGATACATGGGTGGTGGTAGAGGAAGAGGTGGACGAGGGGGTGGACGAGGTTATTACAACGATGGTGGTGGTGGCCGAGGCGGTCCATATGGTGGTGGTGGCGGTGATTCGTATCATCGCAAACGTCCTCGAGACAACTATGACGACAGTGGAGGTAGAGGATGGAGACGGTGATTTAGATAAGAATCATAAAATTCCAACATGCATGTTTTCTCTTATTTTTTCATCGAAACATAGTAGGATTAGGACCGAATGTAGTTTGTTTGTTACCTCGGTCACCGGATCCTTTATTAAGATGGTGGTCGGCTGTAGCATAGCAAATGCCAGGAGGGGGAATCAATTTCGACTCGGACAAGTCGTTAGCATTTCGCCACGTCATCATGATGGCAAATCATTTTTTTATAGTGATGAAGATGACATCATTCCGTTCGAATTCTGCACAACAACAAGAATCTTCCACAAAATCATTTAGAAGAAAACGAGGAAGGAAGAGTTACGAAGAGAAACGATCTGAAAAAGAGTGCACTACCATGTCCGTCGACATCATTTATCATGACGCCCATCAGGTTTTTCATCTTTTGGATCGCTGGAACCCTCGTGGTCCACCCAAAACGAGACCAGTGCAAGCACTCTTCCAACGCAACCCATCCTCAGCATCAGCAGAATTCGTGGACGGAAAGACACTTCTGCACAAGTGCGTGGAGAATTATTGTCATGAAGTGGATTTGATTCGAGAGCTTATCCTTGCTTACCCAGAGGCACTCGAAATGACGGATGCCATGGGATATTTGCCATTGCATCGAGCATTGAAACGACATCGCAAGACGCATGTTCCATCTCTGGAACTGATTGAGCTGCTGGTAAAGAATGCACCCAATACGATACAAGCAGTAGCACTAGATGGATCGCTGCCTTTGCATTTGGCGGCAGAGCACAACACACGAGCATCCCTTGAAATTGTTCGATATTTGGTCGATGCTTTTCCAGAGAGTACTCTCCGTCGTGATTATCAGGGGCTCTATCCCCTTCATCGCGCTCTGGCAACAGATAGGCCATCAGCAAAGGTTGTGGAATGTATTGCATCGTCGTTTCCTCAATTGCTTTCCATGGAAGACAATGGTGGATTGCTTCCACTACACCGTGCTCTGAAAGATGCATTGGCATTCCAAGACAAATATGACAGCGACTGGAACCAAACCATCGAGGTTCTAGTCAAGCTAAACCCCATGCCTTTGCGCAATCTTGCTGCAGGGGAACAAAAGACTCCACTTTTACAGGCTTGTGAAGACAACAACAGCCTTTCCCAAGTATTCAGCCTTATCCATGAATGGCCGGAGCAAATCTCTACTGGTGGGTACTCCCGCATGGTTTTTGGGGTTGGCCGATAAGTACATGCATACTACAACGGGGTACAATATGAAGTTTGAACCCGGAAGAGTAGGTAGCGGCACATCGATAGAAGTAGTATGTAGATATCTTTTTACATTTCAATGTACCTATTATATCGATTTAGGTTGATTCAATCGACCAAACATGATTTTTTTGAAAATTTTCATCTGGGGTCAAACAATAATGAGCAATTTTGTCACAGCTTTGGTCGTCGTGCTCTTGCACTACAATGAATCAAGCTCAGCCTTCACCATAAGATTTCCCCTGATAAGAGATAGAACAACGAACAGCCAGTTGCATTGGAGTTGTTTAGTCGAGTGCAATGATTTAGATTACTGTGAAGAGGAAGGAGGAACCTCTTTCTCATCCACTACCCCTTCCGTCATCACCACAGCAGAACACAACACATACGACTTAACATCTCCCCGCGAATGGCTTGAATTTTGCGAACTAGAAAATGGAAATGGAGCCTATACAGTCATGCGATGTGACTATGATTTTCACGACGCGCTGTTTTTACAATGGGGCAACGAGTTCCATCTGAATCGACTGGAATCCTCTTTCGCCACTATAGCACCCGCCAATGTTGATCTCGCCTCACATGGAACCAGAGAAAAAAGCCGGAACATGATCCGCTTTCTACTGAAGCAAGCGAAGGAAGAATGTCAAGGTTTGCAGGCACACATTGACGAAGAATCATTGTTTTGCACATTTATGGTGACAATCCTGTGGCAACCCAAAAATGATGATGTACAAGTTCAAGGGCACATATTTTCCAGTCTAACGCCAGCAGATGTGAAAAGCAGCTTATTGTCAAATCCCTTGACTGCTGCCATTGCACTTGATCCTTATCTCGAACTTCCGAATCGATGCCAAAATTCTCCGGATGCCAAGCTCATTGCATGGTGCCGGAAAAGGAGACCTCTCGAAGAAAAGTTCAAAAGTCGTGGGGTAGGAGAGGTTCTACTGACTAGAAAGAGAGACAATCAAGTTGAAATCCTCGAAGGACTGACGTCGAACCTTTTTGTCCTTTATCCTGGAGGTGTACTTCACACATGTGAAACTGATTCCGTTTTGAAAGGATACGCCAGGCACCTTGTCATTACGGCCGCAAATGCATGTGGACTAACAATTGCCATCGGGCCGATTCTAACGGAAGAGGCCGACTTGTGGCAGGAAGTCTTCCTCACTTCCTCCATTCGAGTTATTGCTCCTGTGGGTGAGATTATACTACCTGATACCGACGGTTCTTCAACGACATTATGGCGACTGGATGGTGTCTCTCCACAAGATGCAACTGATTCCCTTATGTGGAAGCAACTTTTGAGTGAGATTTACGAGATAGTGAGGCGGAAGGGCCAAGGTTGTTTTGGGAGCTCATTGAATCCAACTGGTCAAAGATATTGAGAATCGGTGCGGCGCGGTTCGGGAAATTGAAAATACATCACACTTCGCGATGACCGTATCTCAAAGCAATCGTGCCCATGTCACCGTTTTGTTGGGGAATAAGTTTACTATTGATGATGATGCAGACAGTGACTAGCGCCAAAGTGCCCCTTGACCTTTCGACTCCACCCAGATCGAATCCCCCCAAACTCAAGTTCCCGTGGTGCAAAACGGCATCTATTGACGAATATGGGAAGGTTGTCACCGAATCAGTTACCAATACTCAACAATTGGGGGACCAGGCGTTTGACCAATCACAAAGCTCGCAATGGATGGAGTATATTGAGCGAAAAGAAGATCGCTTGGGCGATGCGGGTGGTGCTGGCGCCTACGACACTATGAGATGTGATATTGTGTTTCCAATAACCTCGGATGAAGAAGGCGAGAACGTGGTTATTTGGGGAGAGGAGTTTCATCTGAGGAGACTGAAACGATCGTACAAGGCTATTCAGCAACAAGAAGTCACAGACCAGGAACTGGAGGACGCTATTCGAGACTCGAAGAAAATCATAGATATCCTCCTGTCACTCGCAAAGTCAGATGCAAAGACCATTCCTGGCTTGAAAGAAATGGAATCTGAGACATTCATTGTTCCTGTACGACTCACAATCTTGTGGTCATCGCCCCTAAAGCAACTGAAATCTGTAAGATCTACTCCGCCGAGGATCCGAGGCCATGCATGTTCCAGCTTTGAATTGCAGTACCCAACTAAGATTCCTTCACAAATGACTGCATCATTAGCAGTACAGTTGCGAGAAGATGAAAGCGGCAGAAGAGAGTTTATAATTGATGAGACTATGCCGACAAGACATGCAGATCCACAAAAGAAGATCGCTTCCTGGTGTCGACAACGTAAAAAATTGCAAGGTTCGGAGGAGATCGAAGAAGTCTTGATGGTCCGAGAACGAAACGACGACGAAGGTACAAAACGATTGGAGATTCTTGAGGGTCTATCATCAAATTTCTTTGTAATCCTAAAGAATGGAACAGTGCGAACAGCCACTGAGGGGTGCCTGCACGGCTACGTTCGACATTTGGTTCTGAGCCTTTTGGACCAGTATGGACTCAAATTCGATCCAAGGCCAATTTTCGTTGACGAATCAAGTGAATGGGAGGAGGCGTTTATCACATCATCGTCTCGTCTCATCTATCCCATCGACCAGGTGATCATTGTACCCCCATCACAGAATGATAACCAATCATCAAAAGGTTTCTGGAAATACGAGAAATCATTGGACTCGAACAAGGAAATGAAATGTCTTTTATTACGGAAGCAAATGCTTCGGTCAAGTGGATACAAAATATAGTATCGATTCCAAGTGGATACAAAATATATATTATAGATAACATTTGGTTTTGAGTACGTTATTTTAGGTACCATGGTACCGGTAGGCACCAAGACCTACAAGAGTCATATTCTACAGTAGTGCCAAAGAAGCTATTTCTGTACGTTGGAAATCATCCTTACCACCTACTAAAACCACATACGTACAACGGCCAGACTTGCCAGCAGATTATCATCCCGGAGATTGCCAACGCCAACGTTGTAATATCAACCAAATCGCAAGGTACGGACCATGGCTGTGAACCTGAAGGAGGTGAAAAGAAAGAGGCAACATCAATATCTGAGGTTGAAACCCTTGCAGAAAATATTCTCGAGCGTAGTCTAGGGAATACAACAAATCCATTTGACCTGCAGATGCGTCTGGTTTTTGTTGAAGTCTCTGGATTGCTGAGAATGCTTGGGTTTTGGAAAGGCCCTCGACGATTGGCCATGTAGTCTCGTTCGCAGCATACGTGTAGGCTTCATTAGAAAGCACGTTTGTTGCTCATGTGCTTCGGATCTGTTTCGGATTTTCACCAGTTGACGACCGATTTCAGGTTTTCTCACGTTGTCTTTGCCCTCTTTGTCTTGCAGTAATATCAAAATGGCAGAAGAAGCTCGTGGAATCTGTGTTCGTGACGTTAAGGCCGATGCCTTCATCGCTGAATATGCCGAGCATTTGAAGAACTCAGACAAATTCGAATTGCCAGTTTGGTCTGATACCGTCAAGACTGGTGTCTTCAAGGAACTTGCCCCTTATGGTGATGACTGGTATTACATCAGAGCTGCTTCCATTGCACGAAAGGTCTACCTTCGTCCTGGAGTTGGTGTTGGTATGCTGCAAAAATGGTATGGAGGAAATTACAGACGTGGAGCCCGAACTGAACACTTCCGAAAGGCTTCCTCGGGTGTTATCAGATCTGTCCTCATCCAACTTGAGGCCATGAAGGTTATTGAAAATATGCCCAATGGAGGACGACGCATCACCACTGTCGGACAACAGGATTTGGATCGTATTGCGGGAGCTGTCTTCGCCCAAGGAGAGGATGACGAAGAATAAACTAATAAAAATAAGAAAAAAATTGAAACCTCCATTATGCTGCTCTTGCGTGCCTTAGTTGTTCAACTACATGTTGCAGTGCCATGTTAACAGGAGCAATGGCAGATCAACAAAATATCTATAAGGAAAAAAATGACGAATGCGAAGTTCATACAATTTGTGATCATTATTTTAGATATTGATTCTATGGCCCATCTCTCTCAAGATAGTAAGTGTTTTCGATAGCAACGAATGGTCACTATCACACCCAGCATTCTTGAAAACTGTTAGAGCTTCAAAGAGGGCATCGCGACACTTCTGCTGTTTTCTCATGGCTCGAAAAACGATTCCAAGGTTTAGCAAGACTTCACCGTATCCAATATCAGATGTTTTCCCTGCCTTTTCATAAACTAAACGCGCATCTTTGAGATGATTTAGAGCACGGGCATGATTCTTCGATTCGTATTCTGCCTGCCCCAAACATTTCATAGCTTCAGCGGTTGAAGGATATTCTGGTTGACCCAGCTTACTTCGTACAGCAATTTCTTGCTTCAGCATCTTTATTGATTCCCCATGCTGCCCCTTCAACGTGTGAAGAACGCCTAGCTCATGCATGACCTCTGCAATCATCATAACGTCATGCATGTTCTTGCCTTCTCCGACGTATATATTCAGTGCTTGTTTCATGCACTTGAATGCTTTATCTTCTTGACCACTCTCTCGAAGTGAGACAGCAAGATGAAAGTATGTGTCAGCGACTGTCGGGTGACTCTCTCCAAGAGCATGTTTTCGACCTCGCAAGACACCGAGGTAAGCGATTGCTGCCTTTTTGAAGTGTCCAGTTGCCTGGTATATGACACCGATTCTCTCCAGTGTCAAGATACAAGCATCACTTGCTTCGCCTTCAAGGTCCTCTTGGATCTTGTATGCCTTCTTGAGGTTCTTCATGGCCTTGTTGTATTGCTCTGCACATTCATAGCAAGAAGACAGGTCAACCAGGCTATCAGCCACGGCTTTGTCGGTTGCTCCCATGGTGGCAGCCTTGAGCTTCACAACTTGCTCAAGGATAGCAGATGCTTTGACGTAATCACCAATGCTTACATAGAGCTTGGCAATGTCGTCGACTACTATCGAGACCTTGGGATGACCGTCACCAAGAATTTCACGATAGATCTTCAGAACTTTCTTCAATGTCTTGATAGCAAGCTCGTTTTCTCCCTTCTTACGTAGCGTTTCTGCCATCTTCATCGCTACTGAAGCTGCTTTTGGACTTTTTTCACCATCAAGAGCTCGGGTCATAGATATCACATAATAGTAGGTCCCAATCGCGTCATCGTATTCTCTCGCATTCTCTTGTACCTCTCCGAGACGAACACGAGCAGTCAAGGCTTTTTGATCGTTGTCGCCAAGCTTGACGGTGAAGACTGAAACTGCATCCTTGTGCAATCGTATTGCTTGAATATGATCTTCAATTTCATCGTACAGGTCCCCAAGCGCAGCTGTGATATTAGCACACCGCAAATCAAATCTACCATACTTGGCGACAGCATCTCTAAGCTCTCTCACGAGCATATGTCGTCTTGGATCGACTATCGATTCTGGGGTTGTTCGCTTTTTTGCTTCAGTGTATACTTGCGGTGGTCTCGGTTGCAATCTTCGTTGGAGATAAGGCACCGACTTGTCCACAGCAGTCAAAGAGCGCTCTGACTTGAGATTGTTTATCTTCTTTTCAACAACGGATTCCACAGTTTCTGTTTTCTTTGGATTGAGAAAGGAGAAAGGTAAGGCCACTTTTTTGGAAAGGGACAAAGTGCCCAACGATCCTTCCAACGATCCCTCGTCAAGGGATGGTAAAGATCTCATGTCGCTTCCCAAATCTCTTCCAAGCGCATCGAGCGACTCGCCCACTGTAGAGTTGTCATCTTCTACGCCCTCTCTGTTTTCGTTTCCCCTTTCAGATGCCCAATTAAAGTCGTTGGAGTTTCTACTTTCGGCAGCTCCTGCTGTTGGAGGTACCATGAAACCGGAAAACATTCCGGCATACCACTTGTTATTCGGATCTTTTGTATTTTGCAGTTCAGCCCTAGTTGGCCCTCCTCTGGTAGTGCCAATAGACGGCATTCCCTTGCTGTTGATAGGTTGCAAGGATGCCTCTTGTAACGATGGAAGCAACAATGATGGATTTCCCAGATTGAGGTTTTGGTTTTGCTCAGACGCGACCAACTTACTTAGCTTGTGAGCGATGAGGAACTCGCTCTTAAGCGTTGAGAGAAGTACTTTCTTAGACGTTATTGGAACACACTCGATTGCATTCGAACCAGTCGATCGAATAAAATTGAAGTGGAACGGAAAAGTGGTTATACCGGTACCGATAGGACTATCGCCACTGATGTTACAACTATTTACCCGCGAAGTTCCTGAAGATGGAGCGCTGAGCATATGACCCAAGGTTTTAGGGTCATGAAATCCCCCATGTCCGTCGATGGCTCTAAGATAATCTATTTCTTGACACTGATTGTACCAATAATGTTTCTGCATTTCACAACAGGTTGCGACAGGAAAGTGCACAATGATTGAAACAAAAGATGAAGCCTTTCAAATGCAAGTGGCGTGGAGTGTATTCTCTTCTACATGCGAAGAACTAATCAAAACTCTATTGGGACGGTTGCAATCTAGATAATGGCTTGACTAGGTACTCGTACGCTGAAGCGACACTAAACTTGAAACCCCATTCGATCTATAAATCATAACACAAATACATCGAGAACCCCAAGAATTTTATTGTAACCTTTTTCCTAACTTAAGCGTCTTCCTCAGCTCTTAGCTTGGCGTTGGCATTTGTGACTCGGATTGCGAGTTGTTCTGCGCGTTGGACAATTTCCTTTCGCACTCTGGATGAGACAGAGCTAGCGACGGTGGCGGCATAAGTACGGTTGTGCATCATAAGCATCTCGAGCTCGGAAACGTTGTTGACAACGACGGTCTTGAATCCATGGGGGTGGATGTTTCTGGTTTGTTTGTCAGAACCGTAACCGATGGAAGGCATAGGGACGGCTCCCTTGAAACGACGACGGACGCGTCCATCAATACCCTTAGGCTTACGCCAAGACGAATCGCGAATGCGGATGAATTGGTCTGATTGATGGCGAGCAAATTTCTTTGATCGCTTCTTGACGATTGTCTTTTTGTTGAGTGGGGTTGGTCCGGCCATGATGGAAACTGTTTCGTCAAAGGTGAGAGAGAAAGCGTTAGCTACAGGTGGAACTTCTACATAAATCGATACGGTAATTGTGGTCCTCCGAATGTGACTGCCTCTCTACGAATAATCAATTCTCCAAAGCCATTGTCGACTTACAGTTTCGATGTGTTTTGCTTTTCCGAATCGGTCGTCGTGCCGAAATCCAATCGACTCGAACAATCAAACCTAAATTGAGACGTAGAAAATGTACCAATATGCAGCCAGTATGTGTGGTAAGAGGTAAGCCATTTGAGGGATCCCTTTCTTACGCTCATCCTTTTTTGGTACCCAAAAGAGTTGATTTTGAACGGCTGGCGACCAGACCGTGTTCAGAGACCATGATGATGATCAGATTTGAGATTGATGATGACAACCTCTTAGCTATACTCTTGCTCTTAGCATTCCAACCTCTACCCAGATCATACCCAGACACCTAAACTAGAAGTTGGAAAGGATTCATTAACATCGAAATGTAAATCACTATAATATACAGATAGGCTGCCAGAATCCATGCTTAAAAATCGACGAGTTGAACATTCGGTCTGTTGGCGCCTGACGGAAGTTTCTTGAAATCAAAGACTGCGTTGTTGTCTCCATAATCCTGATTTGGTACAAGCTTTGCCTTGGCTTCCACAAAATTCTTTGGCTTATGGATCAAAACCCAAGCGAATACTCCCATCATTCCAATGGTCATGCACAATATTCCAAATGTCTTGATAAAGTTTGAAAGAGCATTGGCATATGTCTTCTTAACTCGCTTCGACCACGTCACAAAAGTGCTTCCTCTACAAAGGTCAGTATTTGCACCACCGTAGTCAAAGGTGTACTGCTTAGCGTTTGATCGGAATCCGACAGTCACTGTTGGATAAAAAGAAGTAGAGTTGTTGCTGTTGGAAGACTTGTCCCAATAGAACTTTTCTTTGATTTGATAGTAGCCTCTTCCGGGACAACCGTTTCCACTGAGAGACTTCGCGGATCCAATTGAACAAAGATCGTCATTGTCGTAGACTGTCTTGATTTGTGAATACGAACCATCAACGCTCATGGTAAAGTAGACTTCATTGCCCGCATATTGGATGGTTTCCTCATCGTCAATGTAGAAGTCAAGGACGACCTTAGCCTTGTCACCTGGTTTACAAGAGGGGCTATTTCGATACTTTCCACTTCCGTAATAGTATGCACCTGGGCTGTCACAGGTGATGGTAAGTTCTTGAACTTGGATAATTGAGTCTCCACAGATCAAATTTTGTGCAACATCCACGTTGTCATCATTTAGGGCGGCATCGTCCGTATAGTCATCATCAGCAGCCCAGACTGTTTCAGTCGCTACAAAGGCAAGCAGCAGAGCTAGAATACCTCTTTTCATGTTGATCATTGCAAATTGGTAGTCCAAATGTATTTCAACAAAGTGAACAGCAGTGAAATCGGCGAAAAAATGTGAGAAAAAGCAACGGTAGGTATGCAGCCTTGCTGCCCATAATTAAATTCATAGAATCTAAAATACCGTCGGAGCGCACGCTCGTTGATATATTGAGTCCCGCCAGCCATAAAATGCTGTGACAAACGAAGATGAATGTTGAACTTTATCAATGTGGTTGAGGAACAAAATTGCATCTCCTGATAATAATAACAACCACTATACGATATACACTAGATAAGCCATCATAATCATGGTGACAAAAGAAGAAGTCCTGACTGAATTCTTTAATGCTATCAATTCCAACGATGTTGACAAGGCCCTTTCTCTATGTAGCAACGAGATCACAGTCACATATCCAGACCCAGGTCGCAATTGGAAAGGTAAAGAGAGAGGAAGAGTTGTCATGACTGCCATTTTTGGACAATTATCTCGAGTGCCCAATCTTGAAGCAAAGTTTGAGGTTACCGAATCTACAGACAGTTCAATAAAAACAAAAGAAGATTGGGGGCATCCAAATATGAAAATATCAAGCCTGTATACATTCGATGAAGATACCAAACTTCTTTTGATCGAATCATAGCCCTCCTCCTCCTTTGAGGCGTGCGCCACGTTCAACCAGAAATGATACATTCTTAGATAGGCTATTGCGATATATTATATATGTTTAGGTGCTAAAATACAAAGTTTATCTCTAGTGTCGAGAATTCAGTTCCCATTTGGGCAATTTTCTTAATCATACCACCATACTTGGTGAACCAAACAAATTCGGAACAATCAATGGGGATGTCGTTTGTGAAAGTGTAGGCCAGACGCCATACTCTCTTCACTTGAAAAGTAAAGAAGCTTGCTTGAAAATAGAATTCTCTGGATCATCCTTTGCATTCACATAGTTGTCTGCATTTTCGTCATCATCGTCTCGTTCTGCTTGTTTTTGCATAGCTATCCTCTTTTTGTTGTAGAAAAACAAGAAGGTTCCAGCTAGAAGAGCCACACCGATCATGAAACCGAATGAGGCGAAGTGAAGCGAAGGACCTGCCCCAAATTTGTTCTTGCTGTTCAGCTTTGCTCTATAGAACTTGGAGCTATACGGTTGCGTCCGAACGTTGTAATTGCAGTTGATATTAACTCCTCCAAGATTGTATCCCTCGTCTTGCATCGTTGAAAATCCCATCTGGAAGCTAGGCACGAACTGAGAATTGTCTGACGAGGCTGCTTTCGCGAGCACGGCTCGCATGCTGAACTCGTAGTTTCCCTTGTTGCTGACTTTCTTGCCTACAATATCGGCCATGTCAATGTTCATTGCTGCAAAAAGGAGTTCTTGTTCTGACTTTTGGGCATAGATTGCAATTGTCATGTATGCCTTGTCCACAGTACGGATTTTAGACTTCACATTAAAGTTGACCAAAACTGTTGCCATGTCTCCGTAGTCGCAGACTGTGCTGCCACGGTGGGCGCCATTTCCATAGTAGTAGGTGTAAGGACTGTCGCAAAGAATAGTAACTGTATTCACTGAAATTGTTGGTCGTTTGCAGTTCTCAACGATCGCGTCTCTCACTTGTTCACCAGATTGCGAATAGACCAGATTTGAATAGGATTGCGAAGAGTATGCACCGTACGTATCGTCTCCAGTGTATGTACTACTGTTGTATGAACCACTTGAAGCGTAAGCATCGTCATAGTTGTATTGATCATCATTCCAGCCATCATCGTCGCCATTTCCGTATTTACTTGCATAATAATTTAAGTTGCTCCCATAAGGATTGTTATTCCCATTTTGATCAGCCCTCGAGCCAGCAAAGAGCAGGCAGATCGGGAGAGTTCGGAGCCAAACGACCATGGTGAAATGCTATTGGAAAAAGTGATGAAGGTGAACAAATATTCGGTTTCGGCGAGGATCGATGTTTTAGCGATCAAAAAAGTAAAGGGAATACTTGGAGGGATCAGTTTATTCTTGGGGAAGGGAGATTTACTGTCACCACGTACCCGTGTACGTACACGTGTAAGGAGTACAAACATAGTCCAATATTTTTTCTCGATGGCGAGTACCGGTACACGTGTACCGTACTCTGCCGGTTTAGACTCCATTGTTTAAATTGTGCAAGCTCTTATCGATATTGTTCAGGGGCAATCACCTTTCTCTTTACTGTACTGCTTTCATTCGGGTTGCTACCAATAAAGCATTTTGAGGGGTTGTTTGAGGCGGAACATAGTGAAAGATGCGTACATTGGCAACATCAATGCCATCAAATAGGTTGTGGCGTAGGTACTGCAATCGCCCATAGTCAATTAATCTCTGACAGGCGCGTCCAAGACCAGCAATGCCACATTTCAGGTCCAATGACTCTACAACAGCAGATATATTGCTGCGAGAAGGCCTTGTCGATTCTGTGGGTAAGGAATGCTCCGCTTCTCCTTCGTCAGCATCGTCTTCTGCTTCGGCACCGCCGTTATTTTGTCCATCTTCACTAATTCGGGGTTGAATGGCGACCGAACCTGCACACCACTGTCGTAGCAAATCAAACTCTTTTGGGCCAAAGCTAGTTTTTTCAGTATCCATATGCCGTCGTAGGTAGTCCCTTCCAACATAACCACACCAGTTGCAAACACCATGGCAACAGGTTGCAAAGATACATGCATCCACTCGTTCTTTGACAGGTTCGACCGCCTTGAGGGCGAGATCTGAACCAACACCGCACAAATGCTTGGCAATTATGACGACCTTGCAGTCTTTCAATTCCGGTTTCTCCAACAACACCTTCAGATTGACATGTGACAAATCGCACTTGATACGTGACCATTGGACATTGTCAAAAGAAAGATAGGAGCCACTAGAGGCAGAACTGGTAGAACCGTGTTTGTCTCCTCCAAGGTTGCGTAAGATCTTTTCGGCTTTGGATCTGGTACCTGCCCGTTCCACCATCATCAAGTGCGTCTCCAAACCATGAGATCGCGAAACTCCTGCTGCCGCCAGACCCAACATACCACGTCCAGCTCCCATATCAATCAAAAGTAGAGGCTTTTCTGTTGTTGCTTTAATGTCTGATGGTGCGCTCGGTAGAACTCCAATCGCCCTCAAATGCCCAATCAGACTGGCAAGCTGTGGGATATGTCTGGCACCTCCGGATCGGATACGGTGTGCTTGAAAGCCGTCGGCAATTCCTGCACTCAGCTCCTGTGCCGAATAGTCTCTCATTTCAATACAATTGTGTACTTCTTCAAAAGTAAGGTCTTGAGGTGTGTTGGTTGTCGCATTGGCTTCCGTAGAAAACAGCTTCTGATGCACCTCTAGTATCCGCAATGCTAGCTGTTTTGCCCATTCCATCTCGTCTTCGGCTTTATCATGGTCCTTGGTTGTTATTGCTGTGCAAATGTCACCGAATCCACCATTGTTGATGTCTTTTTGAAAGTAATTTTGTGCTTCCTCTCTCTTTCGTTTCTTTGTTTTCGGGCAAATCGGTATATGTTTGGCGACCTGGTCTTCCCAAATCATGTGCGATTGATCCACTGGACAAGGTATCCTCTTGCGTTCCTTTGTCTGGCTATCCCCATTGCTGTCGTTCCCACCATTCGAGTTGCTGTCGTTGGATGCATGCAGCAGATGGCTATGATTCCCACAATACATATATGTACCACGACGCTGTTGGCGGCAGTATCGACGCTTTGTCTCCATGTAAGCATGACATCTATCCCAGTTGGGCGGTAGTTCTGGTATTTTAGGCTTCTCTGTGTCGGTAGCAGTTGTCATGTTGCACAGCAGTACAGTTGTTGTCATGTCAGTAGCATTCTGTGATGTTTTCATATCCGTGCAGCGGACGAACGTCATCAAAATCACCATCCACTTTTTCCCGTTTTTTTGACGAAACAAAACATAAAACCAACCTCAATCCAAAACATGTTAGCAATCCATGAAGGGATCAACCCTCCATTTCCAGAAAATTTAGACGAACTACAAGAGAATTCACAGAAGGGATTCGGTCAGAAGTTGCTGAATACTGTCCGACGTCTGGAAAAGATCTTTAGTGGTCAATCCGCTGACGATGTCAATTCGGAAAACACAATCGACGATGCGGTATCATTGTTCAACCAACTAATTTCATTATTTTCACGACATGGAATGTTACATGGGGATAGTATTAGGGCTGGGAAGATTTTGCTGTCTCTCAAGACGAGCATCAAGACCAAACGCCCCAAAGGGAACAAGAACAACAAACAAAAGAACAACAGCCTATCTATGGACACTTCGAACGAGGCCGAGTCTGCAGATTCTTCAGGCTACGAACAGGAAGCTCTCATATTTACAGCAATACTTCGAGTTTTAAACGTGGAGAATGCAGGCGATGATTCCATGTTTCAAACCGATCGAAATCTCGTCCTGGCACTGACAGCCGAACTATGCGTGGCAGTTAGTCAATTCGTCCAAGAGTCCAATTCACTCGATGTGTGCTGTCAGGCAGAATACGAATTGATTCTCCAGACTGGAAAGCCCTTGTTGGCAGGGCTTGTCAAGGCTATGACTTCGCTCAGTAGCGGCATTCAAACCTACACCAAACAAGTGACAGGCACGTCGCCTTCTCAATGTCTCACCTTGGCACAACTGGATGCGGATCGGCACATTGATCCACTGGTATCCTGTCTCAAGGCCACGTCGTCTTTGGTGAGCCTATTTGGAACGAAACTGTCTCGAAGTCATCGTCTCTTGTCCGACTTGAGACAGCTATCCTGGTTGTTCTTGACTGTCAATGATAGTGATGTTCAAACGTGTTCCGCTCGACTCATTGCTACCCTTCCAGCTGCCGGTGGTACGGATCGGACCTCCCCTTCTGATCTGTGGAATCAGACCATGTCAGATGTGATTGATTTGTTGGCACGTTCTACCAAGGCAATGGCCCCATTGGCGACATCGTCGAAGACCAACAAGAAGGAGGACGATAGTAATCTGGCCGAAGAGACTCGAACTGCTTATCAACTGTGGCGGAAATGTGTCAAGGAAGATTTGTCGGATGAAATGGATCGAGCCTTGACCTTTCGATGCTTTCTCTCCGGACTGACAAAGTGTTTCCAGTCCTTATTGCTACTCGACGGAATTGGCCACGGCGCGAATGCATCCATGATGAGTGGTGCGAAAGTGAATGTGCAAAGCATCTTGGATGTCATTGAAACGTTTGTTACCTTTCCACTTTCGGCTGAAAATCTGTTCTATAAAACGAAGAAGCGACTGAGAAACGAGTCCATTGATGGAGGTTTGCTCAGCCCCCGAATCGCGGCAACCATGCTCGGCAATGATCTGAAGACTTTTGGACACAACATGTTGGACATTCTTCTACAGTGTCTGGGAGGGCCGACACTGTTGCCTCATTCTGTCCGAATATCTCGGATATCCTACGCATCCTTGCTAACATCCTGTTCAGCTCCATTGAGGAAAGCTTTGGATCCAACAAGGTCCGGCGTAGACGGAAAGAAACGAAAGTGGCTGCATCAATCGATCGCCCTTCGAACAGTTGCCATCAATACACTCACAGCCTCAATCGCACATTTTGGAATTGGGAGGAAGGAAAAGTCTGCCACTTCTTCCAGAACATCCAGAAGTGAGGGAGAGATGGCTGCGGAATATGTTGCTGGTTGCTTTCTGGAAGAAGTCATCCGGGGAAACGAAGCCAACGGATTACTTGACGACTCTTGGGGTTCAAGCTCTGAAAGAGTTGACTTAGTGTGAGTATCCATCGCTGTGATGAACTTTGTATTCTCTACGCACAAGCTCATGGTTTGCCTTTCGAAAATAGAGTTGCAGCACTGGGTTGCTTGCGCACTGTACTCGTTTCTTGTGGAGGATATCTAGATATGTCATCTCGATCTCTGATCGATTCGACGGTGCTCACTGGATTGGTGGAAATGGAAAAGCAGCAAACAGTGCTTTCTTCGTCGGCTCCGACCATTGCCATGCTCGAATTATCATTGTGTTGCATCACTACCCCCTGGAATGATGGATCAATGACTTCAATGTATGACTCCATTGTTCGGATAGGCAGAAGATGTGAGAATCATGCTGACGTCAATGTTTGTAAGTCTGCCAAGTCACTCTTGATGGTCTGCAATACTGTTTCGGTACCCCGTGCACCAGCACTTCTCTATGTGTCGAGGGTTGTTTCGAATCAACCACGTCAAGAGTCAACAGCAGCTCCAGAGAGGGCCGCGTCAGATCTGGTGAACGATTTACAAAAGACCAGAGCAGATATTGCCAGGGCACAACGTGCTGACGAAGCTATGAAGAAAAAGAAGGCAGAGGAAAAGCGTCGCCGGCAGAATGAAGAGGCAGAAGAAACTTTTAGAAAACGGAAGAAGGTCGAGACACCACCAAAACCGAAGGCGTCTGGGAAAGAGGATTCGAAGGTTGAAAACCAGGCTGAGAAAGAGGTGGCTACAGAGCCCACGAAGCCTCAAGCTGCGATTGCAAAGACAGGGGTTGAAGAAAAGCCCGAGAGTCCTGAAACAGATCCTCAAAAACGAGACCAAGAGGGGAAGAATGACGAAATTGTCGACCCTACGCATTCGTCAGACGAAGAGGATGCACCCATGGAAGAGGGCGATGGTGACAACTTTGACTTTCCTGATATCGTTGAAGGCGGTGGTCCCGACTCTGACGACGAGTAAAATTAATGACGCAAATCATGTAGTCTACTAAGTACTTTACAGAGTGATTAGGTGTAGGCGACTGGAGTGGTCTGGGCTTGGACTCGTCCAAGCTCCCTAGTATTGTATGAGCCACAGGTTGGACACTTCTGCCCAACAAAGTGATACTTACACTGACCAGACTTTTGACAATCTTGACAGTAAATGTTACTGTAAGTATTCATATATTCAAATGGCATCGGTTGCATTCGAACAGCAGCGTCCAGCAACGCAAAATAGTCATTCATGTCTTCCATACATTTCTTGCAGATGGGACAAGTATAGCTTTGTGAACGTCGATATTTTGTGAAACAAGACAGGTGCATGACGTGACCACATTTGAGACCTTTGAGAGCTTCCGTTGATTGGAAGAGAGTGTCGTGACAGATTGGGCAGGTACTTTCAAGCTTTTGAGGAATGCATCGATGTTCTTTGTCGTCCATTGAAACACAGGCATTGCATCTCACGCAATGGTAGAAATCAATACCCAGACCTTTGCCCATTCGGCAAGTGTTGCAGTATGGACAATGAAAAATTGGTCTGGGCCTGTTGTCATAGAGATGGCAAATACGACAGAAGTACTTCGCGAATGACTTGTCGTGTGATTCACAACTTGAATTCAAGCATTTATCTCGAGCTGGTTGGAGCGTGTTGCACTTCATGCACATGACTTCCTTGACAGTATATCTATCGAGCGGCTCGTCTTTTTCTTTCGCAGGGTTTTCTCTGTCCTGTTCACAACATAGTCGACAGGTATACAATCGTCCAGAAACCGGGTGCCGAAGTTTACACGAACGAGCGTAGTGCGGGCAACCAAGAACAGCACCAGATGCACCGTCATGGAAAGTTGGAGCTAGCTCAGTTGTGGAGAATGTTGGAACTGGAACAGTTGAGTTGGTGATCGAATCAGAGCTACATGGAGACACGCGACGTACGTTAGAAAGCAATTGTGGAAAGAAAGATCATGCAGTTCACACGTCAACTTTACCTATCCCAAGCCTTTATAGTCTTTCCGTCACTGTTCTTGACGAAGAACTGTGTTGGTGGGATTCCGCGTTGTGTAGGAATGCACGTTCCTGACATTACTGGCTTTGCTGTGGCACTACATATGACAAGACAAACACAATTTAGCTGACCTTCTGGATCGAACTCAAATGACCAAAGTGAGAAGGGATCTTACCTTGGAGTAGTAGATGAAGGGTCAACCGAACACGCTGGAGCGTCCTTGCTTTCAACTTTGGCTTCTGCTTGTTTCTTGATGCCTTGATTCCTCTTCCAAATTGACTGCCTCAATCCTTGAATCGTTGTGTTTTTCTGTTTTGATGACAGAGTTGGGTTTGTTGCTACCGCACGGATCAGTTTTTCAAGTTCTTTCTCAGTTGTGAGTCTAGAACCCAAGTTTCGGCGCAGTTCAGCTGTTTTTGGAGTTGTTTGCGCTGGTTTCCCAACAATGGCATGGGCAATCAATTGATCCAATCTAATTCTTTTTGTCTCTTCTCCGGCCCCGTTGCCAGCTTCGTGTGTCCTTTTATTGTTGGAAGCATCTGCTGTTTCAGCAGGTTCTTCTTTCTTTTCCTCTGGTTCCATCCAACCTGACATTGCCAACCATCGATCGAAAAACGTACCAGCCATGGCTTCTTTCATGTAGTCTACCATCTGAGCTCTTTCCGCCTCGCCAAGATTCTGCACAGCCATCGTCATGATCTGAGCAATCATGTCGCATGATCTCTTTCCCATAATTTTTCCAACCAAATCATGAATTTCGTCCTTGGTTAGGTGCTTGACGACAAGCGGCATGCACTGATTCTCCTCCTTCTCCAAGTGTTGTTGGAGATGGCGAGAAAGATGTTTCACATGGTTGTTCAACTGTTGCATAACCTCGTGCACAGAATCGCCTTCGACACAGGTTGGCGCAATGCTGGCTTCGTCTGTTATTATCGAAGTTCCAGTCGCCGTTTTCGTTGGTTGTGCAGTCTTTGACAACGCGGTGGTCGGTTGTGAAAGCAAATGACGAAGTTCGATCAGCATTCTATTCATAGTAGAAAACATGCGCTCTTCGTCTGCATGGTCCTCTTCGTATTCTTCTTGTTCAACAACATTCAGATCTTGTGGAACATCTTCAGCATCTTGGTCAGGTCTATAGGAAGGGCTTCCGGTTACCTTTCCTTTCGTTTTCGATCGCAATGTAGGCCAAATGAATTCATCTTCAGCTGAACTATGTGCTTTGAAGACTGACCAAATAATCTGGAAGCGGCTGGTCACTTCTTTTTCCAGCTTGACGAGAATTTCTTGATTTCCAGTGTCCAGCAACGACTGACTCACTTCCAGAACACCCTTTTCGAGCGCGTTCAGCTCTCCACGTAAACAATCGTGGAGATGGATGATCTCAATTAGTCTGCAATCTCCAAAGAGCTCTTTCCGCCTTTGGGTCAATCGGGCTTTCGCCATGGTTTCCCTTTCTCCCTCCACAGATGATTCTTCCATCCTGAATCAATGCTTGAATGAATCGAATCAATGCTCTCCTCATTCCAACAAAAATCTCGCTGCTTCTCACATGCATACGTGGATTTGCGACCACCCGATTCGTACGACCAAGCGTGTCGACCATGGAAAAAATGAGAAAGGACACGTGTCAAGCACAGTCCAAACGTGTCTTTTTTTAAAAAACCACCCAACTTCGAACCCAAGCTCGTTCGTTACTACCGGTAGAAGGTATTATAGCACGTTAAATTTTAAAATTTTAATCATCTATTTTCAGGCTAAATCGCAGAGTTTTGGGATTTCCTTTGGGTACGGTCAGCTTCACCTTCTTAGTGACATTCTCTCCAAAGCTGATGGTTGTGACGAATTGATCACCAGCGGCAAGCTCTTGAGGGACTGAAATTTCAAATTGTTTGGTGGTTGGATCTCCCGATTCTGCCGATTCAGAGGGGCGTTTTCTTTTCTTTCCTCCTGATGTACTGTCTTTGTCCTTTGACTTACTAGACTGTTTGAAGAGAAAGTTGCCAGATAGTGTGGGAAACAATGCTCGGCACTTCGAAAGGGCCTCATCGAAAACGGATTTCTTTTGGGCTCCTCCGGACCAATCATTGCTATCTGTCTTGACTGTCTTTGCATGTTCTGTTTCCAAGAATGCCTGGCAAAGTGCTTCAACCTCCTTGATAGATGATACCCCGTACTTTATTGCACTTGTTCTCTTGATGTCGTCATCCGAGCAGTGTAACCGAAGGAAACAGGCATAAGCTTGTTTCAAATTGCTTTCTACCTCCATACCTTTTTCGATGTCAGTATCTGATATCTTTTTCATAATGAGTTCGGCAAAAACACTGTTCGCCTGTCGCTTTGCCGATATTCCAAAACCTTTGGACATCAATGCGGAATCCTTTTTGTACAAGATGCAATCATTTGCGTGAGATTTTGATGGTGGATTGCCTCCCTCCAAAGCGCTTGCTTGAAAGTAATTTGCAGCATCTCGCTTGCTGTGACATAGGAGTTTGGTGAATTGCTCCAATTCACTCCAGCGATTGCACAGTCGGAGCGCTTCAATGTATGCTCCAATATATTTGCCTCGCAAAGAGTCGTACTTCCTATTTGAGCTATTCAATACCTGGAAAGGAGAGTTGGAAGCATCGCTCGTCAACCAAACGGCGCAAAGTTGTGCCCTGTAGCAACGAAGGCGAGGATTAGCAACGGATACAACCAAATTATGTGATATTCGTGAAGAAAGAGTACCTTTTCCGATCAAACAATGTTCTGATGACAACCTCAGCACTGTATGCTGCGTGCGTAGAATTGTTCAGTCCTCTCACAATATGACTCTTGGTTGCTTGTACCATACCAAGACTTCCCTCTCGAGAAGCAGGGTCGAGCAACACAGGTGCCCACATCAGCGCCTGCGCGTGTCGGTAAACAGACCGATGAAAGAAATGGTCATCCATCCGACACTGGGCAAGGCCAGCCACAACATCTGCCACCACATTCCAGATTCGGTCTCGCTTTCCCAATGGTGCATTGGTGGTTTCGGCTTCGTCCTGTACTTTGTACCAGTGCGCCTCTGTTAGCCGCAAAGCTTCTACTTCAGCGTTTTCCATGCAATCATCGTCGTAGGACGCTAAGGAAATCAAGCACTTCAATCTAGATGCATGGATCCTATAAAGCACCTCCGTCGACCCATGGGAGCTGCCGCCTTGCTGGCTGATGACATGACCTCCATCCTCGTCAATGGCCTTGGCTTGCTCTAATGCTGAAGCATAACTGCTCATTGCAAGAGACATGTGCTTTTCATAGAGTCTGGTAGACTCCGTAAATGTCTCCCTCTTGAAAGTAGAAGCGATCTTTTCGTGGCACTGAATCATCAAATAAAATCGGTTAGAATTTGAAAAGAGCACTGAAGGAAACGAACGGATCACTTACCTTCCCAACCATAAAAGTCAAATCCCAAGTTTCTTGGCTCTCGTCTTCCTTAATGCCATTTGCAGCACGCTCAAATGCAACCTTTGCTACCATGGCGATGCTGCGTTTCCGGTCTTCACTCATAGTATGCATCGGATAGCCATAGTTTTGTGATGCCATCATTTGAGAGTACAGTGCAACACCAATCGCCTCACATATCTCGGAATTCAAAATCTTGTCATCGCTTTCAACCTTTTCTTTCGACTCGACCATAAACAGTGCAGTGCATAGCAATCTTAGCGCCAACTTCTTTAGAGCGAAAACGAAGATACCACCCCATGCCTCTTGCCATTCTAGGAACTTTTGAGATGCATTCATTTTCTCAAGGTTCTTCAATGCAACCATTTCTAGAGTCTTTTGGCTCTTGTCAAGATTTCCCCGATCACCGAGACTCTTCTTAATCTCATCTGAACAAGCCTGCAAGGACGAGAAAGAAGACCAAGAGTGCCGAACATAAACAGATAAATCTTGCCCAAGAACCGTCACCCAGTTCTGCGAGATCTTCAAATCCTCTCTCTTTTGCTCCGCTTCCAAGACATCAAGAGTGAGCCTTTTCTTCAGACGGCGAGGTTGACTTGGAGCGGAGAAGTCATTGCTTCTTGCGTATCCTTTCGATAGTCCGAGACGATCAGCTATGAGCTCTGCTTTCAGAGCGACACATTGAGCAGCTCTGTACCAGCTAGTTGTATCATTTGCATTTCCGAGGCAGATGTCGTCAATTATGGCCAAGAATTTTTTCGAAGCTTCTTCTTCGTGCTTCAAGCAAAGCAAACGTTCGTCCTCACTCGATGAATCCGACTTCCCCTTTTGCCCAGTATCGGCGAGGTTCGCTGGAACTTGCCCACTTGCAAGCTCGCTAGAGATTCCTCGACGTACCCGATAGGCTTCATCCGCCGTCGAAGAAGCACCTGCGGCTACACTCGTGATTTCCGACACTTCTTGCTCTTGGTCTAGCAAATCCTTGATCTTCTTAAACGGGCGATTCCATGATTCTGCCTTTTCCATCAAGCGAAGGACAGATTTAGTTCCTGTCTCTGCACCGTTTGATTGAAAGACAAACTCTTTCAGGCTTCTACTCTTCTCAGTTTCTTCGATTGGGGGAAGCGCCGATGAAACTACTTCTAGAGCAGATTTTGGTGGAGACCTTCTTCCGGATGGGTATGTTCGAACTATGCATCGGTAGAGCCGCGCTGCCGCCGAGGTGCTCTCGGGCTGTAGATTGCGAGCTAGATTGTCTGTGGTAGAGCTTGTATTTTCTTTTTCACCAACTAGCGTGAATCCAAAGAGCCAACGATACGACCTTCGAAGTAGTACATCCTACAGACAAAAACCAGTTAGTTGTGTTGGGAAGGTCCAACGGATTGCAAACTGAAGGACTTACCAAAACTTCTCCGGTTGATCGAGTGGTATATGGATACTCCTTTGCCCATAGCGATTCACTTCGCGAAGCCGGATCATTTCCAGATCCAAAGTACACAAGTAGAGAATCGGCGAAGAAGTTCAGAACTCTTGTGGCGACTAAAGGCAATAATGGTCCGTACTCGTGCCTGCTTTCAATTAAAGACATGTTCGAGACAGCCCTTTTATCGCCCGCAACAGTCATCACAATGTTGATACAGTACACCGTGTGACATATTACCCGAAGGAGAAGTCTCATCCGCTGTCTGATTTCAGATGCTTCAGGCCCTTCACAATCCAAAAGCCATTCATTTGCACTAGCATCTGAATCATAGAAGTCAGTAAGACATAGCTGATCAACGCCAGATTCATCTGAGTGAGCCTCTGTAGCAGTCCTAATGGCAGAGCCGCACAAGCCAGTTATCGCTACAATCAGAGGAGTTTGAATCGATCGTACAATCGGCCGATCAAACGAGCTGCAAACAGATGTTGACTTTTCGCCTTGTTCATCGCTTGATAGTGCCAAGGAACCATACCTCCACAACCTCAACACGGCATCGCAGAACAGAATTGTCTCTCGCTTCAATGAATCTTTTTCTACAGACTCTGCCCCTCCTGAGATTATCTCGTTTGGTCGAATCTGCAAATCTTCAATGGTGACCAGCTTTCCTGACAACAAGTGCCCGAGCTCGTTCAACACCAAGCCGAGAAGCTCGGCTTGCTTGATACATAACTTCTGCCGTGTTGCTCTGCCGGTGCGACTACCTTGAGTGTTGACCCTTGAAAGGAGAGAATTGGACTGAGCGACCATAGTCCTTGCAATCCCGACGAAGAAGAACCTTTCGAGTTCCTTGCATCGATCCGCGGGGGCTGAACACCGCAATGCCTCCATGAATTGAACAATTACAAGGAAAAGCCTTTGGTCGGAAGTGTCGTCGGGCAGAAGCCATCGTTTCCCCCCACCACATGTCCAGTCTCGTAACAACGCGAACATGCAGACTAACAGCGAAGTGCAATCGCTGGACATGCAGCATTCTTTGCGTTCTTCATTGTCCATGACCGTCAAAAAAATCGTCTTGATTTTCCGAATCAGGAAAATCACGAATAGGCCACACTGGCGCGCCCTCAGCTCATCAGTATTCCTTGTCTTTGTGCCCATGTTGCGGCTATCGTCATCACTCATCATGGAATCATCGTCACTGTGGCTATCGTCCATGTTGTCCCCTCCTTGTGATTGGACTGATCTAGCCAGTGACTCATCAAATAAGTCCTTTGCTGTGAGCGCGACGTGAGCCAAAAGGCGGATACTGTGTTCTCGGTGTTCATTGTCCACATTGAAACAAGTTGTAAGGATTGAAAGAATGCTTGGATTTGACATTTGAATGAGATTGCCCACGCTAACAGTCTGAACAGGAATGGGATCGGCAACGGGGTCGTCGTCATCGTCGTGTTCTGCTGGATTGATAAGAGTGTAAAGGTCTTCACCATGCACTAAAAGGAAGTCTTCCACCAGTTCCATATGCTTCGCACCCGATTTGCCGTGGCTTTCCCTGTACCTTTCGAAGAGGTCCTCACCAATACTTGTGAGGGTGCTGGCACTGGTCTCAGTGATAGTAGCGTCAGCTTGTTCATTGGCTTTATGCAACGATCCAACGAGTTCCTGAAACCTTTGCTTTGCATGTGATACAACGGATGATGCTTGGATGTCGTCCCTCAGTTTGCCTAGCAGATTTGGCTTTACCTCTTTCCAATGAGCCTCGGTACGCCCAGGGGAAACCAAATGAGGCGTTGCAACCGCTGCGAATTTCACTGTTGGTGACTCAAAGGCTTTGTTAGCCTCATCAATGTAGTATACTGCCTCGTCTTCAGCCTCTCTCGACTCAAATACAACTTGTGATATTCGTCTTCTCCAAAAATAGAATCCAGCCCCCAGCCATTTGGAACGGATGCCTAGCATGAAAAACGTTTGCAATAGATTCTCTTCTAGATGCTGCGTCCTCTCCATAGATTGTTCTAAAGCATCGAATGCCTCCAACAGCGGCAGGACCATACGTGCAACAATGCTGCAGTCTTCATCAAAATTGACAGGAGTAGGGGCATACCTTTCGCACCGCTTCAGTACAAGTTCACAGTACAACAGATCAAGTGCAAAGAGTTCCAGGCTAGCCTTGAAGGATCCGGTTCTCTCGACGGGCTCGAAAAACAACAGGGCGAGACGCTGTTTGGAACCGGTTCTATTGATGTAGAGATCGAATGCTGAAGAGATGGAAAAGCAAAGATGTGAGTGTTGGACATTCAGCTTCAAAAGTCATCCATAGCAGCAATTGATGAACCAATCAGCCTACCTGTGAGGACAGAAGATGTCAGTTCCAGTGGCCCGCGAGGGTCGGTGACAAAGACATCATGGACATTCATCGCAACATGCCCAAGATATTTGCGCAGTAGATCGATTGGGTTGCAGCTTTGAGTCCCATATTGTTCGACAAAGGCACCAAGCGAGGCAGCACTTGTTCGCTCCTTGGCTTCCAACAACACATTGGTATCCAACTGACTGCCTCTGGAATTCAATGCTGGGTTACTCCAACCTCCGTGTCCATTTGATCTAGCTTCGTGCTTCTTGGCCTCCTGTACCTGCTGTTTGAACTCAGCCTTGGTACAGGACATGGTGGCAGCGAGGAAACAATATTCAAAAGATTTGCGATTTGATTGACGCTCGGCAATTTTTCCTGAAGTGATCTGCTGCGATCGCAGACGCTTGGAGGTTCTACTGCTTTGTGTTTTGTCTTTACTACTGGATGATGATTCCTTTTCCTTGGACTCTTCCTGTTTGTCATCAGATGACAATTCCATGGGCACGTCATTGGTTCCGTCTCCCTTTGCTGCTGACCCAATTTCATTTTCTATCCCATCCGTACTCTTTTCTTCTGTTTCGTCATGACGAAAAATCGTCGACATTTTTCGCCTATTGTCGTCATCTTCAAACGATGATGCCATGGCATCCATCATGGAAAAGGAAATTCCCCGACATGTCATTTCAAAGCGCACTGTAGACCGAGTGTCCAAAAAGGCACATATTCGCCGCAACAGTCTGGGCGGCAAGACAAACATTGGATTCAACTTGACCACTAAAGCAGGAGAACCAAATGCTGGGGAAGCTTTGAGAACCACTGGCCCATGTGGATTTGCTTGATAGTCCGTCCCCTCCCGACAAACTCGCACCAACATGCGGCCAAAAATGGACCAGGAATAGCGAGGAAGTTCGAGTGTAATTTGAGTGGGTTCTTCGTCCTCAGTCAACAACAATGGGGCATCGTAGTCTTGCTCCATTTGTTGTTGTTCTTCTTCTTCCAGTTCCTTGCGGGCTCGTGCGATTGCCCGATTCGGAGGCATGTGGGAAGGTAAGGCAGTCGTTCCACTTTCCAAGGCGTACTTTTGCATTCGACGATATTTGGAGGCCAGCACAAGGGAAGAATTTCTTTCGGCAATCGTCGTTTGCAATTGACGAGCCGCACAGGCCAGTTTGAGCCACAAGATAGGGTCCGTCCCATCCAATTTGGAAGCATCGCATAGTGCCGCCAATGCCAGTCGTTGTGTGGTTTCAATGCTTTCTTCATCTTCCCAGCAAGATTCATTTCCCAGTGACCCTACCTTTCGGACCACCCCGTTGTCTAGAACGGTTCGTTTCAGTGGCGGAGCGCTGGTATGGCCGCAACTGAGTAAGAGATCGGAATAATTCACCAAGGCCAAGTAGGCCAGCTCCCGAACAGTGGATTTGTGTGCTTCTGACGATAGTGCCGGGGGAAGGGGTCGTCGTACTCCATCCGTAGATGCCACAAGAGCATGCTTCATGTCGACAAATTCTTGATGCAGACATGGAGTGTGTTCTTCTACCAACAAATCCGTCAGTAACGCCTTTTCCAAAGTCGTGCGAGCAGCTCTGGAAACCCGCATCAAAACCTCCAATGCGCCCCCATGTCCCTTGTCTTTTTCCTTGAGCATGAGTCTGTTGGTCTTGTGCACGGATCCGATGCATTCCATAGCCGTCGTGTATCCCTTTGAAAGTCTCGCTAGTGCTGCTTCGACAGTCTCGGTCGATCCTTGTTTCCCCGAACGTCTGGTTGAGGACTCGTCTCCTTGGACTCGCCGCTTGGGTGCATTGGCGGCGGCCCAACTCATGTTATATTATTTTGTTGTTGATGTCGGAGTTTGGTTGTTTTCTCGTTTTAAAAAACGTGCTTGATGATTGCTCTTTTTTCGATTCTCTTTTCGTTAGTTAGAGAATGTACAACAATATATTTGATGGTTCGAGTGAAATAGTGGAGCAAGTGCAACTGTAAGAGCAGGCTTATTGTTCCAATCAACCGACGTTTATTGAGATGATGAGCGACGGTTTTGGATCGTCTCGTGTTGTGGGCGCGCCATCGCTTTAGTCAGAGGAGTCATTCAAGATTATGTAGTCCTTAATTTCCTCAAGTAGGAACAAACACTTCGCACTCTTCTTCCAAGATCACAGCTCAACAATGCAGCTTCGCAGTGGTCTATTCATCAATCTTCTTCTGATAGTGACACTATTTGTATGTAGTGGAGTATCAGGCTTTGTAGGATCGTCTACTAATACAAGAGCGCAACACAACCACAACCACAACCATGACACATTCACATCACTGTCCAGTACCGGTACGGCTGGAGATAATAACCAACTGAGCGACCAACGACTGGCCGCCAAAGATGCTTTACTATCAGCCATTTCTTCCACGCCATCCAATGCTCCCACTTCCAGAGCCAAGACCGACGCAATTATGCAATTGGCCCGAGACTTGGAATCCCAGTGCCCCACACCCGAAGAGCAAGTTTTGGATACGCTTCAAGGCAGTTGGGAACTCTTGTGGACGGCCCAAGACCGATCACAGAAGGATCCGTCTCAACTAGGTCCCTTTCGGGAGTTCATCAATCCGCTGGAAAATCAATCTTACAGCAACAATCCCAACGGTTCGGGCCGGGCCAATCCGTTCTTGCCACAAGGAGTGCAAGAGAAGTTGGAAGATTTGGGAATCGTCGCCGCTCAAGACGAGTCGTCTTCTGATCCTGTGCGCAGCAGCCAAAATATTGATTTGAAAAGGCAAAAGGTCCGCAATGTGGTTTCGTTTGCCGTTCCATTCCTAAAGGGACGATCCTCCTCGTCCAAATCGCCAAAAGCTTCCTTGACCGTCACCGTGGACTTTAAACCCAATTTGCAAGACCAACGAAAGATTGACGTCAAGTTTCAAGAATGTAGAGTGGTGCTGCCGAATACGCCAGTTGATCTAATCATTCCATTGGGTATTATTGGACCAACGGGCTGGCTTCGGACGGGATACATTGATGATTCCATTCGGATTACAAGAGGGCACAAGGGGAGTGTCTTTGTTCTGGCTCGGCCCAGGAGCCAAACAAACTAGCGATAAATGGATGGATAAATAAATGGCATGGATGGTGTCACAATTGTATAATGATGTATTCGATTTTTTTCTATTATTCTTTGATTGCTTCTATTGATTTTATTGTTATTGTGGACAGCTTCCCTTTCATTCTTCGGATTCCACCTTGAGGTTCCCAAACAAACTGCTCGTTTGCACAGTAGGCTTGAGTACCACGACTATCGCCGAGCCATTCTGGCAATGACAGAGGTCCAGTGTTGCTGGTTGCGACTCGTTCAATCACGTCCAATTCGACACCAACCAAGAATTTTGCCAGCTCTTCGTTTCCTTCCATACCTGCCAGGTCTGACGGACAGTATCCTATTTGATGTTTTTACAACGTGGTAAGATTATTCGTGTCGTTGCGAATGCCAACCTTTGAAACGTAATCAATAAGGGACGTACCTTCAGTATCTGGTCCCACCAGTCGAAGAGCGTTGGCAATTTCATTGGCCGTCATGGAACTTCCTGTTCGATTATTTCCTTGCAAAATCTTGTTTACAAACCAATGACATCCGACCTTCCAGCCCCGTTGTGCTGCCTTGTGCAGGACGCCATGTCCATTGTGATTGGTCACATCCATGCGACTCTGCTTTTCCGCTAGCCATTCTAAAATGGTGCTTTCTTCCCCTTTGCCTTGAGCGCACCACAGTACGGGATTGCATCCAAACGAGTTGGTGGTGTGGATATTACAACCTTTGGAATACAGTAAGCTGTCACGAATAGAAATGGTTGAATATTGGAACAAGATGGTTAGTTGTTAAACAAGTTCTGTAAAAAAATGGATACACAACGCGAATAATACTCACTCCATGACATGTAAATGTCCTTGCCACGCCGCCCAACAAAATGCGGTCGTGCCGTCGATGGTAGCAGTTTCCAAATTGACAGGATGTAGCGTGTTGCCTACGAGATATTCCACGGTCTCCAAGTGCCCATTTCGCGCTGCCCAATGAAGAGCAGTCCGTCCCGAAAAGGATCGTTTCCCCCTTTGACCCTGGTTGGGATCAATGTGACAGTCTTCTACTAGATACTTGACAATATCCAAGTGACCTGATCCGGCAGCCCAGTGCAAGGGATTTGCCCCTCGTCGATCCCAATCATTCAATGGCTGGTATCCCTTGTACTTCATTTTTTTTATAAATTTATACAATGGTATTGGATAAGAAAGGATATACAGCCAAAGCATTTTGCTCATCATGACTCGTCCTACAGTAGATTGTACGTACCATGACTGCATTCTTCAATCCGTCCAAATCTCCATTCTTGGCAAACTCGATCGGATCGTCGGTTGTCATATGATGTTGTCGTTGCTGCTGTCGTCCGTGTACCGGTAGTGGTTCTGTGCTGCCATTAGTAGTACTGGTATTGTTCGATCGAAGTACCGTATTGGGTGAATACACGACAATGGCAAGTTCATTGACGGACGAGGAGGCTACAGTTGTTGCTTCAGAATACTCAATCTTGTGCTTTTGCTGTTGATGCCACCACAAACCCTTCGTGCCTTTGCACCACTGACAACAGTGCGGACAAGGCAGTCTTCCTGCCTGTCGAAGGAGCTCTGATCGAGCGTATGTAATGATACATATGACGCCCGAGGGTTGGACACGAAGGTCGTGTACTACGCTGTCTTGACGACAAGCTGCTTCCAAGAATTCCGTCACCAACAGCTCAGCAAGTATGCGTGGGGTAGGAACTTCTCGTACAATCCCCAGATCGGAAATCACTTCCACTTTTGTATCCTTGTTGGCTCGTTTCCACCGATGAAACAACGAAAGGGCAGTCTTCACTTCAATGTCGTGGGGTTTACCTCCGATACCTGGTGGGAGTTTTGTTTGATTGGGAAACGAAATGGTCGTCCTTGCGAGATCTCTGAGCTGGTCCTTTTCGATTTGGTCTTGAATCCCTCCCCCACAAACTTGAATGATTGCTTCGTTGACATATCTACCGAGTGCCTCTAGCAAATATCTCTCATCGGTCATGCTCTCATGATGATCGATTGTGTAGCTAGTTTGATGGGTATTTGTCGCGTGTTGTGGGTGGTGAGCGTTGTTAGTACAAATCCCATAATCCTTTCTGGGAAGACCAATGTTGTGTTTGCGGATTTGATTGCGGGACAAACAAAGTCCTTTCTTCAAATTCCGGTTAAATATGGGCGCTCTACCATAGAGTTCGTTGATTGTGGATATGATTGCCGCGGGATGAACCTTTCTCTGTTCCTATTAGGGGTGCAGACCAGACGTCTTATTCATCGACCTCACCAAATTGGTTTTCCCAATGCATGTTGAGGAAGAATGAATCAAAGACAGAATCGAATAGTGCAATGGGCGCGTAATACCTTTCTGCGGCATATCCCTGCTTCTTTGCTGTTTTGTCGAAGTGGCAAAATCTTTGCACCGTCTTGCCTTGGATTAATGTCCCTTCCAACAAAAAACAAAGCGAAAACAATGATGCCTACAGGTAGAGGCTTTGCAGGGCTTGCAAGCCTGGGGATATTTGCTGTGTTGTACATCTTACGATTAACCTTGGATGGCCCTCTAGTCTCATCCACAAATAACGCAATCCACACGGGCGCCTCCGCCACCAGCACCGCCAACAAAAATAGGGGCTCGAATGGGCATGATGAATATGCTTATTGGTACTACAAAGAAGCATCCGTTCAAGCATTTACGGAACTAGCGCAGCAAATGTCAGACTTTGAAAATTTGAATGAAGTTCTCTTGGGTTTGGCAGATACATTCTTGTCAGACATATTGTTGAAGCACATGTTACATGCCTCGAATCAAATGCCTCCCGTTGGTGGATTTCCTCCTAGAGGTAAATTAAACTGCAAAGATACAAAGTATGCTTCAGTTTTGTCCGGTGCCAAAGACAAGAATGCACCTAAGCGCATTATCGATATCATTGGCTTTGGGTTCGACCCGGACATCCTGGAGGTCCGTTTACTGGAATACTATGATTTGGTGGACCATTTTGTAATATTTGAACAAGACAAGGCTCATCGAGGGTTTCACAAAGGGTTTTGGCTCGAGTCCTTGCTTCGTACCAAACGATTTGAGCGATTCATGGACAAGATCACCTATATTCCATACACTGTGCCAAACAACTTGATTCCTAAAAACAGAGCACCCCAGAAATTTGATTGGAGCCTTGAAGGAATCATGCGAGAGATCCCAATTCAGCATTTGAAAAACACCACTTTTGCCGATATGGCCGATGAGGCAAAAGACAACTTTTACATCCTTCAAAATGATGGTGACGAAATCATGTCTCGAAAGGCATTAGCTCATTTTCAGCAGTGCGAACTTCTGACAACTATCAAGTATCCTATTTATGCACCCGCGCCCACTTGGAAACGCAACTCCGCCTGGATGTTCCACACATATGATATGAAAGGATTGCCCATAGGTGGTGAAGACTTGCAGTACGGTGAATTACGTGACTATTTGTGGCGCCTAGGTCCCACTCTCTGGCGTTGGAAGGATGTAGAAGCAGAAGGGAGTACAATTCGTGGCAAATCGAATCAGGGGAGCACTCATTTGGGGCTAGGAGCAGCCAATCATTTTTCAAGTCCAGGCCATGCTATTTTGGAGTTCATTAAAGGCTTCACCACAGTGGATTCACGATTTGCCGGCAAGTCTGTTGAATTCTGGAAGCGAGCCAGAGATGGCCAACTCAACTATGACGTCGATCTGAACGGCTTTTTGCTAAATTTTTGCGACCAAGCAAAGCAGAACAAATACTCATCCAGGTTTCCGACTATTCACGTTCATGCGGCTGTGGACAAGCGTACTCAAGATTTTGTGGTACAATCACTACCATGGGCTCTGACATCATTAAAGCCCTATCGGTATCCATACCTGTACCATCCAAACTTGGCAGACGAAGAAGCGCAAATGGTGCAGAATATGTGTGGGTTTTCTGTGCAAGAGCAAGCCAAGAAATAAGAGTTTTTTCTAGTTTGATACCACGGATGAATAATGTCCAACAACTTTTCTGCTGTATCAACCGACGAGGATGCTAACGACAGTGCGGAGAAGGATGTCTTCCTGTCTTGACGACAAGCTTCTTCCAAGAATTCCGTCACCAGCAGCTCGATAAGTTTGCGTGGGGTAGGAATTTCTTGTACAATCCCCAGATCGGAATTCAATTCCACTTTTGTACCCTTGTTGGCTCGTTTCTGCCGATGAAACAACGAAAGGGCAATCTTCACTTCAATGCCGTGGGATTTGCCTCCAATACCTGGTGGTTTGAGTTATATTTGATTGGGAAACGAAATGGTCGTCCTTGCGAGATGTCTGAGCTGGTCCTTTTTGATATGATTGCTTCGTGCCTCTAGCAAATCCCTCTCATCAGTTATGCTCTCATGATGATCGATTGTATATAGGTAGTTTGTTGAATGCTGTGCTTGGTATTTGTCTCATGACAACAATACTTCATTCCGGAAGACCAAAGTTGAAAGTTGTGTGGGACAACCGAAGTCCTTTCAAACCTGGGCGGTCCTTTCTTCTTTTCTGATTTTGACTGCGGATATGCTAGCGAAAGAAACAAACCAGCTTAGTCGGATAGGTCAACGCAGTACATCGTGTCAAGATTAGATTGGAACCGCTTGGAACACAACGGGAACTTATTCCAAACTTCGTCTCGAGCAATCACTCTTCAATCTCGACAAATACAACTCAACTTCTACTCTATTTTGCCATCATTACATAGTATGGGAATCGCAAGCATTGTTTTCGGACGCATTGTCCCTGTTCTGGTTCTCTTGGTTGCCATCTTCTTGGGATGGTTTGCGACCGTGCCAATGGCGCCTGGCATTTTCTTTGCTATCATGGGCCCAGCCTTCGAAAAGAAATTGCCCCCTGTGCTCTTTGGACATGGAAAGATGAAGGGAACCCCTCCCGTTCCTGACGACATGATGCCCGAACCAAGACCAGCTAACGAAATGTTTCAGATCTTGCCAAGCGGCGACAAGATGCCCTCTAGCGGAATTGGAATGTGCTGCCGTGGGACAGCTTACGACGACGTTTTGGTCCGTCGGTCCGTCTTGTGGTACCTGCTGCTCGGTGGACGTCACATTGATGGTGCACACGTTTACCTCAACCACAAGGCGATTGGCTTGGGAATCAAGGATGCCATCGAACGTGGGGTTCCGCGTGAAGAAATATTTTTCACTACCAAGATCTTCCCCAATTTTTATGGATATAACTCTACCTTGGAGACTGTGCCAAAGTGGTTGGACGAAACAGGACTTGAATACATTGATATGGTATTGATGCATGCTCCAGATTTGCCACTTGCTCGAAGCGAATGTAAAAAAGCGGGAATCTCCAACAAGCAATGTCGCCAAGACACCTGGAAGGCTTTATCTGAGCTCAAGGAGAAGGGTATCATGCGCAACATTGGAGTCTCCAACTTTTTGCCCGAGCAAATGAAGGAACTTCAAGATTTGAACCTGGAGCCCATTGCCAACAACCAATTCCAATGGAATGCCTTTGTCCCTGGCGAGCAACAAACCATCTTTGACTATTGCGTCGAAAACAACATTTCTATTACTGGATACTACAGTCTTGGTGGATCCCTCCAAAAAGCACAGGCTTCCACTGTGGAAACGCTTCAATTATTGGCCGAAAAGTATGAAGTTTCTGTCTCTAAGCTCATGCTGCGATGGTCGATTCAACGTGGAACTGCAGTGATTCCTGGAACTGGAAATCCCAAGCATATGAAAGAAAATCTACAAGTCTATGAATTAGAAATTAGTTCTGAGGATATCCAAGCCATTAACGAGTTGAGGGACAGTGAAATTGCCTCCAAGTTCATGTACATTGATCCAAAAAATTGGGGGGAGTAATTCAAGAAAGAATAATAGGACTAACAGTAACATAAATACAATGCATTTTGCATTGGATTGGGGAAGAATCTAATCTACAATGACTCTTTTAAAAAGCTATATATCCCATCGGCAAGTCGTCATTCAAGTGCAAGTGTGAAAGGATTTGGATTCAGGAATGAGGAATTGAGCACAATGATTGATTCAGATCTTTTCTCGTCTGTCCTTCCACCCGTTTTCACCTTTATTGGCATGGAATTGTGAAAACCACAACGCAACCTTGTTGTTGTTCATGGGACTTCTTGCATCCCTTAAAAACCTCTCTGGGAACCAATTGAAACAGCGGTCTCTTCTCAGCCATCGGAGTGTGTGTTACTGTTGCTGTTGGATTCCATTGCTATCTTCCATCCTTGGATCGACCCACGCCTTTCATAATCCTATACAGCCAAATCGCATTGCTCCCAGCACCACAAGCCCACTCCGACCATTCCATTCTTCGACCAGCCGTCTCTTTTTGGAATCACGACGACAAGAACTAGAAGAACTTCGAGTAGTTGATCTCAAGGACAGACTGAAGGAACGCGGTCTCAAAGTTGGTGGTAGAAAAGCAGAATTGATTGATCGTCTACTCTCCGAACCGGAAACAGCCGCCATGCCTCGACGTAGTCCAAGAAAAGCCCCAACCGATGATGAAACGAAAGGGCCAGAAGAAGTAGTAGCAGAAGAAGTAGTAGTAGAAGAATTAGTTGTAGAAGAAAAACCCAAGAAGCGAGCTCGCAAAACAAAAGCTAAAACGGAAGAAGATTCGGCGAGTGCAAAGAAGACGACAAAGCAGCCTGAACAACGAATAACTGAGGTTGATGTCATCCCAAAGCTTTGGAGCGAGGAGAAGGCAAAAGAAAATGGATCCTACAGTAAGTATCGGTTGACAACGACGTGGAATATCTGTTTTTGAAAGTGAATCTCAGACTGTTTCTGGACTGTTCTTCTTGATGTAATATCATATCAACAAACAGCATTCAAAATGGCTTCATGGAACGTGGCTGGAATCCGGGCCTTTGTCAAGAAGCAACCAGATGCACTGCAAAAGCTGGTGAAGGATCATGACATTGACCTTCTTTGTCTACAAGAAACCAAGCTGCAAGAGTCTCACGTTGATGATCCAAAGATGAACTTTCGAGGACTTTTGGAGGAACAAGGATACAAGGATTATTGGAGCTGCTCTACTGTAAAGAAGGGATATTCGGGTACAGCAGTCTTTATCAAGGAAAGAGGGGGCAAGAAAAAGGCCAAACAGCCTAGCATTGGAAGCTTCTTCTCTGCCAAATCTGAGGATGCACAGGAGAAAGTAGGAGATGAATCCTCTTCTAGTCTTCCAGTAAGCTCCGAAACCTTAATGCCGACGAGTGTAACATATGACCTGGGGAAGTCAGTTGATAACGAGGGTCGTACTATCATCATGGAGTATCCGTGGGCGACAGTGACCAACGTCTACGTCCCCAACTCGGGACAAACTTTGCAGCGACTGGACTATCGCACCAAGGAGTGGGACAGGTTCTTTTTGGAATTTCAAAAGAAAAAGCAACAAGATCGCAAGAAGCCAGTAATCTGGCTTGGTGATTTGAACATTGCGCACAAAGCTTACGACGTTTGGAACGATGGTGCCAAACACCATGTCAAGCAAGCTGGAGTTACTCCTCAAGAGCGAGAGTCCTTCACACAACAGCTCGACGATGGCTTTATCGATGCTTTTCGTAAGCTTCATCCGGAGGCAAAGGGACACTATTCGTACTGGAGTCAAAGATCGGGGGCACGTCCTGTCAACAAGGGTCTGCGTCTCGACTATTTCATTTGTTCTCCAGAACTATTTGAAGAAGGCTCGGAGGTTGTCGTACGAGATTCCTACATGCTCTATGATTACCTTGGTAGTGATCACGGTCCGGTAGTTTTGGAACTCGAGATAAAATCAAAATAATTTGGCAGCTCATTGTGCAATCAAGCATTCGTAGGTTTTGTGGTTGGTCTGTTCAATTTGCCTGTTGTCGGACAAAGATATGGACTGTCCGACTGGGGCATCCACTGCACTGCCACGTGTTGAACCAATTTCAAAATGTTGATGCGTAATAGGACACTTTATCGACAACTTCAGAACAAAGATGCTTCGCCTTAATCGATTTCTTTCCCTCATTGCGCTATTGCTTCTAATCGCAGTTTCCTGTCATGCAGAAGGCGATTGTGCCAATGTGAACGAGGAAGGACTGTGTGCCAATCCAGACGCCGCAACTGATGAGGTGACAGAGGAAGCCGTAGCCACAGAAGCCACCGAGGAAGATCCCAATTGTCCTTCTAGAGCCTATGTGATCCGCTGTGCTGGGAAATATTTGGACACCAACCAAAACGGAAAATTGGAACGGGCTGAATTGGAAACCGCTATCAACAGGTTTGTGTCATTAAAAAACTCGCGGAATTGGTTTTCGAAATGTCAAGCTTACCCGCCCCCCTCGTGATCCTTGTCAACTATTTACAGTCTCCCATGGTATTCTCGAGGTAAGTGAGACAACGCAGGGCTTCTGATTCCATGATGGAAAACTCTTTCGTTCTAATGACCGAACATTTGTTTATAGGTCTCCTTCAAATCCTTGGTTCGGTCGACAAAATGATGAAGAAGTGTGACATGGTATGTTTTGATCCTATACTTTACTGATCAGTCCACTGCGAGACATTTAATGGCTACGTTGGAGCTGTGGCTTTTTTATCGATCTTTCTCATTTTGATTTGCCCCTTTCTCTTGTCATTGCAGGATGGAGATGATGCGATTTCAATGACAACCGATATGGAGCAAAATAAGGACCAATGCTTGGCTACATGCTTCAAGAGAAAAGCCTTCAAGAGCGCATTCTTTCCCGACTGCGAATAGGCTGTGTTAGAGCCCCATGGAAATCGCTACAAACCAATGGAAATTCGATAGCGTTTGAGACGTATAAAGAAAGGACGGATACGCGACACATGCTTCAGATGACCGGGATTCTCTAAGTATCAGTGGTGTTTCGTCTATGTGAATAGCTCCCTTTCGCAGTCGGAATCATCACCGCTATAATTCTTGTGCTAGGTGCATAATTGCAGCCTTCACTTCTGTTTTCAAATCTTCTTGTCGTGTTGTGGAAGCATAATGCAACAGTGTTCTCATCAGACTAGCATGCTTCACCATCCTTTCCCGGTTTGATGGAACAGCTGCCAGATTCAGTAGGGCCTTTATGGCATCCTGGCGGATGGTATGGTTTCTATTACCGTGGCTCGTGGCATTGTGCACTAAAGCTTCCAGTGTCAACGGAGTCGCTATAAGTTCCCGGATGCTGTGATCCTCAAAGGAGAGCTGCAGCCATACTGAGCAAATGTTCTCTTTGGCACCAACCGAAGTTTTGTCTGACATTGCGATTTGCCCCATCACAACCATGAGCGCTTCTCGCTTGGCCAGCGCTTTTCTGTTCTCTGGATGATTGGCTTGTTCTCTAAGGGCCCTTGCCATTACATCAGAAGGAATGGCATGAGGACTGCTAGATAGGTGTGTGAGTGCATCAAGTACTGCTTCGTGTTGTGCCATAGGAGCAGTAACTAGTGAAGCGCACTTTGCGAACGCCTCTGCCGCTTCAGATCGCACTTCAGCGCTCTGGTCATGTAGAGCTCTTTTGGAAAGAGCATCCATCAACGTGTTATCGTGGATCATTAGTGGAGCCGAAGTCTCCGTTGCCAATAGCCGAATTGCCCGCACAGCTCGTTTCCGAACCGTAACATCTTCTTCATTACTAATGCATCGCCTTAATATTTCGACAAGGATTCCTTCTCCATGGAAAACAATCAATAGCGACGAATCAGGGTCAGAAGCTAGACTGACAATTGTACTGAGCATGTTTTTCACAGTGGACGCGCTTGTACTGTTCGCCAGCGCTGTCAATGCTGTCAAAAAATCAGGTCGCTTCGCCAGAGCTACTCTTGTGTGCAAGGAGAGTGCCATATTCCGATACACGGAGGATACTTTGTCTCTGACTTTTTCGCTGGTATCATTGAATGGCAGCCTGGTCAACGCCGACAACAGACCCCTCTGACTAATGACCAATTTCCGATTCTCTTCACAAAAATAAGTTACATTCTTGAGAAATCCTAGTGCCTCCAAGACCCCATCTGTGCCACCTAATTGGTTCTTCACAACATCACGTGCACCAAGAAGTGCATTGGGGTTTTGGAGTAACGTCCGTGTCCCCCCTTCAGTCGATGCTATAGAGTGCCATATGGACATCACTGAAAGAACAGCTCCCTTTTGAAATGCTTCTGGCAGCAAGAAAAACAAATCCGTTCCTCTCCGCAACGAATCTTCGCTGGAAACTAGTCCGGGACAGAATCTATAGAATACTGAAATTGCTGTACAAATGTCGTACACCTCCTCCTTCACAGACCCTCGTCGACGCAATACAAAGCCAAGCTGCAAGCAAAGTGCTCGTATAATACCTTTATCGACCATATAGTATAGACTATTGGAATCAATACAAGGTATTCTTGTTTCATGATTGTATCGAATTGTTTCGAAAAGTTGTGAAAGAATCTCAAATCTTTGTCGAGTAGTTACAGCTTGACTGACTTCCTCAATGAGTTCAAGGTATTGCGGCCTGTAGTCCTCCGCCGGTCTTGGCCGCTTTGCTGGTGATGGCGACTGGAATTGCATCATCGTTGTTGAAGTTTCATCAAGTTTTTGAGAGTCTTTCATATTTTCTCATCTCTCGCAGATCGATCCGTTACTTTTTTGCAGCGCGCCAGCCGTCAAGACGGATAAATCTGACGGAAGCTGGACAGACATTAGCCGACTTCTTCGATCAATCACCAATCAATCGACCAAACGTCACACAGAGCACCATCAAAAATAAGTTGATGGCTGCGAAAGAATAAAAACGTGCTTGTTGAACATCGACAACAAACAACAAAATGAGGAACTTTATTTCATCCTTCGTCGTTCTGACGAGCCTTCCAATAGTTGCTGCCTTATCAATTCAAGAAAGGGCAAAAGTCAGCAGAAGTCGGCTCACAGAAGCCCTTCGATCTCCATCTGGCAAGCTTACACTAAGCCCTGAGGTTGTCATCCCAGAACCATCAGATCCCACTGCCATTTTGCTTCTATCTTCTGGAATCGCGTCAACATCTGAAATGATCCGAGTGCAAGCGAAGGCGAATGCTGCCTGGGTGGAAGGTTCCGTCACATCCCTCAAAATGTTCTGCTCCGAACAGGAGCAGTCCCGAGGTAACTTCCCTGGACCCATTCCTGTGGTATACTGTGGTGACTCAGACGATCTAGCTGGTGTTATAAATGCGGGAGCCGACGCATTAATGATATCTGCTTGTGGAGGAGAGGAAGTTACGTCGTTGGATGATTTGGTACTAGATGCTACCTGGGTCGAAAAGTCGAAAGCTGCCTTGGAATGCGGCTTACTACCAATTCCAGAAGTTTTCATCAGTGATGCTACTGCACAATCCTGGGGTGAAGAGGAAATGGAAGGCATGGTGTCGAAGATTGCAGAGTTGTATGGGGAAGATCCAGTATCAATCCTTGTGACTATCAACCCTGAAGACGAGGAAAATCCTACTGCACAAGTGTCACTACCAAAGATGACAAAGGCACTAGGCAAGCGAACCCCGATCATTGGTTCTATCCGAGCTCAAGCTGGCGAAAATCGAATCGGCCAAGAAGTTGCTCGATTGAAAGAAGCCGGTTTTACTGGAGCTCTCCTGAGAAGTGATTGTATGCCAGGTCTCCGAATGAAATTGGATTTGGATTTCGTTGGTGCTTTCTGGAGTGCCTGCATTGGAGACTTGAAGAGTCTGAAGAGTAAGAGCTTCAACTTTCAATCGAGGAACTGGATGGACAAGAGTGCGTCACTTGAGTGGGCAAAGTACCAAAATAGCATTCTGGAATCTGGAGCTCTTGGAGACCCAGAAACAAGCGTTGGTTTGAACACGGAAGGCGGAGATTTCAAGGGATTCTAAGTGTAGTTGTAATTTACGGTACTCCAAATTATTGTGCTACCGATGAATTCATTGCATTCGATTCATTTTCGAAGGCTTCGACACAGAAAGAGAGTGTGTCGCCTGCTGGAGCTTCAATCTTCAAAATGTTTTCCAACCCCTCAGCTTCAGCCCTAGTCTCGCCAACATTAACAATAGCTGTTGAGATTCCCAGAGAGTTCGCAGCCCGGACATGACGATAAGCTGAATGCACAGCCAACGAAGTGCCAACAACCAATAGACCGTCAGCTGCCTTTACAGCTTCTTCAAACAAGCGCACGCGGCTCTTTGGAACAGAGTCTCCGAAGAAAACTACATCTGGTTTGAAAAATCCTTCGTCGCAGTGATGGCAGTTGGGAACATCAACGTCGTCATAGTTATCTTCCTTTATCTTGGCATCACCATCTGGTCTTAAATCTGAACTCTGCTCGTACCCCTTCAGGGCTTCGTTCAGCCATTCCTGATTGACTGAGAGCAGTTTCGAATGGTATTCGTTACGATGCTGCTTCGTTCCACAATTCATACACCGGATTAAATTACCAGCACCATGAAGCTGCATAACCTCTTTTGACCCAGCCTTTTGATGCAATGCATCAACATTTTGCGTGACGACCGCAAGCTGTCTTTGCCCCGAAGTGAAACCAAATTCGAATGCGTCCGCCGGCTCATAAAATGCTTCTTGGTCCTCTAAAGCGACACCGATACGCCCCATTCTTTCAAGTGCAGCAAGCGCAAAGTGTCCTTTCTAAAAGACAGAAAAATGGAATTGTGGTGTGAGCTTGGAATTGTCGTCGAATTCCAAAGTCCATGCATTGCAGGTTCAACGACAGCGACTCACATTGGGTTGGGTGGAATCAAAAGTCTTCCAGCCGGCCAGTGATCTCCCCCAATACCGCCTCCGTTGATATTCACTATCCATAAACTGCTGGTGTATCATAGGTTTGTGTCCTTTGTGATAAGATCCCTGATGCCCTCGATAGTCAGGGATGCCCGATTCCGTCGAGAGCCCCGCCCCCGTGATACAAAGAACAGATTTCTTTCCCGTCCACCATTCTACTAATTTTTCAGCCTGCTCTTGAACCTGTCCCGCCTCAAGCAAGCTTTTTGGGTCGGCAGGTCGCACAAGTTCTTTCCTTCCAACCAATCGGCTGCTATAAACTCGCAAATTCCCATGAATGTTCACCATTGCTCTAGTTTTTGCAACCTTCACACCTTCTAATGCGAAACCCCTTGCCTTGGTTGCGAGGATAGAAATATGCGCTACCAGTAAAATCGACAACCTCTTGTTCATCTAAAATGAGACAGTGGAAATGTCAGAAAATGATGACGCAAATTTGAGTCCTGCTCGGGACCGAAAATTTGAATTCTACAGTATTTCGATATTCAAAGGAAGCGCCTACAATTTCAAATTAAATTCACGTAGGCCCATGTAGTTAGTCCTAGATTTGATAGGACACAAATAATGCAAAGCACGATGCAATCGGCCCTTTGTTTCTAATATTTCAACTCTCGGCTTCGATTGTCTTCATCCTCTTCTTCTGTTTCCACCAACAATTCTGCCGATGAGTCATAAAGGGCTCTTTCAGGCCCTTCTCTCACTGATACCATTGCACTCCGATTCTTGTCATCAACAGCACTCGATAACCTTTCCATAAATTTGACAAGTTGGGCACTTGATTCAATCACTGGATTTATTACGGATTGCGTGGGGCAGAACTCTTGCACGACTCCTTCTGGGTGAACCACATCCTCTTCACTTTCTAGCAATCCATGTAGAGAATGCAAATACTCCTCAATCAGGTGTTCGGCTTCTGATTCCTTTAGTGCCCCCATATGGACAAATTTTTCAACGTGATACATGGTCTGGTTCAGAAGAATCTTGCAAAGTTTGCGCGAAGCTGTCTTCTGAACAAGCTGTTTATCATAGTGCTTTAAAGCATACTGTGCCGATGCGTATTGTTCCAGACTCTCTTGAATGACACGCTTTGCAGGTTTGCTCAGTTTGTTATCCATATCTTCGTTTTCGTTGTGGAATAACTTTTGTGATTCTTCATGTGCTGCCATGAATGCCATGGCTCGTTCAATCAAAAGCAATTCGCTCCGTACTTTGCACCCCAAGATTTTTTTACCAGATCTTTTGCCATTCAAGCTACCACATGATAAGGTCATTAGTGTTTTCATGGCCCGTGCTTCCAATCTAGCCATAGGATCATGCAGCTCGGTCAAATGTTTCCAATCTTGTAATGGCCTGCCCTTGTGTATGTCGTGAGAAGCAAAGTCCAAACTTTGGTCCAGAGCAATCGCAAGAAAGTGCTCGTTTTCCAACTCTCCACGGGAAATTTGTTTCTCATACTGTGCTCTCATGATGGAGACAAAGAGAAGCCTCAGTTCCTTTGCTGAGAGGGCATCTTCTCCCATCATTGCGCGCACGTTGCTGGACTGTCGTCGATTCTGTATTGGTCTATGCGCCTTTGTTGACTGACATTCCAACCGCTTCTTGCGAACGTAATTGTCAAAGTCCGCCAATACTTCTTCATCGCTGAACTCTTCTTCAATGCGACTTGGGGTCTTATCATTCTCCAAGTCCGGAAGAATGTTTTTGAGAAAAGGAGGGGCAGAGTCCAAGCCATGTGTATTCTTGTACTTCCTCGCGGAATCCAGAAATTGCGTCCTTGTCAAATCACCCAAGAATGGCACATGCTTTTTGACAAAGGAAAAGTCCGTATGGTAGAATCTTGGCTGAGCAAGTAAACGGACAAAGTCATCGATAGCCAGCGATCGAAACTCCACTTGCAGTGTCTTAATGATCATCGATCGAGCATCTGTCGAATCGGCAAGTCCAAGCTTGCGCAATAGTGGGCCTGCTGTAATACCATTGATTACCAAGGTCATCATGGCAATCCCACCAACCATCACAAAGGCCTGAGTAGTATGTAGCTCCGCTTCGGTTTCAAATCTTCCTCCAGCCAAAGCAGCAACTTCATTATCTAGAGCGATCGCCAACGCAATGCCCAAGGCTCCACGCAATCCTCCATAGACTTGAAAGAGGGTTTCCTTGGGATCCGATTTGAGACCAATGCGAGACGTCACAGGATAGACAAGTGCAAAGAGAAACCCACGAATGACAAGGAGCATGATATAAAGCAATGCGAGGTATGCCCAGTCTATCCCACCCCACTTTCCCAGCTTTTCGCCAGTGGCAACGACTGCACCCCATACAATGCCCCCAAGCACGAAGAGAACAGTATTCAGTAGATGCTCCAATAGACATAAAAAATCTTCGAGCAACTTCAAGTCTAACACAGGTCATGACGAAATGAGGTGCATATGTGAGAATGAACTAATTTCGTTTTCATGTCACGGCATCGTCCCAAAGATTTGTTCGTACCATTGATGGATCCTCTGCCGAGTAACTTTACAATCAGTCCAGCAACTACAGTGGAAATGACGCCACTTGTATGCCAGACATAGTCAGCGGTGTAAAAGTTGAGGTAGGCCATTCCAACGACGGAGGTGACTTGCACAATATTCTCTTCACGGCTCACACGGCGATGTAGTATAAAGAGCAAAATGAGCTGCCCAAGGCCGAAAAATACGCCAACTGCAGCGCCACCCAGAGCCTTTTGGAAAAACATGGCAACTCCTCGGGACAGGTCAATGTCTTCACTGTGATCTTTCCCTCCAATGTAATCCAAATCTTCATAAAAGTACCTGCCAACGAAAATAGAAAAGAAGACAATCGCAGCTCCGTCATTCAGTAGAGATTCTCCCGCAATATGAATCTTTAATCGAGGCGGAGCGCCCACTTCGTCCAAGAGCGCCGCCACCGCTACCGGATCTGTGGCCGCTAAGATGGCGCCAAATGCCATGGCCAAATTGAAGGGCCAATTGTAGGGGAAAATATAGTATGCCACCAGAGCCGTCAAGACAGTTCCCGCCAAGACCATGGGAAAGGCAAAGATCAATAACTGATAGAGGGAGTGCCAAAAGAGGTGCACATTCTGGGACATGGCATCTCGGAACAAGAGCCCGGGCAAGAATACCAAAAGCAAGACTTCGCTATTGATCCCAATCCATAGGCGAATGCTCTGGCCTACATGATCGTAGGAACCTAAAAATTCGGTGGCGATTCCCATGATGGTTCCAATGAGAAACATGACGGCAGTATAGGGCAGAGCCTTGGCGTATCTTGACAGAACATAGAAGACTATCACTCCCAAGGTCAAGGTCAAGGAAGGGAAGAGGACCGCGTGCGGCGCTTCTGGTGCTTCATGTCCATGAGTGTCTGTTATCTCATCAGTGGCGCAGGTTAATTGGAGGATGAGTGCATGCACCACAGCAACTCTTAGACGCTTCATCGATGCTTCCTGTTCTGATTGTGATGAGATACCGAACTTTGATGTCCGTCTCTTTGTCTCAGCGAAGCGAAGAAAAAAGTGACCCAATTTCTTGCGTGGACTACAATAGTCGCTTCTGGCAGTCGACAAGTTTGACTACTTATATCTCCAGGTCAAATTTGCGAATGCGAATGAAATTCATTTGTCATTCATTCGCCCCCATAAAACCAACAACTTATATTACAATGGCGTCTCCACGAATCCTATGCTCTCGGGGGACACTAAGGCTACGACATCAGTTTACAAGAAGATACCGGTTATTTTCTAGCAGCTCTTCGAATTCAGCAGCGTCAGATGGCCTAGGCTTCAGCGTCGCAAGCTTGGGACTGGAGAAATCCTTTGTCCAACCAGTCGTGGCTTCCATTCGACAATTGCCTGAAATCGAAGCGTTATATCAAGACAAGAAGTTTGCGTCAACATCAGGTGTAGAGAATCTGAACCGAGCAGTGGATGTCTTTGCTTCCTTTTCCAAGGGGGGGAGGGAGCATTTGGCAGTATGTGCCTTGTTGGCAGAGTCCAAACAGCGAATGGCACAACACCAAGATGTCCTTGAAATTCTGATCGAAATGGAAGAACTGGCACAGCAAGATGGTTCCATTCCAAATTCATTTGAAGATTTGACGTTGGCAAAGGCAAAGACGTGTTGGACCAAGGGAGACTTTGACGGTTCTGCTGAACTGTGCGAAACCATCATCTCAACCTACAACGATTTGGACGAGACTTTTCCAACCACCAATTTACACATGGCATCAGCCATGTCCGGAAAAGCCTTGTCGCAACTAGCTTCCATGAAAACTATAGACGACGCATACTCGGTGCGGGACTATTTCCGGATTGCTGTCAAATTTTTGGAACGACATCCTCCTTCCTCCAATAGTCTGCCACAAGCTGTAGCCTATGGCAACTGTGGTTCAGCAGAAGCTGCTTACGCTCTCTTTTTGGAAGAAACAAATGATGTATCAGTGCCTATGGATGCAGCACTGCGATGTTGGTTTCAAGGTATGCAGCATTTGAAGGGCACTGTACCGACCCATTTGGAGATGTCGTCCAATACGCTAGAGGCCAATCTACAAACCAATCTTGCTTGGGGCGTTCTAAATTTCGAAATGGACCGATCCGATCGACTGGAAAAGGCATCGGACTATGCGAAACAAGCACTATCGGCGCATGATGGCGAAGGAGGTGCCAATATATGGGGTATGCGTAGAGTGCTGTCGACCGTTGCTGATTGTTATCACCAAGCTGGCAGCGCAGTCACAGCAGAAGGACTGTTCCAAACCGCTATCGACAAAAAGAAAGTATTTCTGCATCCAAGTGTACTGCTGGAACTGCAAGATTCCTATTTGAGTTATGCCAAACTATGTGAGAATTGGGAAAAGCGTGGAGGTGATGCGAAGCAACTGAAGGATCGAGCAATGGAGATTGAAAATCAATTACCGGATGGATGGAAAGGGAAGTCTGGTGTATATAGCTCGCTGTGGTTCTGGACACCCGGCGATTTCGTTTAGGTTAAAATAGAGAGAAGTACTGTCGTGGGTACCTGGTACC